GATTAATATGATGAATATTGCAAGTTGTTTTACAGAATTTTGCCAGACCAAAATGGATAAATAGACAACAGACCTGAATTCGATAATTACAATCAATTTTGGACTGCCGTATTTTAAAATAATAGCAGTGCTAATATTCCTAATATTGCAATGATATATGTAAATAGTAGATCAAATAAAAATAATTAAAAGGATTACTTTGAAGAATTAGGCAAAGGTCTACCAAAAGAATTATAGAAATTATAATTACAATATTCATTAATTACTAAATTAATTCAATTAAATATATCATAATATGGTTACATAAGATCTAAATATTGGGACAAATCCTTAGAATTATTAAAAAAGCAAATATTTAAACAAAGTGAAATTGAAGTATTAGAAAGTGATTAATCTTCTGAATAAACTCAATAAATTATGATATCTTTAATGTAATATTATGCTGGGTAATTTACTGTTTCCTAAAAAGACATTTATAGTAAAGGAAAATAATTAGAAAATAAAATAGCTAAAGAGACTAATTAAATATTGTTAAAAGCTATATTAATTGAAGGTTAGAAATAAAGAAGTTAACCTAAATTCAGAGGAACAAAATAAAAAATGCCCGTTAATTTAAATTTATTAATTGATAATTTGTTAGGATTAGACTTAAATGAAATAGAGAGAAAAGAATTAAAACCTTTAGTAGATTTATTCTATAATCCAAAGGCAATGGATACTGCGTTCATTACCAAAACATGGGGAAACGAGCATTTAATAATGGATGCAATTATGTTAATGTTGGTGAGAATTTAATTAGAAAATTCAAAAGCTGTTGGAAAGTTTTCATAATTAGCTACTAGAGTTCCAGCTTGTTATTTGTATTATTCATTAGGTGATTAATATGAAAATTTAAGTTAAGAAGATTTAATATTATATTAGTAGAATAGTGATAGTTTAAATTAAGGAATTGAAGAATTAATAGAAAATTGCAATGAAATTTAAACTTCAATTAAAACACCATTGAAATTGATGATAAGATGTTTTTTAGGTGATGTTGAAGCTTGGTATGCTTTAATAGCATTTAGGAGAGAATAAGATAATGTGTAGACTGAGTTATTATCTGAAAGTATGATAGCAACTTTTATTATTGAAATATTATTATAATTGAAAAATTTGGGATTTAGAAGTCCTTTGATATCAAATTAGTAAGTGTAATCTTAAACTTTCCAATAATTATTAGAATCATTAATTAATGTAAATTTAATAAAGATTGTTTAAACAGCACTTATGAATACTTTTATGAAAGAAAGACAAAATATTCCAGAAGTTAGTTTACAAAAAATTGTTTAATATTTAAATTTTGTATTTGAAGGATAAACTGAAGTATTAGCAGACAGTGAATCAAGTGGATTTTTAGAAATTCTTATTGTAGTATTAAAAATTGATAGATAATAACAGTAATAATTAATTTGTGTTATCCAATTTATTTTGTAATTGTTATTTAAAGGAGATAAATCTAATGCAAATTTTGCATAATATGAAAGTTAAATTGAATTCTTTTAAGATAATAAGAATTTGAATGCATGGGAATTTGTTAAGGCAATTATTGAAGTAGATCATTCTAAAAATATTAATGTGCTAATTTATAAATCATATTAAATTTTGTAGAAACATAATTTGTAAAATCTTTTAAAATATTCTAATATTTTAGTTTCATTGAGCTCATATGCTTATATATCTAATTATCCAAATAGTTAAATTGACTAAATAAAAATTATGAATGTCTTACTATATCCACTTATATGGTTAGGATCTACTATCTAAGATGCTAGAGAACCATTTAATTAATTTATTTAATTCTCTAAAGACTATGTTTAAAATAAATCATCTAATGACTTCTAATTAATTTTAGATTAATTTTATGAATTTAATTATGAAGAAAATAACTCTAAATCAGCGATAACAGAAAAAAATGTTAGCTTTTACAAAGATTCACTTTTGGCTTGGTGTTAATAAAATTAAGAAAGTGATCTAAAAACTTTTGTTGACTTTATAAGAGGAAAAGTGTTTGACATTTCATAACTTCCACCTCCTTAATAAATAATAATTCAAACTTTAATCGAATTATTATTTAATAATAAAATTTATGCAGATCCAGAATAAAAAATTTTGAAATAATTTATTTCTGAAATCACCAAAATAGATCCTTTAAAGAATTAAAAGGAAGTTATTGAAGCTATAATTATTATGTTTAGTGGTTTATCAGATCCAAAAGATATCAAAGATGAAAAGTTCTTAAAAGCTATCTCTACATTATTATCTAATTATAAAGAGATTGGAGAAATTATTAAAATGATATTCTTATTTTACTAAACTGAAAAAATAGAAATGCTAAAAGATTTACCTATGTAAATATAAAATGGATTCTTTAATAATCCAGATATATATGGATAAAAACTTTAAAGTATTCCTTTCGGTTAATTTTTTTAAATTGCTTCAAATGCATAAAAATTGATTAAATAAATGGAAGATTAAAAAGAAATGAATGAATACGAATTATTAAAAGCTGTTAAACCAGTTTTAGAGCCTTTATTTGGGTAAAAATCAGAAAAAGATTTATAAATTTTAATAAAATGTATTGAAGCAATTATTGCTATCAAATATAAAAAATTTAATGAGATTACATCAGAGTTCTTTTAAGTTATGAAAATATCATAATCAAACAGTTAGCTTTTAATAGGTTTAATGAGAGACTTTTAAATTGGCTTGTAATCACCTTAGTAATTGATTAAAGAGAAAATGGCTTCATTAATAAATCCTAATACAGTTAGAACTATGTAATACATGAATTCAGTTATGAGTAAGCTAAATGATAGTCGAGATTTATAATATGAAGATATGTTTAGAGTTTTGGATAAAAATGGATAAAGATCAGTTAAAGCTTATGATGTCATCGAATTTTTAAGAAGAATTAATATTGAAATAACAGAACATAAATTTAGAGAAGTTTTAGTAACTATAAAAGGTGAGTAAGTAAGTATTTAGAGTTGCATGATTGATTTCTATGAATTTAAAAAAATAATGTAGGAAATATCTGTCTAAACAATGCTCTTAAGTTTAGAATATTTAGGAATATCTAAGCCTTTATTAACAAAAGGTCTGATTATTTTAATAATCTACTTAGTTATTGTTTTGGCATTTATTCTAATAGGAGTTCAAGCATTTGCTATACCAGGTACTTTAGCAGCTGTAGTCAATGCTGCTCTACCTATGATTGGAGGATTAGGATTGAATAAATAAGCAGCAGAAGATAAATTAAAAGCATTGAATCTAACATCGATCTTAGAGGTTGTCTAAAAAGCTATTAAGGTTATATAATCAAGAAGAATATGAATGAATTGAAATAATATTGAGATTTAATATAAATTTTAATAAAATTCTAAATTATTTTATTCTCATTTAATCAAACTTATTTATTTAACAATAAAAACAAACATATATCATGATAAATATTATAATCATAATTAAGTTTACTCTTAAATTTTTGCTTTTTCCATTTCTTTTTTTGTTCTTCTCTTTCTTTTTTATTATTGTTTCTCCTCTGATCCTTATTTCTTTGTATATTTTCTTTTTTACTTTTATGGCACTTCTTATGTAACTTACTATTCTTAAACCATTTTAATGCGAATTATATTATTTTTATTTTTCTTTTTTATTAATGGTTCATCAAAATCCTCATCTATCAAAGCTATAGATTTTAAATATTTCTCAATATCTTAAGGTTCAATATTATGCACATCAAAATCATAAGAAATCCTAATCTATTTTAAATCTTTTACTTTTTTATTATCTCAAAAAATCTAATCCTCTAAGCTTCAATTGATTATTGCTTTTAAATAATTGCTTATTCAAGTTAGTTTCCATATTATTGTAGAGTATTAATTGAGTTATTACTGCATTGTTGTTCTTCAGATTAAATCATTTTTAATTTTGGAAAAAATTTATCTAATTAAAGCCATTTTAATTTTTAATAAAGTTCTTATAACTCTACTTCTAATTAATATGTCTATAGATATTATTTTTCATTAATTAAAACAACTAACTTTCGATAACTTTTGTTAATCTTATCGTTTTTTGTTTTAAATTATTTATTCCCTTATTATAATTGTCTTTTTGAATAATTATATAAGGATAATATCTTTTAATATCGAGATTTATAAATATCTTTATTCTTCATTAAAATAAGATAAAAAAAAATGAAACTCATAATAATCACCAAATATTATATAATTAAAATCTTTTCATAGTTGTACTCCTCTCTCTATGATATTTCTTGAACTTTTAAATTGAATATTTAAATATATATATTAGTTTTCTAGGCTAAAAAACAGATATTTTTGATTAAAAATTAGCTTAAAAATAATATATGATTTTTATTAATCCGATTTATGAATTAGCATCACTTTTTAATAAGTATATAAAATTATATAAATAATTAACTTAATTTTCTATAATTATAATTTTTTAATCCAAGGTATTTTGATCCAAAACTAAATGTAAAGGTTTAGACTACATATAATATTAAAAGAGATTGTTGAATTTTTTCTAAGAAGAAAATTTATCAATTGATTTAAAAATCTGGTAGATAATTTTTAAAATGAAAAGGACAACTAAACATCATAAGTAATTTAACAATCCAGGAAATAGATATTCTTTATTTTTCAAATCATTTATTTTATGAGGAATAAATGGAAAAATAGAAGATTTCTAATCTAATAGTGTTTATAAATAATAAATCAGGATTCTTCCTTGTAAATTGAAAGGATTATGTCTTTATAGATCTATAGTTTCTCAAATTCTTAAGATTGACTTTGAATCTCTTCCAATACTTTTTAAAATAATGCATCTTAATCAGAATCTTCAATAGGTATATATCTGAGAAGAATTAGATCGATTCTGCTATAGTCTTCCTTTTGCTTCTTTAATATGATTGGAATTTATTTGCTTTTCTTGCTGAATTAGATGGAATATTCATGATGATAATCATTAAAAAAGAAGATTAACAAATCATCTTTAACCCTTTAAAAATAATAAATATTTGTACCTCTCTAATCTGGATTAGTGATCATTTCCATATTAGCCTAGCAAAATATTATTTTGAGAAACAATTTAAACGAACAACATATGTATTTAGTTAATTATTTGTCTTTATAAATACTAATATGAAATCTCTCTGAGTATCTTCTTTAATTCCAAGCTATTGATCGACAAACTTTTAACACTTTCAAAAATTATATTTAAATTGTCGTTTTCCTTATTTTAATAAGTTCCTAATTCTATCAAAATAACAAACAATATAGTTCCTTAAGAATATTAAAAATTAATTAAGTTACTGTTCTAAAGTTTTACAATTCATTTATTAAGTGCTTATCTTAGCCTATTCGCTTGTTTATTAATTGCTTAGGGATATAATTTATTACTCTTCATAATTTAAAAAAAGACTTTAATCCTATTAACATTGTTTTAATAGAATTAATAATATAGTAAATTAATTATCCTAAAATTCATTAATATTCATGAAAATTATTATTATTTGGAGATTTAATGTCTATCTTGGATAGAAAAAACTTTAGACTTTTTCAATAATTAATTCTGATGTCTAAAGTTCAAAATTAAAAAATTTTCCAGTAATTTTTATATTAGCTTTACTTCAATTTTTATATTATAATATTTTTTATTGCTAAAAAGAGTTAAATTTGTTGTCTAATTTGGAATGCAATAATAATTATAAATCCAAATTTATGGCTAGAAATGAAAATTGTAAGAATAAGAGATTTTTGATAAAAAAAATATAATTAGATTAAAGATTAAGAAGGATTTTAAAAATCAAAAATAAATATTGATTTTATTTTTTGTTTATTTGAAAATTATTATATTATATTTAATATCTTATCATTAAGGATTTGATTTTTGAATATCTTGTTATTAGTCTTGTTATTTTAGATGATCGTGATTTTCTTAGAATTACTTGAGATTGATTAAATAATCACTAAGTTCTTACTAATAAATAGATATAAATAAATGTACTCTAAAATTGTGTGCATTATTTAAGTTTTAAAACATTCTAGATATATGCAATTCAGTTTATTATTTAGTTACATTCGGGAAGGCACCATATAATGATGTTATGAGATATTAAGAAATATACTCAAAGTTTGAACCAACTTATTCATTTGATAATTTAGTGGTTATTTATGGATTAGATGCAATTTAAAAGAGTGTCATTAATATTTAACTTTGGTGTTTAAATCCACTAGCATGTAAATTATCAGTCAAAATTTCCAATATATCTTTTAGTAGTCTTAAATAGTAAAGGGAATAAAATTGATTGGCAACAATTAAATCACTATTTACTTACTTTAAATATATAAGAAGATTATAAATACTTATAAAATATAATATAAGACATCCAATCCTAATTCTTATAGATTAGGTACTTAATGTTTAAATGCCCATATAATACAATCTATCATTAATTTAAATTAATCTTAAGGCATATTAAACAATCCTAATAAATGATATTAGACACATGATCTTAAAAATTCAAAGAAATTAATTCTATGATCAGGATATGAATTAAAATCTTGGCTTATCAATCTAATTGTAGCATCAAATAAGCCTTTTAGAATTAAAGGAACAAGATCTTCAATTGGAGTTAAAAATTTCTCAAGCATATACTAATAATATATAACTCTATGAATATTACTTTAAAAGTCAATAGTAATTCTGGCTCTTTTTATTCATCAATTGATTATTAATATTCTTCTAAGAGATTACATATAGGTAAAACTAATGAGGTTTTTAATTAATAATTTTAATTTAATAATTATTGATCATTATTTTAAAAATATGCTGAATATAATTTTAAAATTTCTTTTTTAACAGCTCTTTATTTTTTAACAGTATACCAACCCATAATAATAATTCCTTATCCCATTGCTTACTATTAGATACTTTGACTATAAAAGAGATATAATTAATTATAAGTAGGTAAAAGTTAAATTAATGATTAAGTAAATGCATATCCAGTTGGTTATACTATTTATTAAAGAATTCTGAAATATTAGATAAAAAATTGTTAAACTTTTTCATCTTTAAATAGATCAGTATAATTATTAGAAGAAGTATATTAAATCAATTAATCATTTAGATGTTTGACTAAACTATTAACTAATTGAATTTTAATATTAAGATCTTCTTCAAATTTAATCATATGACTTAAACTTTCATAATATACTAATTTGTATTAATCTTGCAATATAGCTACTTAATCTCTTATGTTTCTAATTAATTCCCAAATATATGGTTCTCTTTCTAATTAATCAGATTAACTTAAAATTTAATATGAATAAAACTACATTTATTATCGAATTACAAATGCTTTTCCACATTTTTAACTTATTGTTAAGAATGTATTGCATGCCATTTCTTAAACACCAGGAAAAGATTCTCTCATAAATTCAAATAACTTTTTTATAACAGTTTTTAAAAAATTCCAATTGTTTCTTAAGAATTTTGGATATTATCCTACAACATACATTATATTGGCAGCAACAACAGCTTTATTTTCTTTACCTTTTTTAATTTCACAAAGAGATAGTAAATTTTTAATTGTGTGAATCAAAAACTATTTTTCATCCTATTCTGGTAAACATCCAGAAATTGAACCTATTGCCCAACAAATACTATTTAAATTATCAAATGACCATTCAGATCCATCCATCTAAAAATAATTTTAATAAATTAATATAAAATTTATAAATAGATATGATTCTATTTTTATTTAAACTTTATTGAGATCATTTATAATATCTCAATAAATTATTTAAGCACGCCATTATTAATGCGTTTTAAGTATTAATTAATTTAATTTACCTATTTATCCAATTTTTAAGTAATAATCTCTTTTGTACTTGTCCAATTTAATTTTGCTAAATTAATTAAAAGATCTTTTAATAAATCATATAAAGCATTATTTTCGGTATTTTGTAATTCTTCCTTTATTGGTTAACCAGTTTCATCTATACTAATTAAAACTTCTTATGGTTTTGCCATTTTACTCACTACTATCTTTCTTAATTCACATAAAATCTATTATTAAAAACTCATAAAATTATTACTCTAGGATAACTATTATTTTATAATGATGGTGGATTCATTTCATTTGAATAAAGATTCAATATTATTTAATTTCCTTTTGGCAATTATATTGGTTAATCTAACAATCTCTTTGTAAAATCAAACCAAAATTCTGCACAAACCTTATAATTTTATTCTAATGGTAATTAAGAAAATCCAATTAGATATTATAAACTATAATCAACCAATTATATAACATTTGGATTTGTCTTTGAAATATTCTCTAACCAATCCAAGTGTTAATTAAGTATTCCTGTAAAGAATTAAGTTAAAATAGCACAAAAATCATCAAAAAATTATAATTATGTATTGCTTGTTGTTCTTAATCTTTATCTTTCCCCTAAAAATCCAAAATCACATGGAAAAACTTATCTTAATTTTATTAAGATTTTTTCAAAAATTATTCCTATTTTTTACTATTAAATAATCATCTTTTATTAATCAGCTATAAATTTATATTAAAATATAATACAATCCAGTTTTAAAATAACAATTTCTGTTAAACATCTAATAGAGAGATTTCTAAAGTGATTGTTATCAAACAATTAAATTAAAATCTCACATAATTAAGTCATAAAGATAAATCCAAATGGAATCCAAGATAAATATGTATAAAGTGTTTCTAAAGTCTATTTTATTAACGTAATTTTTATATTTTGTTTTTCCACAAATGTTTAAACCAAGAAGAAACAAAGTTCAAATATTATTTAAAACTCTTTGTGAAGATTGCTTTTAAGTTCAACAATTTAGTGTGTTGTTAATTAATTTTTAGAATAATCAAAAATTTCCTAACTAAAATTTAAATTATTTAAAAAATTTACCTTAATAATCTAAGTAATTTTAAATTATTTTCACAAAGGTTTTAATCTGTTTTACTTAATTCACAAATTTCTGGAATAAATGATACCCAAGTTGTCTTCCATTCGTGTTTTAAAATTTATATAATAATCATATTTATTTGATTTAATAGAGATTCTTCTATTGAATCATGTGAATCTTTGGCTCCAAAGTGTAATAATTATTTAAGAATAAAACCTTTAAGTCCTTATCTTGATTCTTCACGAATTAAATTCCATTTAGATTTTATTTATTCTTCAAGTACTTTAAGAGCTAAAAATTTAGTTTGATTTTATTTGCTTAATAAAATGACTTAATCTGTCATTGTCCAAAAGAATTAATCATTTTATAAATCTACCCAAATTTTATTACATGCAGTGATCTAAATGATATGAAATGAATACAATTTAAATATTACTAGATCTCATTCCAGAGGTAACAAGATCAAGAGCTACAGCTTTTTATTCATTAAAGGGTTAGGAGTGATCAAACAATAATTGACTTGCTTAAACAAGAGTATTATAATCGACTTCAGCCATATTTTAATTATTATAAGGAAATTAAAATTAAGAATGATAATTAAATATATATATATAATAGTTTAATAAATCAATGATCATAAAGTCTAGAGGTGTTAATTTTTTCTACTTTTTATATATAATCATCGACATTATTTTTAGACTTAAGCATTCCCATAAATCCAAAAGGATTTATTCGATCATCGAATGAATGTGAGGTAGCTACTCTATTATGAAATTATTAATTTTTAAGTGGTGATTTTTTAGATTTTTAAATACAATCCATAAGTCTTTTGATAGATTCATCTAAGATTTTTTAATTTTCTTATTGTATTTTAAGATGTTAATATTATTATTCGATTTCAAATTATAAATCTTCACATGCATCTAATCTAAGATGAAGTTCTTTTTTTTATTTAATCAATTATATTTCTTTTTCTTCAATTTATTTTTATTATTCTTCTTTAATATTTTGCATAACTTATTTTTTTTCAATTTCTCTGAATTATTATTCTAATTATTGTTTGATTAATTTTTATTGTGTAATATGTAATTTTAATAATTGTATTTATCCTTTAAGAAGTGAGTTTTTATTAAGAGTTTAAGATTAGGTGGAAAGAATGTATTATAGATTCTACTCAAATCTTTCATTCATATTTTATAATGAATTAATAATAGTAATAATAATAATAATAATATAATATAATATATATATATATTTATATATATAAATAAATTAGTTTATGATTGGTTTAAGAATTTGTCATATAAAATGTATTTTAGTATTGAATGAGTAAAAGCAGTCAGAAATAATAGGGAAAAGGGAATGAAAGATGAAAGAAGAGGATTGATTTAATTTCTAATTTCTTTTTCTTTATTTTTGATCCTTTCTCATTTAGAAGATGATGACTTATGTGACTATCTCTATTTATTGCTAACTGATGATTTGGATCTTGAATTTGTATTAGATCTTTTGGAACTGGTACTTTTCTTTCTCCTATTATCTCTTCTTGGACTTCTACTTCTTCGATTGTATCTATTTCTCTTTTTAGAATCTCTTCTTCTCCTAGAATGAGAAGATGAATAAGAAGAATGTGAATGAGATCTTGAATTAGATCTTTTTGACCTTCTATATCTATTTAATATAATAATATCATAATACTTAGATTTAGAATCAGAATATCTTTTTCTTCTAGGAGATTATCTATTTGGACATTCTCTAGCCCTATAATTATTATATTATTTTAAGATTACCAATGTCCACCTTATCCACATTTAAAACATTCATCTTTCTCTTATGGTCCATTTCTACGTCCTTTACGATTATCCACAACATCTACTTTCAATTTCTATCCATTAATCTCGCATCCATTCAATGCTTTAAGAGCATCTTCAGCTTCTTATTCTTATGAAAATGTCTATTTTTATAAACATATTAAACTATATCATACAACAAAAGAATATGATCCTTTGTAAGCAACCTCTTTTATATTGCCATATTTCCTGAATATGTCCTTTATACCTTTATCATCTGAAATCTTATTACGACTATAACCAGCCACAAATAATTAATTTGGCACTATCTCACCCATACTATAATATTTAAATTTTTAATAATCAATCTTTATTTTATACAATTCAATTACTCTTTTTTACATATATTATCCCCTCCATCCCCTATCCTTTTTATCTAATTTATATAAAATCATATCTATTATAAATCTATAATCTCTCTATGATTTTCTATTACAATTTATCAAAATACATTTAAATCTATCTATAAATTTCTTATTACTACATAATCTAATCTTAAATATTGATATATAACTTATAAGAAAGACTTTTTTTATTTATTTCTCTTTTATTCAAAAATTCTTATTACTTATACATTCATAATTTCATTTTATGATAATTAATTACTATTCTCATTTGAAAATTCTACTCAAAAAGGACTTCGAATCCCTTTCCCATGCTTATTAAACCACTGCATGTTCTGCTTCTGTAAATTATAAAACAGTTGCTATAACAGGGATAGTTTTTTATTTTACCTATTTATTATTACATTTAATTACAGAATATTCTTCAGTAAAAAATCTTATGATTATATTTTTAATATATTAAATATTTGCATTCTTTTGATTCTCTTAACATAATAGATCAATTCTTATGTTTTTTTCTCTCAATTCTTTAGTAATTTAATGAATTGTATTTTCTAATAATTAAATTTACTGTCTACCATTTTCAAAATGGTGTATTTCTGTTTTAAATTATAAAAATATACTTTGTTCTCTTTCCATCTTTCTTTCTTCCTCTAATTCCATCAATCTCTATTAATGCTCTTTTGTTTATTATTCTATCAAATTATTTTAGTCCTACTATTATTAGATCAATTCATAAATTGTTTAATTCAATGTAATTAAGTGTTGTTTTAAAGGATGTAATTATGGACTGCAAGACTTCATTTATATAATTGTTTACTTTTAATAATTAAAGCAATAATAATTTAATTTTTGCTTCACAATCAAGACTTTAATCAACTAAAGTTAAAGTAGTTTCTCTGATTTATTCAGATTAATTTATTACTTCATTAATATTTTACATGATTTCCTATTTATATTTGTCAAATTCGTTTTATAAATCCTAATATAAATTAAGAATTTCTTTTTTTTAATTCTCATATAAAAAACACTCTTACTATAATATTTTCATTCTCTAATCATATTGTTATGCAATAATCAATATATCATCTTTAGATTTAGAATAATCTAACAATTTAATATCTTCATGTAATTATGCGTTTAGCTGTTTATTGAATTCACTTTCTCTTACCCATTCAATTCCATTATTTTTAACACATAACCATTCAATTTCTTCAACTTTGACTTTTGCTAAAACTCTTTCACATATTATTTTCTTTTCATCTCCCAAATATTTATTAACAATTTATTCTAGATTATCATTTTTTTATTTTTCTTCTTATAATTATTAATTTTTTTCAGTTAACTCTGCTCTCAATTTATCGATAGTTAATTTAGCTTTAATTATTAATTATTTTTGTTATTCAATTTTTTCTTCCATTAATTAATTATGTAATTAACAAATAAAATACTAATTGGAGTAATTATTGCTTCATTTCTATAATGGTATAATTATTCCTTTTTCATTGGCTTTATAATTGGTTGTTCGACAATCCTTTATATTCAATATAATTACATTATGGATTATTTAAAACAATAACATAAGAATTATGAGATTAGCATAACAAGCTGTAATTTTTTAATATAAATAAAAAGTTAAACAATAAGTGGAAGAATACTTACATCCTGTTAAAAAAAAGAGAAAGCATTATATTAATAAATTCAATACAGAATTGTAGATAGAAAACCCATAAACAAAATAAGAGGATAAATAAACAATATAACAAATTTCTGTATAAAAATTATAGAGAAAAAAGTTCTTAAAAAAATTAGACATTTATCTTGAGTTTTTTGATAACATCAAAGTAATAATAAGATAATATATAGGAATCTGAACAATAGTTTGGTTAATAATTAAATGATTTAGATAGTAAATTAATAGCAGAAAATGAAATTACTAACGTTGATAAATATTCAGAAGAATCCAATGAAATAATTTAATAATTAACTGGTGTATAATTGAATTCTAAATTATTCTTATATTTACCATATTGGAAAGAATTTAAAAAAGTTTTAAAGTCAATAAGTCAATGTCATAATGAAGTTGGTGTTGATATCAATAAAGTTAGTGTTTAATTAGTTTAATTAAGGAAAGGATATATAAAAGAAGTGGAAGATATTAGAAAATAAAGAAGAAAATTAAAACATTAAACAATTGAATGTTATCAACATTATTAAAAGATTTTGAATGAATTTAATTAAAATGAAAAAGATTTATAGACTTTTAATTAGGCTCATAATGAAATGATAAAAAGAAAGGATGATCCTACATAAATAATTAAAAGTGAAATGAAAGTTAAATTATAAAAATAATAATCTGATAACATAAGATTAAAATTAACAGATTCAAGAGATAGAATCAAAGAAAATTAAATTGAAATTAATGAATTTAATTAAAAAATGCATGAGTTTTAAATTAATTATGAAGAATAAAGAGTTATATTTGTAAAATAGGGTTTTCAAGCATTTTTAATAACATCTGAGAATTATGCTATGTAATTTTAAACTTAGATCTCTTCTTTAATTGTTATTGTAGATGAAGATTATTGTAATATTATTTAATTTATTAAATAGATTAAATATATCCATCAAAATAACATAGAATTTCAAAATCACCTTAAAAAGAAGTTTAAGAAATTTAATAATTAAATTAAACTAATGAACTTGATATTAATCAATAGATAAAAGAATCTTAAAGGTAAACTACATATTTACTCTAATAATGGCAACTAGTATAAAAGTATAATGAAGAATTAGAATATTTCTTTAGAGATACAATCTAAATTTTTACTTAAAAATCAGTAGATAAAGATTTTACACTTGTGAAATAGTAAGTAGAATAAGAAAAAATAGAGGTGGCTAATATTTTTAATATTCTATTTTAAAGTTTATTAAGTGTAATTTAAATAATTAAAGATTAAAATAAATTAATGGTTGATTAAATAGAAAGAAAAAGATAAGAAATAGCTAAATGTAGATTAGATATGTCGATTGGTAAAGAATTAGAAATATGTGCTTTAAGAGATTTAAAAAAATTATAAAGTTTAAGTACTGATGAAAAAGCATTAGAATAATATTCAAATGATTAAGTAGATAAATCAAAAACAAAGAAAGCTGCATAACATTTTTTTAATGAAATAAAATAAAATATGCAAGATGTAAAATCTTTGAATTTTGGTAAATTTTATGCAACAATTGGTTAGACTGTATCAAAAGTTTAAAAAATGAGTAATTTAAAAGAAGATGATCTAAAGGAATAGTAGATTAAATTAATAGAGGATAAAAAGGCTTTAATTTCTTTATAAGGGTTTACTTTAAAGAAAATGGAAGATATATTGAATAGACATAGTAAATTAGTAGCAAAAATGAAAAAAACATTAATAGAAGATTTTGGAAGATTTGCAATATAAATTTTTACACATTTAAGAATGATTGTTGATGAAACAACTGAAAATATTTAGATAATTTAATAAAGAGAAAACTTATAAGAATAAATTGCAGAATAAGTTATTTAAAATGAAAAAGAAGAACTTATATGTTAAAGTGAAGATATAATAGAAGATTTAAATGTGAATACTACAACTTAATTGGTTTAGAAACTACTAAGAGTATTGGTAAATGATTGGAAAGAAAGTGAATATTTTAAGGGGAAAATAATGAAAATTTTACATAAAACTTTTAATAAAAAAAGAGCAACGATATTATCAGAAATAACGGTGAAAGAATTAAAAATTGTTGGAGATCCACCATCTTTATCTGAAATATAAGCATTAAGATAAGATGTTAATGAGGTATATATATTAATTAAGATCTAAGTTTTTATGTGATATGGATTTATCTTTTAGAGGTAAAATCTAAATTGTCTTAAATACAAATATTATTATAAATTGGCCTAAAGAATATTATGTACCAGTTGAAATTAAAATTACTATCTCTACTTTTACAAGTAGAATTAGATTATGTTTTGTACCAACATTTCTAGGAAAAAGTTGGTAATAACTTTATTTTTTATATTATATAGGCTTTCCATGATAGGATAACCTGTTATTAATTTAGATATTGAACCAACATTCTTGTAAAAATACAATATTGCTAAAATTTAATAAATAGCTGATTTAATTAGAGAATTTTTAATTGCTAAAGTAAAACTTATGACTTATCCTAATAAATTAACTATCAAAATACCTTTAAGTAAGAAATGAATACTGATCTTATTTATTTAAAACAATGTATAAATTCTAAATAAATTGAAATGTTAAACCATTATTTTTTTTATTTTTTTTATTTCTAAACCTATAATTTTTATGAAAACACAAATTGTAAACAATTAAAGATATTATTAATGCTAAGAAGAGGAATATAAGTCAACTAGGACTTATAAAAATTCTAGCGATACAATAAGAATACTTACAGAAATTTAATTGTAAAATATTTCAAATAACTTTAGACCCTAATAAATGTCTAAAAGCATTTAAGATGCTTATGAAAAGGGAGAAAATGATCTAAAAAATAATATCTTTGACAACATTATCAAAGAGAACATAAGTTGTTTTTCTTTTGATATTTATAAACATTATATCATACAATGTATTTTAGAAAAAGGATTAAGTGAACATAAAAATTATATTTTAAGATTCGTTGAAGAAAACATGGAATAACTATGTTATAGAAAATATGCTTATAAAATAGTTTAATCATGTTTAACTCAATTCTAAAACAATTAAATAACTCAATACATAATTGACAATTTAAAGAAATTATAATTTGATTAATATGGAAATCTCATCATTAGTACTCTTTTAGATACAATTCAAAATGATGAATAATTTGCTTAAATAATCAATAAATTATAAATCGACAAAATTAAATATCATCAATATGGTTGTGTAATTTTAATTAATATGGTTACTTGTAATAAGTCTAATCATGTAGATCTAATAATAAATAAGCTTATATAAGAAAGCATTCAATTATCAAAATCATAATATTCAAATTATATAATCTAAAAAATGCTAAAAGAAAGAACCATAGAATAAAATAAATTATTAATTAATGAATATTTGATTCCTAATTTTATTGAATTATCTTGTAATAAATTTGGAAGTAATGTTTGTGAGATCATGGTCACTAAATCACTTGCTTATTAACTATAAAATTTATGGAATCTTATAATAAAATAGTATTATTATTATTTTATTATTTTAGAAATCTTAGATCGCTATTAAATAATGAGTATGCTAACTATGTTATGTAAAGGTATTATACTTATATTTTAATGTTTAATTACATTTTGGATGAGTTTTAATAATAATTATATGAAATGAATAGAAAACAATTATTGAACCAAAATGGTAAAATTGTTTTTCGATATGTTAATCAATGTAATCAAATAGTCCAATAAAATTTATCATATTGAGACTTATGATACCCAATCATGATTATTATATACATTTATATAATAATTTAATTATAAAGAAATAATGAAAGATTTTAATAAATTTGTGCTTTTTGCTTTGGGTGGAACTGTTTTAGGTCTTTTGTATAAAATGAATAAAGAAAAGATTAACAAAAATCAATTTGAATTGAATCTTCTAAAAAATTAGAAAAGTGTTTCTGTTTAGCAATTAAGGTAAAAATTCTAAATTTATAAAGAAATTCATTTTCATTGACAGATGATAATTAAATAAGTTTATTTGTTGAAGGATCAGTAGCATAATCAACAGAAATGTTAAAAAGCACAAATAACAAATATACTGGTGTTTATATAAAGAAATAAAATTATGAAATAGAAACTGTAGAGAATAATGGATGTAGGACTTAGTAAAGAAGATATACAAGTGGAACAACAAATACAACAGATTCATTTATATTAAATTCATTACCTAAATCAAATACAAATATATTGATAAATAATTTTTCAGACACAGTAATATTGCCAAAAGTTTTAAAACATTAAAAAACAGATCATTTTTTGATTTCTCCTGAAGTTAGAACAATAATGAGAGAGCCTGAAACGTAAGATATTTCATATTATTAGAGATGAAGAGAAAGCATAGTTTAAAGAAGGGAAAATATCAAAGCTTTTAACAACTATTACAAAAATCGGAGTTGTTATTGAAGAAGATATTTTATGTGAAGGAACATTTATTTGCATTTATGGTAATGTTATTTGGGATAGAGTATAAAATACTTTTAAAATGACAGCTCCTAAATATTTTGGTATAAGTAAAGATTAAATTATTGAATATTTTGAAGCTGATTAATTCTTCTTAAAATTGATTGGAATTTTATTAGCTATTGGTGGAACAGTATTTATAAATTAATTAATAGGCCTTTTCTATCTTTGCTTTAAAATACTTATATAAGTTATTATCTAATTGTGAGAATGATCCAAAAGCTAAAGCTAAAGAATATAAAATAACAAAAAAATGAATTTTTTATTACAATATTAGAGTAGAAAAAATAAACACTATTTTTATTATTACATAAATCATTATTATTCATCATCTTCCTCTTCTTATATTGTTTAAATAACTACTTTTTTTATAACTTTCTTTTTCAATTTTACTCCTGATTTCAAATTTTACCATTTTATTGCTAGTAATTCTTTATTTCTAGCCAATAATTCTTCTTATTAATGTTAAGATTATTTAATATTCTCTTTCCAAACTTAAAATTCTTTTGATAATTCCATTAGTTAGATACTTACATCAATACCTTTTTAAATTTATATTTTAAATTAAGAAACCTATTCCAATAATTAATTACAATAATGAAGATCTATAGAATCAACTGCTTCATGTCTATAATTCAAAATATTCCTAAATATATAATAATATAATTATACTCTTATAATGTAAAAGCTTCTTTGATATTATTTTCAAATTAAATCTCTTTTTTATTTAAATTTTTGTAAAGTTCTTAAAAATTTATTTAATAAAATTTTTAAAATCTTACAATCTAAGTCTATGATTAATAAATAGGATAAGATTTATTTAAATATTTTGATTCAGTTATATATTTTTTATGTTTTATCCATTTTTAAACTAAATTTAAACCATTTTTTTTAATTGACTCAGCTTATTTTTAATAATTTTCCCAATTTGATAAGCAAATATTATAAATTTATTCAAGTTCATTTTATTTTTTTGTATTATATATTTCTAATTGTATAATTTGTAAATCTAAGTATTATTATATATATAATTATTTTGATTGTTTAATATATTCCGATTATCTAACCTATAGGTCTTTACTTATTATAAACTTGAGTCTTTGATAAAATTTGTATTTGGAATCAAATTCAATTATTTAAGATATTTAATTTATTACTTCATTTTTTAATACTGGTAAATTAATAATAAAAGTAAGTAGTAATACATTCCCATGAAATTCATAATGCTCGGAATTACAACTCTCTAAAAATTATCCTAAAAGATCTAAAAAGTAAATAAGAGTGTCATTATTTTAAATTTTGAATATTGGAGCTTGTATCTTTTTATCTTACAATCCCTTAATAAAATCTCCATATATACAAGGAATATAAATATTTAATTTATTCTCTGCCATAATTGAAATTAAAATTGATAATCCAACTCTGATTAAGTGGTATGACCATTCATCTAAATATAATTTATTTTATAGATCTACACTAAATTCAGAAAAACACCCAAAAAGATCTTCAGTAATATTGTATTCTTAACATTCAAGAAATTCTATATATTTTATATAGGGATTAGTGAAAATAGGTTTTTTCATTTATTTAAGAGTAAAAATAGCCAAAGGTAATTCATTGATATAATTTAATAGATTTATAGCTAAAACAATTTTTTGATGGCTGATTTTATCTTAAGTCTTTTAAAGATAAGAAATACTTTCATTTCTTAATAATGATTTTATTTTTGAAGGTAAATTATTATTTCTAATATTAGTTTTAATTAATATCTTATAAAAATCTAATTAATGAAGAGACTTTATTGAATTTAGTATTGAAGATGAATGTTTCTCAATTTCCATATTAATTCTTCCTTACTCATTAAAATTCTTAAATTTTTATGTATTTACTTATTTAGGATAAAAAATTAAAGGTAATACATTTTTTTATTTTAAATCTAAATAGTATAATTGTTAAAAGTATGGTAAATAATTATCAAGATATAAATTTTAATTAAATAGCTTATTTGAGTCATTGTGTGTCAAGTAATAACTTTTTAATTATTCTGAAAATCTATAAAATAAATCAAAGAGCATCTAATTAAAAGATTTATGAATAGCTTTCATTACAGTATGATAAGGTGTTAAAATAAACTCAAAACCAATATCAATAAATTTTATTTGTTATTGTTATATAGTTTAATTATCTTTTTATTTTTCTTTTGATGCTTATTGCAAATGTTAGATCAAATCTGAAGTTAAATATACTAGAGAATATTAAGAATAATGATCCATAATTTCTCCTTCAGGTAATGAAAATTAATATATAAATGAGAATGAATCAAAAATATTAGAATTTTTTGAAAATAATTACATCTGATTTAAATAATAGATTTAATTTTCAACTATTTAAGAAACATCTAATTTAGATATTTTTTCTGAAGAAGCTATTTTCTTTAAAATTAAATGTTAAAGAATAATGGTTTCTATTTACTTTAGCTATTAAGTGAAATTTAAATTATTATTTTAGATTTAATTATTAAGAATAATTTCTTGTAATATTTATTGATTTAATTACTACTTATTATTAAAATATTTTATAGTAGTTTAAAATATAGGATTAAAATCAGAATTTTAATACTAGAGTGCTTCTTAAACTCCCAAAAGATATTAATATTTAATTAAATTAAATTCTTCTTATTCATTAAGAGATTTATTTTATCTATTTTCTTTAATTTTTTAAATGATATTAATAATATCTTTATAACTATTAAAGGATCGACATAATTTTAATGCATGTTAATAATTTAATTGATAAATGACAGTCTTCCAATATCCTAATCCAATTAATTCTTTATAGCAAGTAATACCAAAACTATTTGATGTATTAAATTGTTATTCGAATTTAAATTATAAAAATTAAGGATTAATTGATTCTAGAATATTATTCATAGCTAATTAAGATACTGCTGCTTATTCTAATATTTATTTTCTATATAATTTATTTGCTATAATCTAGAAATTGTTTCTCAAAGGACTTCTAGTTAATGGAGTATAAAGCGAAGCTAATGAAACTAAATATCTGCCTGCATATTAAGCTAATTTGAATTGATTGCAAACAAAAATACATAATTTATAGCTTTTGAATTATTCTAATAAATCTAAAATCAAATATACAATATCTATTTCTATATTATCTAAATCATATAGAAAATTGATCATATAATCAAATTCTTTCTCTTCTCCAGATCTTTCAGATAATAAAGTAGCTTTATGGGTTTGTTTTTCTATATGAGCCTTGAAATCATCTGAAAAGTATTAAAATTTTTAAATTAATTATTGTAAAACATTTTTTTTAATAAAGATATTAGTTCTAGATTTTAATAATGATACATTTGAAGGTTAATTTAATAATAAAACATTAGAAAATTGAGATTCAACACTAGAGGTTGCAATAGATTTAATCAATTATTTTTAATTATTTTTCAACCATTCATCTTCTGGATCAAACATTGAAAGATGATCAAAAGATTCATCATTTTAAACACAAAAAGACTCTGATTCATCTAATTCAATAATTTGTTATTATTCTTATTAAATAATTTGTTATTATTCTTATTATAAAATACTTACTTAAGATGTTTCAAGATCTTTTTAAACATTATCTTCTTAAATTGATTTTGATTCATTTATTAAAGAATTTTCAATTTAGAAACTCTAAGATTAATTATTTATACTTTATTATACAAGATTTGGTTCTTCATTTAAATTCTATTCTTCTAATTCTTTTTCTTCTTGTTCAATTTAATCAGTCATTTCTTATAAAAAGCTTGGAAAGAATTTATTTAAAAAAGCCATTCTTTCATCAGATGAAAATTCATGTTTGTACAAATTTAATAATTCAATAATTTTCTCCCAATTATTTGCTTTTTTATAACAATCAAGTGCTCTTCTTATATCTTTAACTTAATAAAATAAATCTGCAGCTTCAGTAAAATATCCTGCATAATATGCAGATTCAGCAGTTTCACTCTTAAAATTAGTTAATTTATATAATTAATAAGCTTTATTATATTCTTTTCCTGAAAAATAACATTATGCTGCTCTTAAAGGTAAATTAATTTACTCAAATAATTTTGCTGCTGCTATATAATTAGCATAATTTTCATTAAAAATATTAGCTTAAGCTGCTAAAAAATAAGCATTAGACTTAATTGCTAATTATTCATCTCCAGAAAATCTAAAACATTTAGCTGCTTAATCATAATTATTCAATCTAAACATTTTATATCCTTGTTTTTTCCAATTAGCTTAATTATCTATTGTATTTTCAAGAATAAATTAAGTTTAAGATTGTTTTATATTCTTTTTATAAATAATTTCAACAACTTCCAATTTCTCCCAAATAGATTATATTATTTATCTCTTTCTAATTTATTAATCAAATATTATTAATCTTCTTTTAGGTCTTGTTATAGCAACATAAAGTTATTTCAAATCTTAACATAATGACATATATTCTTAAAATTAATCTTAATTAGATTTTTATTATTTTTAATCTATTATAACTCGTAATTTAAGTTATTTAATTTCTATTAATTTTTTTAAATTATTATAATCTGATGCTATTATCTCAGTTTAATGAACTATAAAATAATTATAAATTTAATACCTGTTTAGTAATTGTTAAATTATTCTTAAGTCATATAAGTTTTTTATATTTCTAATTCATTCAAACATTTCCAATCTTCTATAGAAATAGCACAATCATTAAAGAAATTATACAAAATTACATCTTCAAATTCAAGACCTTTAGCTTCATAGATTGTTAATACTAATGCATTTTAAAGTTCTTAAGGTAATTTTTCTTTAGATTCTTAATCTTTTACTATGATAGCCTAATTACATCCAAATTCAACAGCTTTTTTTTCATTTGTAAAAAATTCTTAAATATATGATAATAAATCTAAAGGATCTTCAGTTTATAAGATTATTGGTTTTGGTCCAGTCAAATCAGAGATTTCTTTTCTTAATCTATCAATTTTCTAAGGAAAACAAATTTCTAAAATTCTAATAACTGAATTTGCTAATTAAAGAATTTAATTATGTGATCTAAAATTAATATTTAAATCAAATAAAGTTAAATTAGATTATCTTCTTCTTTAATGACCTCTATAATTTAATATACAATTTTAAACTTCAAAAAACTTAAATCCAATTCCTTTAGCAATATTTTAAGCATTATCTCCACAACAAAATAATCCAAATTCTGCCATTCTATCTAATAATACTAAAATAGCTCTAGGAACATCTTATAATTCATCTAACATTAAATAATGTACACATTCAAGTACATCATTTCCTTAAGTTAATTCATAGTTAATATGATTTACAATATCTAATAAATCATAATATCCATAACTTTGTTTTAATCTTTCATAAGTTTCAAATGCTTTATAAAGTAATTTTGTTTATACTTCTGATAAAACTCTATGATAATAAGAATAATTTTCAAAATTCATATATTTATCAGGATATTCATGTGAAGTTTCATGACCTTTTATTTTAGTACAAATTTCACTCCAAACTAATGTAGGATCAAAAGTTGATACATCAAAATATTCTTTTTTTAATTCTCTTACTATTTTAGGCCAAAATACTCTTTCAAAAACATCTAAAGTAACTTCTTATAAATTTGTCTCTATAAATTCTTGATTATCTATCAATCTTATATGATTATGAAGAAGATCTTCATTAAATGTTTATTAAACTTAATTTTAATCTAAACTCATTAAACCAGATGATTCATTATGCCATTATGATAATTTATTTTAATATCCTCCATAAACTTTAAAATAAGAATTCAAAAGGGAAGAATCAATTAAAGCCAATAATTTTCTTAAAGTTAAGAATACAGGAAATTATTAAATTTCACTAAATTTATTAAACTTTCCCATTTCTTTTTCAAATTAATTTATTTCTTCATCATCAATTTCATTCTCTTACTCAACTTCTTTTTAATTTTTAACAATTTCTTCATCATTTTATTATAAGGCCTCTATTATTTAAAAAGTACTTTATTCAAAATCTATATTTTAAGATTAAACATTTTCTTATTACTACTATTTTTATTTTTATCTTTTTGTATTAATAGTATTTTAGATATTATTTACTAATTAATCATACAATCTTTTAACTTAACAAGCTAATAATGGACTTGCTGTTACAAATATAGTTTTCAATTATTAGTCTTAATCTTATTAAGATAATTAAATATCAGAAGTACTATTTTTTATTTAATTTAATTTTATTCTTAACTTATATAAAATATCTGTTGAAAATAATTTTAATAAAGCACATGTAGTTTTACCTGTTCCACTTCTACCAATAACTAAAGCATCTCCTCCATATGATATTATTGTTTTTTACTCTTGTGTCAATTTTACTTTAAAATTTGGTATGTTCTTTATTATTGTTAATAATTATTCTGATGATGGTAATTAACAATATTTTTTTATAATATAATTATTTGATCTAATTTCTTCTAATTATTTTAACTTCTTTCGATATTTCTCTTCATCTTCAATAGTCATCCATAAATTTAATTTCTGATTATAATTAAATTTATTTCCATTACATACTAACGGTTTAAATATTCTTGGCCCTATCAATTAATTTTCATTCTCAGAAACTTCTCCAACTCTTTAATATTTAACTTTTTTTTTATCAAAACTAAATTCTTAGATTAATTTCATGTCTGTAAAAAAATTTGGTTTACTTTATTAATCTTTTAAATATTTTTCATATTGTATTTAATTTTTCTAATTTGTTTTCTCATTCAAATCAACAAAAATTATTTAATGGACAAAATCGAATTAAATTGGATGTTATTTACCATTCATTAATGGATATTTTTTTGGAAATATTTAAAATTAAATAATATATTACTTTTCTGGTATAGATTCTAATTAATAATCATATTGAAATGGAAATTTTATACTACCTACTTACAGAAGATTTACTTTAAACCATTATTAATTTGATTTATTAAATTTTCCTTAAACTAAAACTTTTATCATTGCTAATACATTCATTAAATTTCCTTCATTCAAAGATGATAACTTTTTTTGAAAATTTTCTAATTTTACTAAGATATTTACTTGAAAGAGAAAAATCCCAAATACTTTAAGGAAACAAGGTATTAAGTGGGATATTTTTTAAATGTTTATTTAATTCTTCTTCTACATTTAATGATAATCCCATTAAGCGATACTCATTTTATTCATATAACACTTCAAAGTATTACGTTATGATGGCTTTTGGATTTAATTTAATATTCAAATTTTCATTAATTCTTTTTTAAATTGAATTAATAGCTGAGAGCAATTCTACATTTTCTTTTTTTAATAAACTTACGATAGTTTGATGCAACTTTATTTGTGATAGGTTATTATTCATATTATTCATATTAATTCTTTAAGAATATTAATATAGAAATAAAATTTAAACTTATTTAAATAGGCATATTTTAAATAAAAACCTGATTAATTAATTATTAAAGAAACTTCAATATAAAAATTATTATAAAAAAATTATATTATGATTGAGAATATCATGACTTGATAAAAAATACAAAATTTCATTTAATGAAAGATAATAATTCTGCTGCCATAGATCCTTTAAAAAATTCTAAATTGCTATTCAATGCATTATTTATAAATGCTTTTTCTTTTTATTTTTGTTTTCCAAGATAATTAATAATCTCTATCACATAGTTTTCATTAATTGGTTTGATGAAACTGAAAAAATCAATAAGCTCTTTTGAAATAGTATTTGAACCCATATTTCTAAACATTATGTTTTCATCTCTTTATTCAATACTTGATGAAATAATATTCTTAATTGAATCATATTTTTTGCATACTCTAACAATCTCAACTTCTTACTCTATAACAATATTTGGTTATTGTATCTAAGATTGAATAAGGTTTTAAGATCTAATTGCAGAGTTTCCTTAATCTTATGAGTTTTCTTCAAATACACAATTAGAAATATCTTCATAATTAATTGCAGCACTACCTCCTTATTGCGTACTTTCACTTATTAACATAATGTTACTATATTTTTTTTCTTCTTTTAACCATTAAAGCATTTTAATTAGAATTTATTCTGAATTTTTTTATAAAAAATCATCAAACTAAAAGCATTTTGAATTTAATGATTATTAAAATTAATCTATAAAGTTTAATGGTCTAGAGTTAGAATCTAAAATTGGGTATTAATCTAACAGTTTTTTTTATTCGACTTACGAAAGTAATTTAAAATCTCCTTAAATTTTATTTTCACTAAATTCAAAAAATTTACAATCAAAATAATTTTCACAAATCCATAAAGGCAAAGAAGATTTAAGAAAATAATTATCTTTTTCCCATTTTTCAAAAAACATTATTAAATCTCCTTTTGAATCCATATATAAATCATCCATTAGTTATTTTGAATCTTCTTAAATAAATCTAACAATCTTATTAAGTTAATCTGAAAATTAAAAATCACTTCTCCCAATCCATTATAAATGAGCAACATCAATATTGATATCAATTATTGCATTAAATATTTAATTAAATGGAATTATTGATTATTAATTAGATCTCCTTGCTTTTTTAAATTCATCAAGTATGAAATCAACATCTAATTATTAAACTATATTTCCCCATAATTTACCTCCAATTATTTCAATTTTTATCTCTGGAGATAATTTATAATATTTTTCATCAAAACTTTTATTAATTGGATTCAAATCATAATCTGGATCCTTTGAAAATTTAATTAAATGATTTTATAAATGTTCCCAAATCAAAACATAAACTTAACATTACACTAAACTATTGCTTTTTAATTCAATTAGTATCTTATTTGCTAAATGACAATAAATTTTAATTCCTTAATATAATGATATTAAAGAATTTTCATATTCTCCTTCATAATTAGATTTCAACTATTCGAAATTCATCAATCTAAAATTTCTGACAAAATCTGAATCTATTTTCTAATTCTCAATTTATTTATATAAATTATATTTATTTGCAATTAAAGAGCATTAAAAAACTGAACTTATATTGTTGAGTAAAATGTCTTCAAATTACATAATTTGAGGTGGTATGGATTTCGCAATAATTTTTATTATTTTCTTACTAAAAAATATTTGATATTTATTATACCTGTTTTTTACAAAATGACATGGAAATTTTATTAAAATTCCTCTCAAATATTTCAATAATTCTTAATCGGCAATAAGTTCAATATCTTCTATTAAGAATTTTAGACAACTAAGTAAAGATCTTTAGCTATTTGATTAAGCTCCTCCCATTTATTTTATTAATGAATTTTTTGCTTTTAAATTCAGAATTCGATAATTTAATTTATAGAATACTCATTTTATATATAGAATATATAATACATAAAGAAGAGAGTTCAATAATTACTCTTTTAGCAACCATCTTTTTAAATTGAAACTTTGGTTATTAATAATTTTACTTTTAAAGGAAAAAAACAAAGATGGAATAAATTCTGATTTGTATTTTTAATTTTTAAATAGATTCTTATAAGATTTTCTTATCTTCAGATTAACAATTATTAAATTTAATAATAATTATCATATTTATATAAATAGATTAGTTTCTTTTTATATATTTCTATATAGATAAATTAAAAATTAACAATAACTTATTTTCTAAATAAATATAGAAGTTAATAAAGATCATTGGATCTCAAATTCAATTTTAAATCAATCATAGTCTTGTTATTTTTTTTAGGAGTTGTTCATGTTTTCAATATTTTTTTTAACAACTTTTTTTAAAGATAATTAAAATTGATTCATTCTTTCTTATTCCTCTGTTTATTTGATTTTAGAAAAACGATTAAAGAAAAAACTATTTCTTTCAGCATTTCTACTAATATTACTTTCATCCATATCTAATAAACTGGTAATTGCAGAATCATTTTAAACTTACCACATTTAATCCTATTTTGAAATGAAAGATCTTCTATTCTTATATAATTTATTTGATTATATACCGAGTTATCAGATTTGACTGGAGAAAATAAAGCAGTTAATTCCATTAAAATTCTTGACCGTCTCTACATTTTTTCACTCAAATCTTGATTTTAATTCTTTTTTTTATTTCCTGTGTATTTTTATTCCAAATAAAATTACTTTAGATATTTTTTTGGAACAATATCTTCAAAAGCTTCTAGTTCTGTAACTAAAGATTTAATTTAGGGTGGCTACTACTTTTCAAAATAATCAGCTAATTCATAATAAATTTCATTATGTCTTCTCAATTAATAAATAGGAGTGTTGTATTTTCTATTATCATCTCTAGTCAATGATCTTAATTTGAGAATTAACTCTTATCTTGAAAGATCAGTAAAGTTGCATTTTTGTTCTGTATTTCGATGAGTCTCAGCTAGTTTATTGTATAATTAATATAAATCTTCATTGGGTTGTTATCTCAAACCTAAATTAATATCTTTACTTATTCTTTCAAATTCACATTAATCTTTTAATTTAACTTTCCCATCTAATTACCATCCTTTGTATTATTTTATTGGATCATAATGTTATTTGAATATCTTATAACTTGGTGGTCCAAAATCACTTTATGTAGTATCTAATTTACAATGTTGAGCTTAACAATATTTAAGTGCTTATTTTTTTTCTAGTCCAGCCCTTCTTAATTTTGCAAATAAAGTTGCATTATCTTGGTTTTCTTCAGTGAATTTACGTCTAGGAATAAACCTTTGACAATCCCTAAATAAACCACTTGTGATTTAATTTGGTTTTTCAAATGGGGATGAACTAAATGCTGTATCTCTCATATTTATGAATATAATAAAAATATAATTGACAATCATGAGTTTTAAAAATCTCTTCCAAACAAAGTTCCATCAAATTTACAATTAATCCTACCAATAACTTTAGTAACTAATTTATCTAGTTTTTCTTAAAATTATTAATTTTTTCTTTATTCATCAGTTTGTTAAAATTTTGAAAATCTATAACTTAAAACACTCAATCTTCTTTTAGCACTTGCACTTCCTTCCTCTATATTAAGTTATTCCTTTTATTCTTTTTAATCGGATATATGTGGAAGCTCTAAACGATGTTTTTCTTCTCTTGGATTAAATTGATCTAACATCTTCATAGCTATCCAATAATACAATTTCAATTGAAGGATCATGTGGACTTCTTGCTTCTCTATAAGTCTCAATCAACTCATGTAATGCTTTTTATCTTTATTTTAAACCTTTCTCTTCATCAGTTCTTTTTATACCTGGTCTTTAAACTCTTGGTTCTATTCTATATTGTTCTCTAACTTATTTTAGAATTATATCATCAAATGATTCTGTATCAGTTATTAATGTTCTAGACAATGGCTTTAATTATTCATAATAATCTGCTAATTCAAAATAATGATCTTTTCCGTTTCCCATTTAAAATTATGGAAGCTTTACTTATTTACTGGAATTACTTAACCCTATAAAATAATCTTTCAGCCTCTCAAATTTTTTCTACTCCTCTTAATTTCTATATTACATTAATCCATCATCATTTCTAGCCTTTTAATAATTTTCACAATTTCTCTCTTTCAATTTTCCAACCATTTACCAACCTCTTATAATTTTTTATTAATCAAGTGAAGTTTCGAATACTTTATAATTTGGAGGACCATGTCTTCCTTATGAAGCATCAATTTTACAATGATCAGCCATACAATACTTTAATGCTTTATCCTTAACTAATCCAAATCTTCGAAGTTTAGAGTACATCATTGCATCATCTTCATTTGGTTATGGTGATCTCTCTTTTGGCTAGAATCTCACACATTATCTAAATAATCCTATCTCTCTTGGAGAATCTGATTAACCATTCAATCTAACATGTTTCATTTATCAAAAATTATAATCATTTATCTATACTCAAATCTATTTTTTATAAAAACCATCTAGTTTTTTTTTCATTATTTATTTCCTTTCCTTTAAAATACTATATTTTTTATATATTCATATTAATTGTATTCCTTTACAATTTTATATTTAATAAAATCATTATCAAAAGAGATTTAAAAAGATTATTACCTTTTCACAACTTATATAAATATATATATTTTATTATTTTAATTAAGAACTTTTTATAAATTCAATGTGTATATAATTAATAATATCTATTTCAAACAGAAAGTATAAAAACTAAATTGTTTAATACATAATCTGATATGTTCTATTTTCCATTCAAATGACATAACTATATTATCATCCTATTATTTGGTTATAGCACATATCTAATCAAATAAATAGAACTTCCACACTATATGATAGAGCCATATTTAATTTCATCAATCCCAGCTAGAAATTCTTTCTTTTTATGACTATTCAATTCAATCACCGAAAATTATTTACTAAATATACTGCTTACATAATTAAAATTATATTCAAATTCAACACTTCTTAATAAACAGTTTTTAGCTATTTACCAATATTATTAATATTCTTTTAAAGATATATTTAAAAATTTTAAGTAACTAATCAATGATATTGGTAAATAACATATATAATTGATAACCTTTTTTTCCTATAGCTTAATATTCAATAAAGATATTCCAAAAGGCAATTGATTGATATTAAATTCAATTACTAAATCTTCAGATGAATCTTAATATAATTACATAGACTATCTCTTTTAAATTCCAGTTGATATTTCACTTGCAAATTAAAAATTTAAATCCATCTTGTAACCTGATAACTTGTTGGAATTCAAAAAAAATAAATGTAAAATTGCTGTTCTTTCATTTAATTTATCTAATTTGCATCCTATTTCTAACTATTTGCATGTAAAAAGTATCGATTAATTACATAAAATTGATTATTTTAAATATCCAATATTTTATTTATCTAAATTTAAGTGGTTCCATTCTGAGTAAGTAGAAGATATTAAACCTTTATAATTGTTTCTTAAACGATCCCTATAATAATCTTAAGGATTTGTAAAAGGAAAGATTATTCTTTTTTAGCTATCAGTCAAAACAGGTTCCTCATAATAACTTTATTTTAAAATTGAATTATACGGATGGAATTATTAAGCAGTTTTTGAGTATTAACCAACTGATTCACTTCTTTTTTTTATTTCAAGTTCTTATTACGTATTTTACTTTAATTCAGATATTTCTTTACTTTATAAAACTATTTATTTTGATTTTAATGACATTTCTTTCTGCATTTGTTCATTCTTCTGAAATAAATTATCATACTATTTTTGTAATTAATTATGTTTATAATCAAGATTTTAGTAATCTAATTACAGCTTTTAAAATTCTTCTTATTATTTTAATAGCTAATTATTACTACTAAATTTATCACTTTTCTCATATATAATCTCTTTTAAATTAGAGATTTCATTTATTTTATCTTAAAGCTCTTAAGAATATTATTATTATTTGCTTTCATATTTTTCTATGATTTATGTTATTTATAATTTTAATTTTTAATTTTCTTCTTTTAAATAATCTAATTCAATTTTATCATTTGTGATATAATGTTCTCGCTTTTATGAAGAACTTCTTTTGTACTATTAAGATTAATCCATCCTTTTTTATGACACTTAACTTAAACTTAATGATTATTAAGAAATCCTTGAGTCATTAATATTTTAATCCTATCTTAAATTTTTCATATATTAAGTTTACTTTTACTTAACATAAGTATCTTATATTTAATTTATTTAACCTTCTAATTTAACTTAAGGATCAAGTTAGTTTAAATTTATATCTTTTCTTTCATTAAGGACTTATTATTTTTAAGAAAAGCTAAAAATCTAATCCATTCCTTCTATTTTCAATGATTATTTTAATTGATTTGCTTTTAAATCAAAATTATTTTATTTTGTATTATCAAATGATTATTATTATTATTATTAGTATTGTTATTATTACTATTGTTATTGTTATTACTATTGTTATTGTTATTATTATTATTATTATTATTATTATTATTATTATTATTATTATTATTATTATTATTATTATTATTATTATTATTATTATTATTATTATTATTATTATTATTATTATTATTATTATTATTATTATTATTATTATTATTATTATTATTATTATTATTATTATTATTATTATTATTATTATTATTATTATTATTATTATTATTATTATTATTATTATTATTATTATTATTATTATTATTATTATTATTATTATTATTATTATTATTATTATTATTATTATTATTATTATTATTATTATTATTATTATTATTATTATTATTATTATTATTATTATTATTATTATTATTATTATTATTATTATTATTATTATTATTATTATTATTATTATTATTATTATTATTATTATTATTATTATTATTATTATTATTATTATTATTATTATTATTATTATTATTATTATTATTATTATTATTATTATTATTATTATTATTATTATTATTATTATTATTATTATTATTATTATTATTATTATTATTATTATTATTATTATTATTATTATTATTATTATTATTATTATTATTATTATTATTATTATTATTATTATTATTATTATTATTATTATTATTATTATTAGTATTGTTATTGTTATTGTTATTGTTATTGTTATTATTACTATTACTATTAATATTATTATTATTACTATTACTATTAATTTTATTATTATTACTACTATTACTACTATTGTTATTATTATCCAATTTAACTAGTTTTTATATCTTTTTAACTATTTTTATTAAATTAAGTTTCTTATCTTTCTTTATCATCATTTGATTTTGAATCATATTCTTATTAATTTAATTATGAACCTTGAAAATTACGACCTTAATTTTAGAAAATTATTGAATTCAATTTATTTGTTTATTAGTTGTTTGATGCTGAAATGGTTGAAATTTTAGGAGATTATTATTCAAGTTCTTAGGGTATTGGTAAACTTTTTTAATTTTTAAGATGTTATTATTTTTCTGTCTAATTTGTTTATTTAGTATCAGTATAATTAGTTTATTTAATAATAGTAGCTTAAAATTAATTTTAATTGATTTCATCATTGATTTCAACAGATAAAGATTTATATATTTCTTTTTTATTGGCTTTTTGTTATTATTTTTCTTTATTATTATTTTATTCTATTTTTATTCGTTAATCAACAGGCTTAATATTTTCAGGTTAATTTAATACAAGGGACTATTAATTCTTGGATATCTAATATTCTGAATTTATTTACTTTATTGTCAATTTGTAGAATATCTGAATCTTTTTGTTTTGATTTTTCCATGAAATCAGCATCTTGAATAGTTTCTTCTCGAATAATAGATAAAGTTTGATCAGCTTTAGATTTTACAGGATATGAACTTAATTAAGTTTGTTATTGATTAATTTACTATTTTTAGGATAGAGATATAATTGTTTAAGGAGGTTCAGGTGTTTAAGAAATTGAACTAAATCTATTAAATTTGTTACGAAGATAAGACCAATCAATTTTATGCAAAATGTAATTATCATAATCTTCTTTAATTTATCTTAGAATTTCTTACTTAGAAAGTAAATCATCAATAATCTGTTCTTCACCAGAGTCAATAATTTGAATTAAAACTTACTCTATTTATGCAATTAATTGTTCGAAATTATTTTTGAGTATTTTATTCAAATTATTAATAGTTTCATTTGATTCTTAATCGTTAACAATATTAATAAGATTTTCAATTTCAATGTTAATTTGTTATAATAATGATTATCCATCTAATTTGGTTTTGAAATTAGGGATTGATTATTTTAAAGATTATTCTTTAGATGAATGGGATGATAGAATTAATGATTAATTTAAAGAGGATGGATTATCATTATATTCTTTGAAATAAGTATATTTAAGTGGGAATGCAACACCTTATTGAATTAATTCATCATAGGTAATTTTAAAATTAGTCTAAGGATACCAATGAGCCCAAACTTTAATGCAATCTAGACATAGTTTCATTAAGCTATTTCCAATAGATGCAATTTCCTTTGCTTGTTTATTAAACAATATATACATGGATTATCAGAAAAGAGAAATTTACCTCTGACATCACTTTGATCATTTTTTCTAAAGATAGCAATTTATTTCATTTTTGAAAGAATTTTATCATTGACTTATTTATTAAATGAATCAGATTTTAAATCCATAATTTCCTTACATAGCTAATATTAATAAATGTATAATACTCTTAATGCTAATAATTTACTCATAGGAGTGCCTTCTGTCATAGTTGCACATATTGCCTCACAAATAATTGGAGACATTTGACTGAAATAAAGAGATAAAATACCTTTATGATTCTTTGAATGTTTCTTTAAATTTTTTTACTTTTGCATAAGCTTCTTAGGATGTAAAACATTGTTCAATTTCACTAATAATATTTTGTTAATCCATTTTGAAATTAAATAATTATATATAATTCAGTTTGAATAAGAAAGTTGTAATAAAAAATGAAGATTATATTTGATAATATAAAAATGTTGATAGATAAGATTTAAGATTTGAATAGGGGAATTAAATAAGAAATATGAAGAAGAAGTTGTATTTGATTAAAGTTAGAATAAAAATAAATATCATATTGTATGTTATAAATAATAATTAAATAGAGATAATATTGTATGTAATAATTAATAGATAAATAGATAAAATAAATTTCGTTTGATTATTTTTAAATGTGAGGTGCGAGGGTTTCCCCTCACTAGCAGAAATTGAGCGATAAAGCCTTTCCAAACGGAAAGTTTTGGAGCCTCACTGACGCCGGTTGTGCAATGGCCAGCTTAACCCCACACTACTAATCTACATGATCATCAGCAGTGCTCGCCAGGTAAGTAAATTAAGTTAAGTTAAAAAATTATTTATATATTAAAAATAAAAATGGTATTTTATGGGTTTGATTTAATTTTACTAATATTGAGAAGTAGAATTGTTAATAATGTTAAAATGGATTGTAATAATTAGGTTTTATAATATTAAAAATTTAGGATATTTATGATTTAATCATTTATTTTTCATTCTATCAATGCAAAATTCTTAAAGATTCTTCTAAATGAGACAAATGACAAAAGCTATGGATAGTTGTTTTGAAGATGAAATGTTTCAAATCAAATAACTTATTTAATAGTTGAGACAATCTGAAGTCAACTTTTATGATTAAAGATTATAATATGATACTTAAATTTTGTAAGAATGGGAAATTTATAAGGAAAGTTAAATCAAAAAAATTATACATGAAACTATGAATTCATCAAGTCCAGATTTTAAAATATGTCTATGTGAATTTGCATAAAATAAACGATTATCTATTGAAATCTGGATTAAAGTAGCTTATGATGTATTTTATGATGAATTAGATGGTAATGAATTAAGATTGAAATTTTGGACTTACTTTAAGAAAAAGTATTTTACTTTAAGAGATGAATTAATGACAAAGGAATGGCCAGATTAATGGAAATATGTAGAGGATGAACCTTGTTTATGTTTAGATATAATTAAAGTTTACGAATAATATTTACCAATTAGAATGTTGATTGCTTAAAATTTGAATGAATTAGCTCCTAATTATTTATATGTTGATGTGAGAAGGATGCCAAATTTAATTGAAGATAATGGATTATATTTAGAATGTACTAGAAAAACATGGTTTCCAAATTTATAATTACTATCAAGTGATTAATTAGAAAAAGTTTATTATTCGAATACTGTTTTTAGTCATCAAATCTTAAGATTCATTGTAATAATTAAAAAGATTGTTATGCCTATCTTAACATATTTTTAAGAAAGAGCCGAAGCTGGCAATGTAATTAATATTTATGGAGAATAACATGAATTTATGTTTGAAATACTATAATCTCTAAAAGCTTTAAGTGGTTTGGCTATTAGAACTGCTGATGCAACATTAAGAGTTTAGAAATCTTTTAAATAAGGATCTGTAGATTCTAGAACAAAAGAAGATGTTTGTAAAGTCATCATTTCTACATTATCTTAGCATGATGTAAATCAGGAAATCTTATAGGATATTTATGATAATTTATGTTAAGGATATACAACATTCTATTCTGATGTTTATAAACATATTAAACCATATCCTAAATTGATCATTATGGTAAGTGAAAGAAAACTCTCTTTTAAAATGTCAAGGGCTGATGATATTTAATATCATTAAATTCCTGATCAAATTATCTTAGATTTATTAAAAACTATTGACTATCAATTTCTTGTTTATTATGTTAATTTATGTTTCAATAAAGTTATGACTTTATAGTAAAGGTCTGGATAAAGAAAACCCTTTTTTTAAATCATGATGTTAATGTGGTCATATGCTGTCCCATTGTTTTTTAAAAATGTTAAACCAGATCTATCAGATGCTAAAATTTTTGAATATATGGAAGCTTATGAAAAACTTATAGAATAAGAAAACATCACTATTGATTTATCTGACAATGATGAGTAAAAAAATAAAGAAGATGAAGATGATTCAATAGATTCTAATACTCATGAATCTGAAATATAAGGAGAAAATATGGAAATCACCAATCTTGGTAAGGTTGTCAAGAAAATTAGATTTTATTGATTTCATCAAATTATATTAATTAATATATTTATATATATATTTTTATGAAATCGATTTCATAATAAACACGATCTCTTCTTCATAAATAATAGGAATTCGGATTAATAGATTCTAGAATTTCTTAATTAAAATAACAATTATAATTGTAAGAATCAAACAATCATATTATCGAATTCAAAGTTAATAAAATTTTGGAAACAAAAAAAAATGCATCCAAAGATTAATCTGATGTATTATCTGTACTTTATTTATCTAGTATAGTAGAAGATTAGAAAACCTAAATTAAGAATAATAAAACAGAAACAGTAAAATTAAGTTATTGAAACACCTTTAAGAGGAAGATTCAATAAGAAAAAAAAGAGATTTAGAGGAAGAGAAACGACTTGAATAAGAAGTAATGAAAGAACGATTAATGCTATATTAATTACAATTTAAACATAGTTAAAATGAAGAACTTTAACTTAAATAGCAACAATTCTAAAAGGTAAATTAGCATCATACATATTCTTGTAGATTTAAGAATAGAAATTTAGAATGAAATAAAAATTGGATTTAAGAAGAATTGAAAAAATTGAAAATGTTAGAAATTCTTAAATAAAGAAGAAAGTAGAACTTTCAGCTAAATTTGATATGTAATAATAAGAGTACTAATTAAAAATTGCAGAAGAATAATAGTTATTAAAGTAATTATAGGATAAAATATATAGAAAATTATCGTTCTCTTAATTGAGATTCTAAGCACTTAAAGATGATCTTGATTTAGCTTAGAAGATATCTATTAGAGATTATACAAATTCTGCAACAAATCAAGGCTTTATCAAACAACCTTTTGATTAGACAAAAATTTAAAAAACTATTTTGACTAGTCCTTATGCTTAAATACCATCAATATTAAATTAGAAGTATGTTTCTCTATATAATATAGGGATGTAGATAAATTAAATTTGTTCTCTAAATTATTGAAACCTACTTTCAAAGATCAATAATAAGCAACTGAAAGATTACTTAAGAATAAAAATTAAACTCATTTCAATACTTAACTTTCTGATCGAACACATACAAAAGAAAATTCATCTAAATTTGATACAGAAACAAGTTAAACTCAAAAAACTAAATTTTAATCTATTAAAAAATAAAATCCTAAGTTGTAAGCTTCTCGTAAAGTTTCAAGTAATCTTAACGAAAAAAAGAATACAGAGAGAATTATTTCGAATTCTTAAATTAAATCAAATCCTTAAAATAATCAAAAGGTTGAAAAAGGTAATAAAGAAAGTAAATAAAAAAATAATTATGAAGAAGATAATAATAAGGATGATAATTATGAAGATGATAATTATGAAGATGATAATTAACCTGAATAGCAAAATAAAAATGATTTACATGATTAAACTTAAGAATAAAACTAATAAAATGAAGAAGAATTTTAAGATTAAGATCAATATCCAGCTGATGATGATGAAGAATAGTGATTTTAATCTAATTTATATTTTTTAAATGCGTACTGAATCAAGTACTGAGATTAACTTTTATAGGCTAACAATTATTATTACTTATTCACTTAATCCATATATAAATTAATTAAAAACTTAAATAAAATGGGATGTTCATTATAAAAACAAAGAAAAATTGAAACCATTAGCAAAAGTTATTCGACAACTGCAAATGCATGTTGTATATTCTTTTATGATTTTACATAGTAACTCCTGATCAAAAATAAAGCTTAGAAGTTTATAATCCAACCCTTGGTAAGATAGTCTAAGTTCCTATTCTTGTACCTGCATCCAAAAGCAATATGATGAAAAGAAGAAGTGCATAAGGAATATCAGGAATATGAGATTTTCAATATTTTTATATATTTTTGTATTAGATATTTGTTGAACACTTTTATCCTAATTTGAATCTAGTTCTGGAAAGATTTATTGCTGCTAATTATTGATTTAATAGATAATAATCGATTACTTTAAAAATCAGACAACAATAACAAAAAATATGATATTGACTCATATTTATCTTCAATATCACAGTAAAAATCAGTTAGAATTTAAAATAAGGCTGGAAGTCAGTTGTCTTTATTTTTTATTTATACTTTTATGGATTATTTGTAATACAATCTTTTATAACTTAATTTTATGTCTTTCTTATTCAAAATTCAATTAAAAATAATCTTGATCCTTCTATCTTTTTTTACATATCATTAGATAATAATAATCAAAAAAGTCTCGTCTAAGTAAGTGAATCATTTTACAAAAAATCTGTTGTTCATGAAAATCTTATTGAACCTATTTGGTTTTAAACTTTATAGGTTTTTGATGAATAAATGATAAAAGTATAAATCCTATTATAATTTAACGAGATTGAAACAAAAACTTTATAGAAGAAAGATAAAAATCATTAATTCATTTTCAAAACAAATAAAATAAAATTTTGATAATTTATTATTTATTAAACACAAATTAAATTTGAATAAGCCAAAAGCTTTTTTGTTTTTTATTAATATAAAAAATAATTTAAATATTTTAAGTTGAATTACTTATTCTAGATATCTAATCCAATTAATAAAACAAAAAATTTATTGTATAGATATTAATTTACAAAATATACTTAATCAAATCATTTGATTTGTGACAATCTTTAGTTCAGGTTGATACATAATTCTTTCAGTTAATTTACCTCTAATTTTGAACATTTTTTAATAAAAAACTCCACTTATCGTAATAAATCTATTAAATTTGGATTCAGCTCATTCTTCTGACAATAAATGATCAGAAATTATAATATTTATTCATAAATCTTAAAAGAATTCGAATTTTCTTCTTATTCAAAAATTAAGTAGCTTTTTAGAAATTGTTATATGCTTTTTAATTAAAAAAACCCTTAACAACTATTGTATATAAATAATTCTTTAATAATCATCCAGATATATAATTTAGAAATCTGATTATCTTAAGTTAAAATATATTCAAAAGATTTTCTTTATTCAAAAAATATAGTGCCTAATGTATCTACAATTTTTACATTAGGATCATCATTCATTCCAAATAATGACTTTGGATTACATTCTTGTAATTCTTATTTGGCTAAGATTGGTATGCAATAGTAAAAACATTAAAAAGCTTAGAAATGAACTTATGAATGATGAAAAAATTATGTCAAAGATAATACTATTTGTCTTAATATTGTTACAATATTATTATTTAAAGTAGGATTAATCCATTATTTGAAAAACATGATAAGAAATTGAAGATATTTTTAAGTAAACAATATATCAGATTTTAAGTAGTATTTATCGTAGATGTAATAAATTGTCTTCAAAACTTAATATATAATATCTAAACCTTAATTATAACCATCAAATTTAGAGTAAACATGCAAAATAGTTTGTAAAGAATTGCCTTAATCAACTTAAAGATTAGATTCTTAAATTTTTTAAATATTTCTATAGAGAATTGAGGCTAAATGATCAAATATTTTAAATTATTGAATAAAATTTTAACTTATTTCAGAAATTAATATAGTTGATTAACTGTTCTAGCACATTAGATAATCTAAATATAAAACCTCTAGAAATTAATCATCTTTTTCATCAATATTTTGATAAATTAGGTTGCTATACAAGATTAATTATGATTAGAATATTGTATTATATGGAGCATTTTAATTAAAGATGAGCATGCTGAACAATTTTATCAAATTTCTAAAATAAAATGAATCATGTTTAAAACTTGATGAAATATTATTTAGAATAAATAAAATGGATGCTGTATATAAAATTTATGTGATTTAGATTTTAATAATTTATGAGTCATCAACTATAATAGTTTAAATTAATTTGCTTATTTGTTTTTCTAATTTATCTTCTAAATATGTGTTAATTATTTCATTTTAATTTAAACTATTTAAAAGGCTGATAATTTCATTTAAAATACTTTATTCATTATTAAGAAGAGGCATTAATTCAAGATTAAGTCTGTTTATAGTGTTTTTTATTGATTAATTTAGACTTGAATTGAGTGGTGTAACTTATGAATCTACTGATATAACTATTTGATTCCATTTATATTATAATCCTTAGATCAAATACTTAATGATTTTTTCACTTATTTAAACATATTGTAATTGATTATTTTATTGTTTCTGAAATTCAACAATAATGTGAATTAACCATTTAATTTTTCTAATAATTGCAATAGTTTATGAAGAGTCTATTTCATTTTACAATGAAGGAAATCTTTTTAATTCAAATTCTAAGTCTTCCTCTAATTCATTATAAATTCTTAATTATTATGAAGAGTTCATCTGAATAATAAGTTTTGAAAATTCTGAAATATTTTGACCTTCATTGAATCTAAAGTATAAATTAATCAATTAAATTTATGTAGGAATATAAAAATATTATCCACAATTAGGATAAGAGAAAATCTTAAAAATTAACTAAGAATAACATTTATTGAGTTTAGGAGTGGGTAAATGAGTAATAAATAGACAGAAATTTTACAATTCATCATTAACTTTTTATTGAACCAGGAATTTTTAATTTTCTTCATACTTTAATGAGGTAACATTAAAATTTGATATTTAATATTAACAATCAGTGTGAGAGACTATATAAGAGAGGATTTTTTCAAAAAGAAATAATCCATTTTCTTGAATTACCCCTCTGCTATATTTTAATAAACAATTTAAAGTTTTGATAAACAATTGTGGGTAAGCTATTTGAAGTGCTTAAGGATTGTCAATTAGAAGCGAAATTATTTGAAAAATTTCAGGAATAAAAGTTTGATTAACTTTCTGTAATAAATGGATTAGAGTGCTCAAAATAGATATAGTACATTATAATTGGTGAATGTATTGTTATTTTGGAATATTTTATAGTATTTTGAGCATCTAAGAAGTGTAATATTCATCATACTGCTCAATTTGTTTGGTTAATTTTTTTGTAATTTCAATAAGGATAGATGAGTAGTGATCTTATTTTAATGGTAACTAGGATTAGAGAGCAAGTAAAATGGAGGAATAAGCAGAATCTAGATTAGAGTCTTGTTGTTTAATAATGAGAATGCCTTAGAGCAATTGTTTAGCAATTTAGTATTAGTTGTCCATAATTTAATTGATAAATTTTATAATATAATAGTTGTAGTTTTAAAAAAGAGATGTGCAAAATAATTCTAGAGTATTTGGAAGGAGATCTAATAATATATGTAAAAGATGTCATATTGATTTGTAAAATGATTAGAGTAGAATATCTTAGATGTGATAAAGGAAAGTATTCTATAACTTTAGAGGGGAGGATTGTTTAAGCATATTTATTTGAGAAATGGTAGTTTATTTGAATATAAATTATCATATTGATTATGCAGAAGAGAAAGATTTGATGATTGGTAAGAATAAGATTTAAAATTTAATTAGTAATGGTTAAAATTAGGGGATTGGATGGAGATATGTATAATAATGAATTAATTAATTAGATTTGAGGATATATATAAAGTGAGAGATAGAAGGAGGGAAAGATAATAATGGAAAGAAATTAGTTAAAGAGAATAAAATGGAGATTAATCTATGTATATATTATAGATATGATAATATTTAGTAAAGATATATAGTGTGAGTAGGGTAATATAGTGATAAAAGATAATCATAATAAACAGTTGAATAATTTATATATAATTAAAAATTACGTTAAAAGGGGATGTTTCAGAAGATGTTGAATTAGCAAATGAAGAAATAAGTAGGGAGTCTTAATGAATAAAAGTAGGAGGACATGAATCGAAGAGTTGTAACAGAGATTGAGGATGGGGATTAAGAAGTAAAAACATTACAAGATATCTCAAATTTGAAAGCTCATTTGAAAATGCATTAGATGGTAAAGTAACCTTTCAGGAAAAATAAGGAAGAGTCTACTCCATCTATTTAAATAGGGAAATTTGAGAATCAATTAAAATAAATATAACAATAGACAATAAAAATGTAGGCAAGAAAACCAGTTTCAATAGAAAAGAATAGTGCTAAATCAGTATTGATGGCAGTTTCAACTGAAAGATTAGATTATTCTAATTTCACATATGTAAATTTGAAAGTTGTTGGAAGTGGATCATTCGGAATTGTACATAAAGTAAATGAATTTTAAATAATAGGCCAAAGTAAATGAGACAGGGGAAATTGTAGCAATCAAAAAGGTTCTACAAGATAGAAGATATAAAAATAGAGAGTTATAGATATTATAAGAATTGGATCATGTCAATGTATTAAAAATGAAACATGCATTCTATACTCCTGCAGATAATAAAGATGAAACTTATCTTAATGTTGTAATGGAATACTTTCCTGATACACTTTATTCATTCAATAAATCCTTTATCAAAGATTTCAAAAAGATGCCTGATATTCTAGTTAAATTGTTGAGTTACTAATTGATAAGATCTATTGCGTATATCTTCTTTATATTTTTAGATATATTTCATTATTGGGAATATGTCATCGAGATATTAAACCCCATAATGTTTTAGTCGATCCTTAATCTAACAAATTGTAGTTATGTGATTTTGGAAGTGCTAAAAAATTAGTTAAAGGTGAACCAAACATAGCTTACATTTGTTCAAGATGTTACAGAGCTCCTGAATTAATATTTGGAGCCACAGATTATAATACATAAGTAGACGTTTGGTCTGTTGGCTGTGTCATTGCTGAATTAATCAATGGAGAACCTCTCTTTTTGGGAGAATCTGCAGTTGATTAAATGGTTGAAATCGTCAAAGTACTTGGAACTCCAAACCATGAATAGATACTCAGCATGAATAAAGATTATGATGTTTAATCTAATAAATTAGCCAAAATAAAATAGAGAGATTGGAAAAAAGTAAAAATTAATTTTAATAGAGGTCTTAAAAACTAAAGATACTAAGGCTATTGATTTAGTTTCAAAATTACTCACATATTGTCCTAAAACCAGACTTACTCCATTTAAATCTTTAGCTCATCCCTATTTTGATGAATTGAGAGACATTAGTTAGTTAAAGAGTATGCAAAGTTAGATGAAGATTAGCATTCCTGAACTTTTTAACTTCTCTAATGGTATCATTAAATTAATGTTTTTTAGAAGAAGTCTGTAAAATGACTTAATAAGAGATTACTCAATTAATACCTGATTGGTATGGCATTTCATCTAAAATTGTTAAAACAGAATGTTGAATATTTATGAATATATTTATTTATTATTATAAACTAATTCAATTTTTAAATACTGCTGCAATAAAATGTGTGAAATGGAATATATTATTACAACACCTATTTGGAAAATTGATAATCATGATTAAAATATAAATTAATATGAATAATAAAAAATAAAGATATATCAATTTAGTTTTATATATTCATTTAGATATAATTCTATAATGAATTATTATCAAAAGTAAACTAAAATTTAATAGAAAAATAAATGAAAGCAATTTGGTATTGGAATGATAGCATAAATCCTTTTGATACTAAAAAGGAATCATGGACAGAATATAAGAATTTACAAAATGAAATGATAGAGCATGCATATTAATAAAATAAGTCTTAAATTAATCTTGGAGAGTATACTATTTACTTTAAAGATCTAATTTAATATAATAATTAGAATAACTATAAACAAAGGCCAATTAAGAGAGTTCTCATTTTTAAAGCACAAAATTCAGATAGAGACGATAGATTTTCATTCCATACAAATAAACCTTAGACATTTGGAGTTTTAAGTTTTGATTCCTATGGGGAATTCGTTACTGTCTTGAGAAAAGAAGAATTTGAATCATTTGAAAAATTAGAATTCAATTCTCAACTTATAGAAAAAGCTGGATAAGTAATTTTGCAATTAGGGAACATTTTATCAATTGAGCGAAATGATAAAAAATATTAAGTTGAAGCAACATATTTAGCTAACTTATTATTTTAGAAACAAAATTCATCAAAGGAGTAAATAGCTAAAACAACCATAAATATTTACACTAAAGAATCATTTCTTTATAAAGAAATAAATAGAGCACTTAGAGAAGCTGATAAAAGTAGAGCATGTGTTTCTATTTTTGCAAAGTTGATGAACTATTCTCTTAAACATTTTATTGATAAAATAAATTATTAGCCTTATTCAGGTTTATTATATAGAGGAGTAAATTTAACTGATGATCAAAAAAAAGAATATTTATTGACTTTTAAAGGAAAGCATCCTTTATAAATAAAACATGGCAATATTTCAAGTTGTTATTTTATATGGTAGGGTTATACATCAGCATCTAAGGATAGAGCTTTTGTAGATAAAAATGATTATAATACATTATTTATAATCAACGTCTAATAACCCAACCATAATTTAGTGGAAATAGAAGACCTATCAGAATATCCGGATGAGAAAGAAGTATTGAGTTTACCAGGTATTCGGTATAAAATAGCAGATATTAAAAAAAATAAAAAAAATAATAAATTGATAATATATCTAGATCAAATGGAATAATATCAACATTTTTATCCAATTGATCAAAAATAATTATTAAACTATTGATCCAAATATTTTTTTAACATTTTTAGAACTCAATCTAATCCTTTCATATTATTTACTTTTTTTCAATTTATATTGGATTATTTTAAATTATCATCTAATTAATAATATAATCTTCATATTATTTATAAAATCAATCAATTAAGTTAAAAATGAAATTATGAAATAATGCAGTGTCATTTAATTAAATTAAAATTTTGTATAGATTGAAAATTAATTTTAACAATTCGTTTTGATTAAAAAATCTAAATTTATACTAAAAAATTGAATTAATTAAATTTTAAACAATTCATTATAATTGCAATTCCTGGTTGGGTTGACAAATAATCAAATTTCAAATTATTCGAGGAATTTCTTATTATTTTTTCGCTATTTACTTATTTCAAAGTTATCATTATTAACATTTATTGTTAAATTAATGTTTTTTTAAACATTCTACAAAACTCTTTAAAATTCCTTCTTTATATAAAACCATATGAAATAATTAATAATGATTATGTTTGTAGTAAAATTTATTAAGGGTTTAAATAATGTCTAATTTTGAATAAATAAAAATTAAGTCATTAAAGTCAATCATCATTTTTCATTTATTCTTATAGGATCATTAATTAAATTTTAGTTGTTATTTAGGAGAGAAATGAATCCCAAAATTTTTTAAATAATTTATTTAATTTTTCCAAACTCTTTATTCAACTTTTTTTTTGATGATTGTTAAATAATTAATAATAATCTCTCTAATATTCATCTTTTGATTAAAATCATTTCTTTTCTTAACATTTAATGCTAAGCTTTTTAATTATCCAAATTTGAGAAATCTTGATAGGACTATATTATTTTATCAAATAAANAGGGTTATACATCAGCATCTAAGGATAGAGCTTTTGTAGATAAAAATGATTATAATACATTATTTATAATCAACGTCTAATAACCCAACCATAATTTAGTGGAAATAGAAGACCTATCAGAATATCCGGATGAGAAAGAAGTATTGAGTTTACCAGGTATTCGGTATAAAATAGCAGATATTAAAAAAAATAAAAAAAATAATAAATTGATAATATATCTAGATCAAATGGAATAATATCAACATTTTTATCCAATTGATCAAAAATAATTATTAAACTATTGATCCAAATATTTTTTTAACATTTTTAGAACTCAATCTAATCCTTTCATATTATTTACTTTTTTTCAATTTATATTGGATTATTTTAAATTATCATCTAATTAATAATATAATCTTCATATTATTTATAAAATCAATCAATTAAGTTAAAAATGAAATTATGAAATAATGCAGTGTCATTTAATTAAATTAAAATTTTGTATAGATTGAAAATTAATTTTAACAATTCGTTTTGATTAAAAAATCTAAATTTATACTAAAAAATTGAATTAATTAAATTTTAAACAATTCATTATAATTGCAATTCCTGGTTGGGTTGACAAATAATCAAATTTCAAATTATTCGAGGAATTTCTTATTATTTTTTCGCTATTTACTTATTTCAAAGTTATCATTATTAACATTTATTGTTAAATTAATGTTTTTTTAAACATTCTACAAAACTCTTTAAAATTCCTTCTTTATATAAAACCATATGAAATAATTAATAATGATTATGTTTGTAGTAAAATTTATTAAGGGTTTAAATAATGTCTAATTTTGAATAAATAAAAATTAAGTCATTAAAGTCAATCATCATTTTTCATTTATTCTTATAGGATCATTAATTAAATTTTAGTTGTTATTTAGGAGAGAAATGAATCCCAAAATTTTTTAAATAATTTATTTAATTTTTCCAAACTCTTTATTCAACTTTTTTTTTGATGATTGTTAAATAATTAATAATAATCTCTCTAATATTCATCTTTTGATTAAAATCATTTCTTTTCTTAACATTTAATGCTAAGCTTTTTAATTATCCAAATTTGAGAAATCTTGATAGGACTATATTATTTTATCAAATAAATTGTAACTATTTTTCAAACTTCAAATAATTTTATTGTCTGTTTAATATATATGTTGGTGAAAATATTTGATATTTTTCAAAATTTTTGACATTAGCCAACACATAAAATTGTAAGACTTCATAAGTATTTGAAAAATCCTCCCCTTAGTAATGAAAATTCTTAAATTAATCAATCGAATTCTTGTAAATTATTTCTTTCTATCTTCAAAAATAAGGGGGAATAGGAAATATTCTGTAATAAGTTTAAACTTAAAATTCTAACTTCCAAGAATCCTTTCTCAATTAAATTAGAATATATATTTATAACCCTTATTTCAAACCATTTCAAAACCATAATTCTGAAAACTTATCTCCTTTCATCTAGATAGAAACTTGTTAATTTATATGTTTTGTTTCATTGTTAATTCTGTTGCAAAATTAACATTCTACTTTAAATTATTTAATGTTCTGTTACAATTATATGTTTTATCAATATTTCATTCGAATCAATGATTTATAGTAAATATTATCTAACACTATATTAGCCTAAAATTTTTAAAAGCCAACCTATATTTAGATATCAAATTAATTTCTTGTTTATAAAATATTATTCTCAAGAATCAAATTTGAACTTAACTTTTGCACAAACATCTTTATATTATTACTCTTCATAACAGATTTTATTAATTAATTTATGTATATATTTATTTTATTGACATATGCTTATGCATAAATTGAATGTCACAAAGATGATTTAGTCACAACTTGTCAGTTGGATTCCTTTTCATCATTTATGATAACTTATGAAAAAAAGACTTCGGATACAATGTATTTGTTTATTGGTGCAAAACCTGGTCAAAGGTATTTATGTTTCCTTTATTCAGTGCTCTCTTCTTTGATTAATTAGGTGTAGGTCCCAATTCTACTTATGAAAAGTGGACTGATCTAGGTCATTTAATGTTTCTTGATCTTTAAGGAGCTGGATATACAACAACCACTAAAACTCCTAAATCTATTGTTGAATATACCTATTAGTATGTTACTGCCTTCAATACTTTTAAAGATTAATTGGAATATAAATTTACACGTCTATACATAGTTACAAGTGGTATTTCTTCAAAAGTGGCCTTGGAACTTGCTTTGCAATTAAAAGCATATGGAACCATTTTATTTTCTCCATTATTGAATCTTTTTGAAAACATGCGTTATTTACCTATCTCAGCCTATCATATGGGATTGATAGATTTTTAAGAAAGACAAGCTTTAGAACTCTCTGTGATGACCATAAATCAACCCAAATTTAGTGATTACTAAATTTTAGTTAATAAGGTTTCAAAAATGAGTGGAGATATGCTTGTATCTGATTTTAGAAAATTTGAATTGTATTTTAATATTAAATATTCCATAGTGATAACTCTACAATCATTTTGACTGATATTATGAACTCATAAGAAGTTAAAGATAAATATCATGCTAATTCTAGATTTTTTAAGACTTTTGATAATTATATCTTTAATAATCTGACAGATTCCTTATCTTAAAATATTGATTTGGATAAATATTTGAAATGTATTTATTAAATCATACTATTTAGAACTTAAAATTATCTGTTTGATTCCACAATTTTCAATTGCTACAAATATTTAAGGAACTCTAAGTTATCTATTACAGTTCAATCCTTTTAAAGACTAACCCTTTACACAAAATTTAAATGAAGATTAATTTGCAATTTATGCCAATATTGGATCCATTTATATAATTTATAATAGTGGTGATAAAATGTATTAAGATCAATCAGACATAATTAAAAAAATTATAGGAAATTAGTGATTTAATTAACATATTTAGATGTACCCTCCAAATTAATTAATATAAAAAAACTGAATTTTTTGAAGTAATTCGATTACAGAAAATAATTTGAATTTAAATAACAACTTAGAATTACGTTAGCTTAGAGCTTAAGTAAAATATTGTAAAACTTTTTTCAACTAATCATTATTTGTTAGTATTAATTTTTTTTGTTTTTTATATATTCTTGTCCATAGAAATCTTAATCATTTCTCCAAACCTCTTAACTCTTCCAAAACATCTGCGCGACAATTTGGACATTTCGTACTATTTTAAAGCCAAGATTCAACACAAAATTTGTGATAAATATGTTTACAAGGAAGCTATATAATTAATTCATCTATTTAAATAAATATTTGTACCTTTTTCGAATTAATTACAACATATACTACATTGTCTATTCGACTTCCCCATTTTCATCTACTTCAATTTTTATAAATATTTCTTCGGAACACCATTCCCCTTTTAAAACATCCTATCAACATTATTTTGCCACATTTATCGTTCTAGTTACTAAGTTTACAATATTTTTTATTATATACTTATATTTCTTATCTCAGTTGATTAGCAACTAATAATTAAAAGCTTTATTACCTTCATCCCATCTTCTTGATATAGCTTCATCAATTCCAAATTATTACGATTGTTATCCCTCTAAAATTTAATTGATTTTATACCACTTCTCTCTTCTACTATTTAAATCATTCTATTTTACTTTGTTCTTTTAATTTAATAGTTTTCTTTCTGTTGTTATTTTTATTAATGAATAATAAAATCAATATAAATTAATTATATGCAAAATTTCCTCAAAAAAAATTTGCCTCTTTTAAAGTTCAAGATAACCTCAAGTGTTTATCTACTGCTATTTTGGATAAAATCAAATTTGCACTTTTTTTCTCAGAAAATTTAAGAAAGATATTCTTGATTATTAATTTTAAATCTTTTTCTCAAAGAATAATTAATTGATGATTTAAATACTTAATTTTTTTTGATCAATTCAATTATTCAAATATATTGTTTAAAAAGTATTATTGAAGTTCTAACAATAACTTTAGTTGAAAAAGAAAACCAGGTTATAAAAGATAATTAAGAAAAATAATTTAAATTTATCACAGTTATTAATACATTCAATTATATATATTTATTTAATGATCTTTAAAAATTTATTAACGATTGAACAATGGATTTAATCTGCTAAATTAGAATAGAATCTATAAAGAATGATGATGAAATTTTATTTGATTCATCAAATTGTATTTAAAATACACTTTAAATTTTGAGAAAAAGCCAAAATAATTTTATTAAGCTAAAATAGCATTGCTTTTATTAAAGTACTATATTACCAAAGGTATTTTAGGAAGCATAAATAGGTTCCAATAGAAACAATCAAAGAGTTATAAAAACATAATCTTGAATTAAATACTGTTGAAGAAAATTCTTTTTAAAGTGAAACTTAAATTTAACAGTAAGAGAAACCTTAAAAAGATTACGAAATATCCACTAAAATTATTGATATGACAATGGATTGAATAAATTTTTACATTTTTGATGGTTGTGTTATGATTTTATAAAAAAATGTAATATTGGCTTGGGACTGCAGGACAAAATAAAAATTGTTATTATATTTAAAGGAATTTAAAATAAATTTTGGTTTCACAAATAAAAGTTTTTTTTTGGTTGTTTTATTTATCTATATATATGCTATTAATTTATTTATTGATTGATTGATCATATGATGAAGTTAATTGGATTTGATTGATTTAATATGATAGCTGAGAGACCATTGAAGTTCATTATCTTGGAAGTCTAAATTATTATCTTTAGGTTTGAAATTCATGGAATTGTCTTTATTGATTGCCTTGAATTTGAATAGTGTTTTAAAATAGGATCTAGAACTATAATGTGAAATATAAGAATTTAAGAATGAAAATGAAATAATAAATATTTAAAAGAAAGACGAAGAAGAATGAGTTTATTTATATGTTTTTATTATATGTATAAATATGGGATAATATGTATTAATGTATTTTTAGTTTGGAAATTTAGTTTGTATTATTATTAGTTTGGGAATTATTAAATTTCATGAGTTTATAGGGGACAATTTAAATCTTTTTATTTAAAATTAAAAGAACATTATCTGAAGTAAGAAAATAAAATAATTTTATTAGAATAATTATGGATCAAGGAACACAAGATTTACAAGAAAATTGGATAGAGGTATTTAAATATTGTAATTTGTAAGCAAATCGAAACATTTGAAGAATTAAATTTAAGCAAAGATTTATTAAGAGGCATCTTTTCTTATGGTTTTGAAAGACCTTCAGCCATTTAACAAAAAGCCATAAAGCCAATAATTCTAGGAAAAGATGTTTTGGCACAAGCATAATCAGGTAATTATTTATGATTTAAATATCACATAGGAACTGGAAAAACTGGTACATTCACTGTTGGTGCTTTATAGAGAATCGATCCAAACTAAAGAAAGACTTAAGTGATTATTCTGGCTCCTGTTAGAGAATTGGCAAAACAAATTTATGATGTGGTTAAAGGAATAGGTCAATACTTAAACATTGAAGCTTTCTGTTGCATAGGTGGTACCACAATCTCAGAAACCAGAGAAAAATGTAAATAAGGAGTTCACATTATTATTGCTACTCCAGGAAGATTGATCGATATGATGAAAAATAAATATTTAGATACCACTTTTATGAGATTGCTTGTTGTTGATGAAGCTGATTAAATGTTAGATTAAGGATTTAGTGATAACTTTGCAGAAATCTTAAAAATGGTACCAGGAGATATTTAAATTGGTAATTTTCATTTTTAAGTTTATGTTAGCATTATTTAGTGCTACTTTCCCATAAGAGATTATTGAATTAAGTAAATAGTTCTTGAGAGAAGGAACAGCTAAGATTCTTGTTAAGAAAGAATAATTAACATTGGAAGGTATTAGATAATTCTACATTGCCATCTAACAAGAAGATTAAAAGTTCAGAGTTTTGGTTGAATTATATAAGAATCTTACAGTTTCTTAATCAATCTTATTCTGCAACTCCAAAAAGACAGTTGATGATTTATATGATAAATTAACAGCTGAAGGTTTTACTGTTAGTAAAATTCATAGTCAAATGGAACAAAAAGAAAGAGAATAAGTAAAAATTTATATTTAATTAAGGTTATGTAAGAATTCAAAAAGGGAGCTGCAAGAATTCTAGTTTCAACAGATCTTATGGGTAGAGGAATTGATGTCTAATAATTATCATTAGTCATCAATTATGAATTCCCAAGATTAAAGGAACAATATATTCATAGGTATTTCAATTTATTTAATATATCTAGAGTAGGAAGAGCTGGTAGATATGGAAGAAAGGGAGTAGCAATTAATATGGTAGCATAATAAGAAGCTAATCTTTTGTTAGAAGTTGAAAAATATTATAACACTAAAATTGATGAAATGCCCAAAGATTTAGCTGAAGTAGAAAAAGAATTAAGTTGAAACAAACAACGGTATTTGTTATAAAAGAGTATAAATGTCAAATTTTATTATTATCTTCTTTCTTTATTATCATTAATCCTACAAAACTTTTGTTGTAAATTATTCTTAATGAAATTACCAAAATGGCAAGCAAAATATTATATTATAAAGAACCTAATTTCTATTATAATATGGAATATACTTAATATTCATAAAAAGAATTGTTAGGATTATACAAATTTTAATTTCATAAAATGTTAACTTAGCTAACCTAGCTAATTGCTCAATATAGCAATCAATAGAATACTTCATATTCTACAAATGATAGATTTTTATCCAAAAATGACATTGGTGAGAATTCTTAAAATAAATAACCAATTACGTCAGAATCTGATAAGGATGATGATGATAGTAATCCGGTGATTATACTTAATATTTGTCTAATTCTCTTCATATGTGTTTGTGTAACTATTATTGAAGTTAGTAGAAGGAAAAAAGTTAAAAAAGAGATTGATCAAAAACTATTGTAAGAAAAGCGCTTATCACTTCAAGCTAATATAGGAATTCTCAATAGAATTTAAGATTAGATGCAATTTAGTTTATGGAAGTTAACCAGCTTCAATTATAAAAATTTCTCTACTCAAAAAATTCTTAAGTTTTAATCCTTCCTTACTTCTCATAATAAATTGGAGCTTTAAATAAATGTGGAAGATGGCAAAGATCCTTGGTCAGCCGAAGGACACATATCTACAAACTTAGAACAAGAAATTTATATTCATATGAGAACAAGTCTGGATTGTGAATTATTAGAAAAGAATGAAAAATGTGATCATCTATATTTACTACAATAATTCAAAGGGGTATATAATAATCAAGAAAATAAATTTATTGGTACTTGGAGTGTCTATGGAAGTCAAGAACTCAATAATTTGAATTTCTTTGGAGAATTTGAATTAGCCAGAGAAATTGTGTGATTCAATATCATTTACTCAAAAATTTTCTTTTTTTTTCTTATAAATTACATCATTTACATTCTTACATGCTTCAATTCTATATTGAAAATAAAAACTAACAATGTATAACCTACTCTCCATTTCATCTTATATATAAGATTCTTATTGATTTGTAATTAATTTGTACCCCCTCTCTTTACTCAATACTCATTACAAATACAAAGCACTGTATAAAAATTTTGAATATTAATTTATTTATGGAATAAAATGCAAAAATAAAAAATTATTAATTAATTTTCTTAATATAATTAATATTAAGTAATTTGATTTAAAATATGTATTTTTTTTTCTTATAAAATTTATTAATTATATTTTGCAATTATTTACATTCTGTTAGCTAAATCTAATTGAGATANTTATAACACTAAAATTGATGAAATGCCCAAAGATTTAGCTGAAGTAGAAAAAGAATTAAGTTGAAACAAACAACGGTATTTGTTATAAAAGAGTATAAATGTCAAATTTTATTATTATCTTCTTTCTTTATTATCATTAATCCTACAAAACTTTTGTTGTAAATTATTCTTAATGAAATTACCAAAATGGCAAGCAAAATATTATATTATAAAGAACCTAATTTCTATTATAATATGGAATATACTTAATATTCATAAAAAGAATTGTTAGGATTATACAAATTTTAATTTCATAAAATGTTAACTTAGCTAACCTAGCTAATTGCTCAATATAGCAATCAATAGAATACTTCATATTCTACAAATGATAGATTTTTATCCAAAAATGACATTGGTGAGAATTCTTAAAATAAATAACCAATTACGTCAGAATCTGATAAGGATGATGATGATAGTAATCCGGTGATTATACTTAATATTTGTCTAATTCTCTTCATATGTGTTTGTGTAACTATTATTGAAGTTAGTAGAAGGAAAAAAGTTAAAAAAGAGATTGATCAAAAACTATTGTAAGAAAAGCGCTTATCACTTCAAGCTAATATAGGAATTCTCAATAGAATTTAAGATTAGATGCAATTTAGTTTATGGAAGTTAACCAGCTTCAATTATAAAAATTTCTCTACTCAAAAAATTCTTAAGTTTTAATCCTTCCTTACTTCTCATAATAAATTGGAGCTTTAAATAAATGTGGAAGATGGCAAAGATCCTTGGTCAGCCGAAGGACACATATCTACAAACTTAGAACAAGAAATTTATATTCATATGAGAACAAGTCTGGATTGTGAATTATTAGAAAAGAATGAAAAATGTGATCATCTATATTTACTACAATAATTCAAAGGGGTATATAATAATCAAGAAAATAAATTTATTGGTACTTGGAGTGTCTATGGAAGTCAAGAACTCAATAATTTGAATTTCTTTGGAGAATTTGAATTAGCCAGAGAAATTGTGTGATTCAATATCATTTACTCAAAAATTTTCTTTTTTTTTCTTATAAATTACATCATTTACATTCTTACATGCTTCAATTCTATATTGAAAATAAAAACTAACAATGTATAACCTACTCTCCATTTCATCTTATATATAAGATTCTTATTGATTTGTAATTAATTTGTACCCCCTCTCTTTACTCAATACTCATTACAAATACAAAGCACTGTATAAAAATTTTGAATATTAATTTATTTATGGAATAAAATGCAAAAATAAAAAATTATTAATTAATTTTCTTAATATAATTAATATTAAGTAATTTGATTTAAAATATGTATTTTTTTTTCTTATAAAATTTATTAATTATATTTTGCAATTATTTACATTCTGTTAGCTAAATCTAATTGAGATAAGTTTAGAATGGTTTGAAATCAAAATATCAATAGTTTCTCATTTATTTAAAATAGAGAGAGAGAAGAACTATTTATATAAGTTTTTTTGATTAATTTGTTGTCTAATTAATGTATAAATCAAAATTATTGTTAGAAAAAATTCTAATTGAGATGTTTCTTTTGCAAATCAAAATTTTTTTAATTTATTTATTGGATATGATATGATGTCATGTAATATTGTTATATAAAATGAATAGCAATGGAATCATTTTTGTAAATAGAGTATCATTTGGGTCTACGTAGATGAAGATAGAAGTTATTTTATACTTTGATACAAAATTTTGTCTATGTTTTTTGTTTTTCATTCTTTTCTGAAATCTCTTTTATTGGAGTAGAAGGTCCATTTTAAGATGTTTATTAACTCATATTTTTGGATTTTTCTTTTTGATATTGTCTTATACGAATGGTTTTAGTTGTCCTAAAAGTTTAAGATGTAGCTGGATCATTATTACTATTATTTTTACATTAATTATTATTATTAGTTACATCAGAAAATGAATTACATAACTTTTCATTTTCACAATCATTATAAACGTTATTTTAAATTTAATTACAATTAATGAATTGATTATCTATAAATTTATTTTAATTTTAAAAACTCTAATTAAAACAATGAGAATTATTAACTATCTTAATAATTTGATTATCAAATGAGTGTGATGTTTTTTTGGATAAATTGTAATTCTCCTCGGCCACAAATTTTCCTTATTCCCAATTTCCTTTGAGTATTTTACCATCAATATAATGTATTTCACCATATCCATGTTTAAAATCATTAAGAAAGTTTCCACGATATTCATTTCCATTTGACCATCTATAAATTCCATATCCATTTTTTTTATCTTCATAATATTCTCCTTGATATTCATCCGTTGATTATTCTTCACTTCTTTTCCAAAACCCTTAACCACATCTCAATCCTTCTTTAAAATAGCCTTAAAATAATGTTCCATTACTCCAATAATATTATCCATAACCATGTGGTTAACCATTTAAATAGTTCCCTTCATATCTATCACCATTGCTAAAATATTCTAAACCTTCTCCATTCTTAAGCCCATCCTTAAAATTTCCGACATATCGATTTCCATTACTATGTATATATTCTCCATAACCACATGCTAGATTGTTAATCCATTCCCCTTAATATTTTTATCCCTTTAAACCATACCATGTTCCTTTATATTTAAATTAATTTAATACCTCTACCCTCTCTAACACCTGAATTCCATTGTCCTTCATAAACTTCTCCATTTGCCCATGTAAATTTACCTTATCCATTTGGTTTCCCTATTGAATAATTTCCCTCATATTAAGAACCATTGGTTAACTATTCCCAACCATAACCTTATTTATGGTCATTTTACCATTAACCTTCATATTTACGTCCATTTTATTATAAAAGTATACCTATCTCATAGAGATCCTCATCTAACCTTTTCCATGTCTCATATTATTTACTAATTGACCATAATAAATATAACTATTAGTGATTGTTAATTGAGCATCAACCTTTTAGAGAGCAAGAAAATTGTAATCTTCAAAATGTGGTTCATAACATTTTATCTAATCTAAAACTGTTTAATAATTCATTTTATATATTATTTAACTAATTTCACAAGAAATCAATAATATATTTATTACTTTTATCATTTTTATTTTCAAGTAATATTCTTTCAATTTTAAATAAACTTATTCTTTTTACACCTTGTACTATAAATGACATACTAGCATAACTACAGAACTTATAGTATTATAAAGTCTTTAATTTAACTATTGAAATAAGAATTAAATTTGTGTAAAATTAATTTGATCAGTCAACTAATAAAATAAGATTTTAATTTTCATTTAAAACCATCAATTAATTGATATCTGAAGATTAATTTTTAAAATTTCTCTAAATCATAATAAAAAGTANATCATTATTACTATTATTTTTACATTAATTATTATTATTAGTTACATCAGAAAATGAATTACATAACTTTTCATTTTCACAATCATTATAAACGTTATTTTAAATTTAATTACAATTAATGAATTGATTATCTATAAATTTATTTTAATTTTAAAAACTCTAATTAAAACAATGAGAATTATTAACTATCTTAATAATTTGATTATCAAATGAGTGTGATGTTTTTTTGGATAAATTGTAATTCTCCTCGGCCACAAATTTTCCTTATTCCCAATTTCCTTTGAGTATTTTACCATCAATATAATGTATTTCACCATATCCATGTTTAAAATCATTAAGAAAGTTTCCACGATATTCATTTCCATTTGACCATCTATAAATTCCATATCCATTTTTTTTATCTTCATAATATTCTCCTTGATATTCATCCGTTGATTATTCTTCACTTCTTTTCCAAAACCCTTAACCACATCTCAATCCTTCTTTAAAATAGCCTTAAAATAATGTTCCATTACTCCAATAATATTATCCATAACCATGTGGTTAACCATTTAAATAGTTCCCTTCATATCTATCACCATTGCTAAAATATTCTAAACCTTCTCCATTCTTAAGCCCATCCTTAAAATTTCCGACATATCGATTTCCATTACTATGTATATATTCTCCATAACCACATGCTAGATTGTTAATCCATTCCCCTTAATATTTTTATCCCTTTAAACCATACCATGTTCCTTTATATTTAAATTAATTTAATACCTCTACCCTCTCTAACACCTGAATTCCATTGTCCTTCATAAACTTCTCCATTTGCCCATGTAAATTTACCTTATCCATTTGGTTTCCCTATTGAATAATTTCCCTCATATTAAGAACCATTGGTTAACTATTCCCAACCATAACCTTATTTATGGTCATTTTACCATTAACCTTCATATTTACGTCCATTTTATTATAAAAGTATACCTATCTCATAGAGATCCTCATCTAACCTTTTCCATGTCTCATATTATTTACTAATTGACCATAATAAATATAACTATTAGTGATTGTTAATTGAGCATCAACCTTTTAGAGAGCAAGAAAATTGTAATCTTCAAAATGTGGTTCATAACATTTTATCTAATCTAAAACTGTTTAATAATTCATTTTATATATTATTTAACTAATTTCACAAGAAATCAATAATATATTTATTACTTTTATCATTTTTATTTTCAAGTAATATTCTTTCAATTTTAAATAAACTTATTCTTTTTACACCTTGTACTATAAATGACATACTAGCATAACTACAGAACTTATAGTATTATAAAGTCTTTAATTTAACTATTGAAATAAGAATTAAATTTGTGTAAAATTAATTTGATCAGTCAACTAATAAAATAAGATTTTAATTTTCATTTAAAACCATCAATTAATTGATATCTGAAGATTAATTTTTAAAATTTCTCTAAATCATAATAAAAAGTATATAATATATTTTACATTATCAAAAAAATTCAAATAATTATTTAGTAGTAAGTTTATATTATTTAAGTAATTAAAATCAGATTAATTTGTATAATTGTGTTATAATACAATCTATTAATTTTTATGTAAATTACTATTCTTGTAAGTAAGTAGAATTATCAAAACATGATTAACATTAATATCATAAATTTTGAACTGTATCAAAATGTGAATTAAATTTATAGTTCATAGTAAAAGATATTAGAAGGTGTTTTTAAATAATGTAATAATAAAACAGTTAAAATAATAAACATAATATTAATTATCAAGTCATTGATTGAATTAAAATTATGCTTTTTAAAGTATTAAAGATGAGATTTAGAATAAATTTAGATTAATTTATCAAATGTATACATTATATTCTTAGGGGAGAACAATAAATTCTGAATGTCGAGATTAAAGCGAGTAAATCATAAAGCACAAATAAAATCTTATAAAGAAAGAGAATTTAGCAAATGCAAAAACACTGGAAGACGGTTTGGTTTATATAGGCGAGATGGAAAATGAGGAGAGAAATGGTTTAGGGATCCTGATCTACCCAAATGGATCAATATTGAAAGGGTAATAGTAGTTCATAATATTTAGTAATTGGATAAATGGAAGAGCAAATGGAATATGTAGACTTGAATATAGTTAGGATGAATAGTAAATGAGTTATATAAATATATTTAGTTATGAGGGAAACATAGTAAATAATAGATTTTAGGGATATGGAGAATATATTAAGAATAATACTTTGGTTTATAAAGGAGAATGGGAAAATAATGAGAAGCATGGTTATGGAGAAGAATATATGAAGGATGGATCAATTTATTGTGGAAATTTCAGTAGAGGAATGAGAGAAGGAGATGGAGTGTACCTGTCAAGTAATGGATCAAAGTATGAATTTGAATAAAAATGAGATATTAAGGATAATTCAAATGTAATAAGATGGATGGAGAGGGGATGATGTTTTGGAGAGATGGGAGTTGTTATTAGGGTCAATTTTAAAACAATGATATAAATGGATATGGAGTTTATACTTATCCAGATGGGAGTTATTATTAGGGATATGTAATAATTGAATTGATGTAGTTTTTGAATGGAAAAAGGAATGGACTTGGAAGTTTAATGAGATACGATGGTTTTGAAGTGAATGGTGAATGGGAGGACGACAAGTTTTATAAGAATTGAATTTAATATTTTGTATATACTATATATATAATGGGATAAATATTTTAGAAGCATGCAACTTAATTCGATCCTTCTCTAATAGTAAAATTAAAAAGTATAACTATGAGAGAACTGTTTGATTGTGTAGACACAATAGATAAATACTATCCATAGAATTGTTATTTGAATTTAGAATAATTTGATGATATATTCGCAACATTAACTGATAATTGCATAGATCTATTTAACAGATTGGCAGATTAGACAGGAGAGGATGGGAAATTATCAGTTCATACTTTTGAAGCATTAGCAGCATTTGCAATATTTAGTGGTGAAAGTTTTGAAACAAAATGTATGTTTGTTTTTAGATTATTTGATTTTGATTTATCAAATACTTTGGAAGAATAAGAGATGGTAAGTACATTATAATGTGCAGTAAGAGCAATGTGTAAGATTGCTGGATTGGTGATACCAACAGTTAGTTTATTAGAGAAATTGGGTTACGTTTGTTTCTAGATGATGGATGAAGATAAAAATAAACATGTTGATTTTGATGAGTTTTATGAGTGGACAGTGTAATATGATGAATTATAGGAATTTATGTTATAATATTCAGGAACTTAAACTTATTAGTATGCATTAAAAAGAATGGTGAATGCTATGGATGAATCTGAATAACAGTTTAATAAATGGTTAAGAGAATGCAAAGCACCATAAGTCCCAGCAATTAAATTATAATAAAATCTATATGCAATTTATAAGGGAATCGATTAATTATCAATTGATACACTTTTCTATATGATAATCGAATACACTTTAAGATCTAAAAGTATTGGTTAAGAAGATACTTCATAATAATAAAAAGATCTTTGGGCTTGGAAGGCTGATCACAAAAAAAACTAACATTTGTTATCAAATATATCTGTAAAGAAGAGTGATTACCTAGATATCATCAGAGCTTGGAATGTGTATTCTATCACAGATGTCAATCAATTATCTATCATCAATATTAAAGATCTGAAATTACTCATTTGGCTTTATGAAGACGAAGAGCCTGACTATTTCAGAATCAATTAAGAAATGTAAACTATTGATACTAATCATAATAATATTATTGAAAGATGTGAATGGATGCAATACTTATGTTCTGAAGAGTCTATGCAAAGAAGATAAACTCCATAAGTCTTAATGAAGAAGGTCTTTGATAACTATGATGAAGAATAGTGCGGTTTAATTCCCATCATCTATATTGATAAACTTCTACGAGACACTTTTAAACAATAAATGAAAAAAATGAAAGATTTCAAAAGCATTCAAAGTGTTAACAGTCTTATACAATAATTGAAGGTCGAATTTTTAAAATAAGTTAAAAAGAACAATCAATCTCATTTTGATTGGCCATCTTATTATTCATTTTTAGTTGAAGCCACCAAAACTCATTCATCACTCAACAAATTGCTTAATTTAAATCGTGATTGACTCTTTTTAATTACATTTTATATATTTATATTTATGCTCTTTGATCAAAACAAAACAGATGAATTGAAGCTTAATCCCAAATATTAAAATCTCTTAAAATGGGGACTTGATAATGGTGTCATCATCAAGGATGTAGATATGCCAGCAGCCTTTGGAGATCTCACTGGAGTTGTTGCCACTAAAGATATTGCTCCTAATACAGTATTTTAACTTTATCATAAATATCAGGCAATTATCTGTGTACCCTAACCATTGATCATATCCTAAGAAAAATGCAAAATTAGCTCCTTATCTGTTGTTTATGATAAGCATCCAGAATTATTCGATGAAAATGAGACATCCGATGCAGAATTTAATATCTTAAGTAACTTTGATCATAATAAGTTTAGTTTTCTATTTGTTTAATGAAAAGAAAAAGGGTGAACAGTCATTTTATCATCCATACATTCAAGCTATACAATCGAATAACACTTTAATAGATTGGTCTAAAGAAGAACTTAGTTATATTGAAGATCCAATAATACTTGATGAATTTGCTATTGTTAAGGATGATCTAAAAGATTTATGGAACTAAGCCAAAAATATATTTGATGAATTTGTTTAAATCTTTGGAGAAATACGACCAACAGATAAAGAAGACTTTTATTGGGCTGCTTAAAGTGTTATGAGCAGATGTTTTGGCTGGTCATTAAAATCTACTAGCATGATTCCAATTGCTGATTTTCTCAATCATTCCAACAAAGCCTGTACACATTATTTGGTTCATTCAAAAATTGAAAAGCTAGAATAAGAAAGGCTTCTTGCTAAATAAAAAAGAAATATTAATAAAGATGATAGTGATAGTGATCTTGAAAACCTCGAAAATTTAGAAGATTCATTTATTGAATTACTCAAAGAACAATATAAATTTAAAGCAAACAAAATTAATTTAAATGCTCTTGATATACCATAAGATGAATCTTAACTAAAATAGTTTGTTGATTAAAAGAAAAATTATATTCTATCAAACTAAAAATTTCTCAACCAAAATCAATTGAAAGATATTGATAATTTAGATAATATATCTAATTAAGATAAAAGAGCCATGATCAATTGGATAAATTATGAACAAATGATATAAAATCCACAAGTCAACCTTTGGGATTTAGGATTTGTTACATCTTCAGATAGTGAAGATAATGATTCTGATGAAGAAGTTGAAATCGCCAGAAATAAGTAATTTGAAACTTTGAAAATTAAAGAATTAACTGATTGGAAAATTAAATTTGAAGAAAAAAAAAAATAGAGAGCCATAAAAAAAGTATAAGATTAATAAGAATAATAAACAGAATAGCCTAATTAAATAGAGTCATAAAATTTAGAAGGAGACAAAAAATAGAACGATGGAGATACAAAGAGCTAAAAAGAAACTGAAAGCATTTTGACAATTTGTCTAAATAATGGTATTTTTTTTTGAGCATAATGCTAGAAAAGAAAAACTTAGTAACCATTAAAGGTTTGCCTCCACAATAGATCTAAGCTTTGAAATAGAAATAATAATAAATGCTGGAGGATTAACAGAAAGAGGTTAAATCTCTCATTTAAGAATAAAAATAATAGGAGGATAAAGAAGCTGAAAGTGATAGTAGTGAAGAATCAAAATGGGATTGGTTAGAAGAAAATGATAAAGATGCTTATTTCTGTATTACAACAACTGAACCTATAAAAAAACATGAATAAGTTACTGTTTCTTATGGTAGAAGAACAAATAGATTCTTACTTAGCTGGTATGGATTTACTTTACCTGAGAATAAATATAGCTCCTTTAATTTTAGGGTATAATGTTGATTCTAACAAAGTTATGGCTTAATACAGAAATTTGTAAAGAGAAGATTACGAATTAGAAATAGATTTTTGATACAATCACAATTAATAAATTGATTCGTTCAGAAGAATGGGACACAGGTACAATCAAATTTAATGGATTTGAAATACCTATTTCATCTATTACTAAAGAATTTAGAATCAAAAAGAATAAATTAAATATGGATTTACTCATGTATTTGAGATTATACCTCATGCTCTATTAAGTCTAAGAAAAGGATGTCTTAATCACTATACCAGTATCAGTGGATTATGAAGTATTTGTTATGCAATTTTGTATCTAATTGTTACAGCACTATCTAAATTCATACTCTTAAGAATTAGCTTAAGATATTAAAGAACTAGAATCCTAAATATCTTTCTCAAGAAGATTTGCAGTAAATATTATTGTGATTTTTAGCTCCATATTAATAAAGAACGTAAAGAAATACTCATCAATTAGATTATGATCTTATTAGAAGCCATCATTATCTTAAAAAAATATAAAGAAAATAATGATTTGAAACAATCTTACATATCAGAGATTCATAATAATGTCTATTCTAAAATGGAAATTTTAAGAAGCCTTAAGGTGTATCTCAAATCAATTCATGAATTCTTATGATAAATTATGGGTTTAATAAGATTAATTTATATCATTATTTTTATTTATATGTTTTTTACTTAGAAAGCAGTCAAGTTTGTTATTTTACCTTATAAAAATGGTATAAACATGATTAAATGTTTTAGCCCTTCCAATTAAATTCAACTTGTAAATTGGAGCAAATATGGTTGGAAATACTTAAGAACATGAAGTTTGCATTAATAATAAATAAATTGTGAATAATCATTGCTGTGTTGTACTCAATGAAGATGAAATAGAACTTATTGTTTTAGATGGTCCAGTGTATTATAAAAATGCAGATGGAGATTTTGAATAATTAGCCAAGGATTCAGTCTTAAGGTACAATCATTCGTTAAATTAGTTTAAATATTGAATCCGCGGATTTTTTAATTCGGTTGGGGTAAACAATAGAAGCTAAAATTCAAGTCATAGATGGCATTTAATAACCATCTGCTCCAAAATAATAACCTTAAAAAGAATAATAAATAAGAGAACCTTAAAAAGATTATTAATAATTTAATTTGTAAGATAGACTTTCTACTATTGAAGTAAAAGTAGTCGAAAGTTTATACACCTCACCATAATGTGAATTATAATATTTCAAATTTATTTAAGATTAAGAGCAGAATAATAATGAATTAAACTAAGATGATGATATAAATTCTGTTTCATTTAATTAAGAATAATCAAATAATTAATAAAGTAACAAAGAAAATGATTAGAAAATTAATCATAAATTGACTAAATAGAATTAATCTAATCATAAATCAGATTTATAATAATTCAATGATATTGAGTAATAAACTGAAACATTATCTCATGGAACTCCTGATTTTAATAAAAATTCAAAGGATAAGAAAGCAGGAGAAAATAAAACTAAATAAAAAAAGAAATAATCTACATTAGATTACTTAATTATGCCATAACGTAAGGATAGAGAAAGCTCTCCAAAAAAGAAAAGTCATCATAAATTATCAAAAGATATAAAAAAAGAAAGTAATAGAATGAGTTAAAGAAAGTGTAGCAGATGGAAGTTTAATATAGCTTTTTCAGGATTTCATCCAAGCAGAGAGGAATAATAGTTTTTATTAATTCAAAACATACAAATATGTTTAGAAGATTATACATTTAATATGCTTATTATGGAAGATAATGTTTAACTTAGATCAATTAAATTATTAATTGCTTTGGCTAAAGGAATACCAATCATTTCTAGAGATTGGCTGACTAGATCTATAAATTAATATGAAATTCTTGATCACAATTAGTATTTTGTTAAATTTTCTAGTGAGTTTTGTAAAGAATATAATTTTGATTTTAAATAATATTAAAAGAGACTCTAAAAATGGTAATCAAAAATATTTTATATCATTTAGTAAGCAAGACAAAATTCAACCTCTCGATGATATTACAATATTTGTTCCAAAAAAAATGGTATATCATATTGAACATTTTGAATTAGAATTTTTGATAGAAACTTTAGGTGGTAAATTTGTACATTAAGTACATGATGAAAATACCAAAATTTATATGCTAATACCAAAAGATCAAACCAAAATTGTAGGTTATGACTAATACTAATAAAGCCCTATTGAATGCTTATTCAAGAGCGCCTTAAAATATAAAAATCTCCTTTGATAAATTTATAATATAGAATTTATTATTATTATATTTAATACTAAAAAAATTAATGCCTCTTTCTTATGAAATCTTACCATTATTTTAGAAAATTTTAGATTAAGAGGATGATTTTACATATCATAATATGATTTTGATGTGCTTAATAATTTTTCTCAACTAAATTAAATATAAAAGTTAACTTACTAAATTTTGTAAGTCTTTGAAAAATCAATGAAAAATTATTCTTTCATACTTTTATTACTAATATTTCTTTCTGAGTATGGTAATTGAACAATCTGGAAAATATCTATTAAATTATTTCTATATGATTATCTAAACCTATATTAAAGATCTATTAAATTAAATAATATAAAAATAATAAAATAAAAATATTTCTAAAAAATTAAGTTTAATCCAATGAAAAATAATTTTATATTCAACAAAAACCTCGAAAAGAATTTAGATGAATTTACTTAATTATGTATAGCTTTTTCAAGTTTAATGAATTAAATATACGGAAAGAAAAAAAATTAATTAGAGTTAAAGATGAAAATTTATGGTAATATTTATCTTTCTAAAGGAATGCAAGGAAAAAGAACTTTTCAATGGAATAGATAGGTTTTATTGGATAAATTATTAATTTATATTCAATAAAGAAAAAGGAAGAAGAATAAACAAAAAGCAACAAATATTGAATTTATTTAAACAAATTTTGATTCTCTATATAAGATAGGTAAAAAAAATAATATCAGGAAAGGGATTGTATAAGAAAAAATGAATATAACCGAAGAAATTTTAATACATTAAGATTCTGCTATATAATAAAATCCAGAAATATCTGATAATTACTTTAATAAAGGTTCGAAATTCGCTCTATTTATAGCAAAAATATTATAAAAAATGAAAAGATATGATGAAGCTTTGATTCAATATGATTTGGCGATTAAAATAAATCCTGAATTTTCTGATTATTACTTTAAGAAAGGTTCAAAATTCTCTTTATTTATAGCAAATATATTATACAAAATGAAAAGATATGAAGAAGCTTTAGTTTAATATGATTTAGCGATTAAAATAAATCCTGAACTTTCTGATTATTACTTTAAAAAAGGTTTAAAAATAAATTATTGATTTAGGATATACTTTGAGCAAAATGAATCAATTTGAACATGCATTAATTGAATACAATTTTGCTATTTAGAAAAAGGCAAAAATATCTGATTATTATTTTTCGAAAAGTTAAAACAATGAATTAGTTTATAGCAATCACTCTCTTTAGACTGAATCAAATTTAAGAAGCCCTTATTTAAATTGATTATGCAATCAATTTAAATCCTGTAAAAGCAAATTATTATTACTTTAAAGGTTTCAATCTTTAATTATTAGTTAGCAAATATCCTCCAAAATTTGAAATAATTTTAAGAGTCGGTGATTTAATATGATATTGCCATTTTAAAACTTCAGGAACAAGGAATTAAAATTAAAAAGGGTTTATATCATTTTTATTTTGAAAGCTCACACTGCAGATGAAATGCAATATTTTGAAGAAGCAATGTTGAATTTTGATTTGGATACTTTAAAAAATGTGGAAATTTCTTTTTATTATAATGACAAAGGTTTAAATAAGAATTATCAATAAGCTACTTCGTTATATTATTTAAATCGCTTAGAAGATGCTTTATATGCTTAAAATCAAGCTATTCTATGTAACCCAGATATATCACATTATTATTATAAGAAAAGTAATAAATTAATAATAATAAATTAGGTTATTTGTTACATAATATGGAACGTTATTAAGAATCATAAAACGAAATTAACATTGCAATTCAGAAAAATCCAAACTAAATTAGTTATATAAAAGAAAAAGGTTTAAATTCTTTTTAAAAATTATGAAGCAAGATTTTTATACGAAATTGGTCAATACTAAAATTCATTGATTGAATATGAGCTTTGCATTTAGAGAGATCCTGAACATCATGTGTCTATTAATGGAAAAGGTAAAAATTAAAAAAAAAAAGGAAATTGCCTGTATAATATGAGGCGATATTAAGAAGCTTTATACTAGTATAGTCTAGCTTCATAAAAAGATCCATAAAATCCAACTTATTATAGAAATAAAAGTTTAGTAATTCATTTATTAGAAGCTCTACCTCTGGAGAAATTGAAACGCTATGGAGAAGCTTTAATTGAGATTGATTTAGCAATTGAGAAATATCCTTAATATTTAAAATAAAAACCTTTTTATGTAGATAGAACAGCACATTACTATTTTGAAAAAGGTTTCCAAATTTCTCATAATAGGAAATATTTTAATGGAAATGGATTAATATGAAGAAGCTATAATTTAATACGACAAGGCTATTTAGATAAATCCAGAATATTCTAACTCTTTTTAAGGAAAAGGTACTTAATATTTAAAGAAAAAGGATATGCATTCTATAAATTGAATAGATATGATGATGCTCTTCTTCAATTCGATTAAGCGATTAGTAAGAATCCTGAAAATTCTGAACATCATTATGAAAAAGGTAAAATTTGTAAAGTATTGAAGGAAAATTTTTGATGAAAATAAATAAATTTGAAGATGCTTTAATACATTTTAATTTTGCTATTTTATAAAATCCTAAGAATGCTGAATATTATTATGAAAAAGGTAATTTTTAATTTAATAATTTAAGCGAATACTTTAAGAAAAATGAATCGTATTGATGAAGCCATAAATTAGTATGATGATGCTATTTAGAGAAATTTCGAAAAATCTGAGTATTATTAAGGAAAAGGTACTAAATAATTAAATTTCAAAGGAAAAATATTAGCAGAAAATTTTAGATATGATGAAGCTCTTCTATAATATGATTATGCCATTAATAAAAATCCTGAAAATTCTGAATTTCATTATGAAAAAGGTAAAATTTGTAAAGTAATTAAGGAAAAATTTTGGAAAAAATGAATAAATATGAAGCAGCTTTAACACATTATGAGTGTGCTATTAATCAAAATCCTAAAAATGTTGAATATCATTAAGCAAAAGGTTGTTGAAAATTTAATAATTTAAGAAAATGCATAAAATACTATGAACAATCACAATGGAGTCATAATTTAATCAAATTCGGATAATTATAAAACTCAATTTTAAATATTAAAATCAAAAGATTACATGGCAAAATGAATTGATGAATATTTCATAAAAAGATTTATTTCATAATTCCTTTTTCTGATTAAATCTTCCTTCCCTCATTTAATTTATTTTCTTTACATCTAAAATACTTATGCTCATTATATAATGAATAAAAATTAGATAAAAGGATATTAATTTTCAAAAATCTTTATCATTATATATTACCAATTGAATTCAAATAGGAGTTCAGCAAAATTAATGAGTATTATCTGCTGGATATAAGCCAGCTAAATAAAGTCAAACCCAATCGAGTGGTAAAATGGAAGATACTTAAATCTTTTGAATTCAGAAATGAAAATCAAGAGATAATTTTAATTTAATAATAGTACAAAGATTATTTGGAAATAAGGAATATTGTATGTAATTTTTCTTCTCATATGAAAATAGTTTTTTATAAAATGAAGGAAAGGATAAGACGACTATGATATTAATAGCTTCTTAAAGAATCAAGGATGAGATGCTAACAATATTATTGAATAAAACTTCTGAAAATTGAAAGAATCATATCAAAATTTAATACATTTTTAAAATGTAATAATGTAATATATTTTGATAATTTTGTAGAATATGTTTGTAATCCAGCATCTAAATTAGATTTAGTTACTTTTTACCTAACTGTGGCTTCATCACAAATAGGATGAATGGATCTATTATCAATACAATTTATTTTTATTGAGAAGTATAATGATTGATATATTAAAGAATTAAATTTGAAATGAAAAAACTTATTCCTAAACTTTTTCTTTTTTATTTGGGATTCAAATTATATATTTTTTCTCAATTTCGAAAATAAAAATAAGTAAAACTAGCACAAATAAATGTGTATAATCAAAATAAGACTTACATCAAGCCTATTTTATTTAAATATTTAAATTAACAGTAAGTAGTGATTAAAATTAGAATAAATTTTATCATTTTAATAAAGAAAATATTGTTGCATAGAATTCCATGAACTTATAAATATTAAAAGAGAGTATTAATTTAATTCTTTTTCCAATAATCCATTTAATCTATAGATCAATCGATTCACTTCAAACTTTCTTCAATATAGCTTAAATTTTTTGGGTCTGTATGGTAGAATGTTACTTCCCTCATCTTATTATTTACCAATTTTGCTCATCTACTCAAATTTGAATTCATAGCCATTGCTAACTGTCATTTTTTTAAATATATTTTGCTTGATGACTATTAGATTATAAATGCGATCTAAAATATTTATTATTCTTATTGCATTGCTATTATCTGATTCTTATTCCATTCTCATATTACTATATGGATATGTTCATTTTATCAAATTTTTAAGACATCTTTGAGATCTTATTTTTATTAGTTAACTTTATTTTTTTTCTAAATAGTTCTAGGTTTTATTTTTAAGGTATTTGTTTATTTACTTATATATTTGACAAAATTCATTATTTTATTTTTAGAAAAAAATTTCAACTTTTATTAAAAGATTAATATAATTTAAATTTCTAAAGCTTAATTGAATTTATTGTAATAATTCTATTTTTTTTTCTCATTATTTTCAATGAGAACAATTATTTTCCATATTTATTATTAATTTATTTATTGTATTTAAAATTTTTATGTAATTATAATATCAATTTTTATATGGAATTTTAGGTGGTATTTAGGCTGCTTATTCATCGTGATCATCATTTTAATCAGAATTACAATCTATTTCATGTTCATTGGGACCAAACTAATCGTTTTCTACTTTACTGCTGATAGGTGACAATATTTCAATTTAATGTTATTCCAATAAATTTAAGTTTGAATGAATATTTCTATTGCTTTGAATTAAAAATTCATCTTAATTTTTGTTGATTTTTTCAAAAATAGAAATCATATCCTCACCAACCAGTTCTAAAATATTTTTATCTATTTCACTGAGCTTCTTTTTTTGATTTAAATTCATATAAGCATAAAAAGCAGATTCAATTTTAAAAAGATCAGATTTTTCTTCTTATAAAATAAATTAAAATTCAATTTTTTCTTCCAGTACATTAAGTTTCTTCTCAAAATCTTTGGAAAACATATCTGATGGAATTAATGGTTTAGGAATATAATTAAATAATTCTAATTATTCTTTATTTAAAAGAACGTACTTCAATTTATCTATCTCTTGCATTTTGTTTAATATATTAACTACATCCAACTTATTAAAAATTTTTTAAATCGAGTATTAAATTTATTACTTATAAGATTTCTAAATTCCTAAATTCATACAAAACAAGTCAAACAAACCAATCTCTAATTATTTTTTTTTATGTTTTAGATATTTTTTTAATTCAGTTCTATTTTCTATTTATTTAATATTTTTTTTAGTTTTTTTTTATATATTTCCCAATTTATTATTACCTTCTTTAATGAAATCATTCTAAATTTGATCATCATTTAAATTACCCATTGAATGTGATACTGATTGAGATTCTTTATCCAAATAGTTTTCAAAATTAAATAGACGATTTGCCATTTACAAATTCATTAAAGTAGCCACTATAGGACTTACTAAAGTACTAATAGTAAGAGCAACTAATTGCCAAAGTCCTCCAACATTACCTAAAATATTTTATAGCTTAATGTATGATCTTTTATAATTTCCAACTCTCTATTCCATAAATATTAGATTTTCAATATAAGACACTTGATTATATTAAGATTAGAAATCTTTTGAGGCTGATTATAGTAGTGCTAATTCTGTTTAAATATCTTATCTAATTAAACCTATATCAGTCTTAGTTTCTATCATCTTAAAATTAGACTAAATTTATTTGGATTGGCTTGATGAAAATGAAGAAAACTATACAGAAATAACTTCTTCATATGGTCTTCCAGGGTTATCTAATTTTAATAGGGTATCTCCCATGTATATAGTATAGTAACCTGTCTTAAGAGCAGTTTAAATTTCTTCAGGAGAATCACATCCACTGTAAACTGATGAATTTCTACATGGCATGAATAAAACTTGCAAAAATTAGAAGGTATCTGAATTTGAGTATCCTTAAAGTTACTTAAATATTAATATAAAAGTTTTACAGGTGGATTTTCTTCACTCACAGTTTAATTGATGCAAAACAAGTTTTTTAAAAGAAACTTCTAAAAGAATTTCTTTTGGTAATCTTAGGGAAAATGCTTATCCAAATTGCAACTTTCTAAAGGTATATTGCGACATCTAAAATATTTTGAAAGTAATTTACTCTAATGAAACATCTTAAGCTTGCTTTGTTTCATTATAAAAACGAGTTCGATTACAGGCAGTAAGTACTACATCAAAATGTTTCTTGTATGTTGATAGAGACATGAGAGAAATATCTGTGATACTAATTACAAATGTAAAATTCTTAGGATCAAGGGTAAATGCCTAAAATAAAATTTTGAATTACAGGCATGTTGAATGGTTGAGTTTCAGAAATGATTATGTTTGGGGTTCCATGATTGAGCAAATCTTAAATTTAGTAATACATGTATAATCCACAAACAATTAATAAGAGTATTGTTAAAATATGGCCTAAGACTGTGTTAAATTTTTATCTTTTCAATATTCTAAAAAAAGGAGGTTGTCCAAAAAAATCTAAAGAATTGACTAAGTTAAGAAAGCATCCTTTGATTTCATGTTTCGATCTCTTTTGAAATTTGAGCATTGATTTTATTTTATTAATCTAATACCATTTGTACTTTTTTTTTCAATTAAAAATCTTAGAATTTAAATTGTATGCTTTAATTAATATGATGAAATGATTTATATAAAATTTTCATAAAATAAATGTAATTATCATTTCTGAAATTAAATTAGAAGTGCGTTCACATTCAATTGTTGGATTAAATTCACTCAAATCAATTAATTTAATTTTTTTTGATTTCTTAGCTCTCTCCATAATTGACAAAGCCTCAAAATTTGTTAATCCTCCAACAACAGATGGAGCAGATACTCCTGGACACCAAGCACTATTTATAGAATCAACATCAAAAGATAAGAAAATATAATCAATATTTTAATCATCTTCAAATTCTTTTAAGACATTATTCATAGCACATGAACCTTAATTTTCAGCATTCAATCTTCTAATATCTTTTTCCAAGAAATATACTTTGCCACCTTTATTTAATACATATAAATAATGTTCATAAGAGCAAGTACATCCTTTAATTGCAAATTCTATAAATTTACTATTTTGATATCGTTCTCTATCTTCAAGCATACTTCTAAAAGGAGATCCTGAATGAGATTAATTTTAATTTATTAATGGTCTAACATCTAAATGAGAATCTATATTAATAACACCTAATTTTTTGGATTCCATCAACCAATCCTTTGAAATTTGGGTAACTTTAATCATTACTACCGCCAATAACAATTACTTTTGCTTAAGGTAATTAATTAAATATTTCATTAACATGCTAATATAAGTAATCATGAGCATCTTCTATAGTTAATTTTTTAGGTACAGATCCTACATGTAAAACTTTTTATGATATGCTGCATTCATTAAGTTTTTATTTGAATACTAACATAATTTATTCATATGCATTTTCTCCTCCAGCCCTACCTTTATTTCTAATAGTGCCTTCATCATAAGGAAAACCAAACAAGACCACAATATTAGGCTCATTTTTAAATTTAGGTAAGTCTGCCATTGTAAAATCAATTGAAATAGATGACTTACACTAAATAAAATCAACTTGTTAATTCATAAAAAAATATTTTATAAATTTATCAATTTTATATTTCAAAACTTGATATCATTTATTCCTATATTATTTGAACCTTTTTACTTAATCTGTTATCTTTATAAATATATTTTATTTAATCCCTAGTTTTGTTTTTAAGGTTTCTAACTTAATTAATTTCTAGCAAATTAATCAAATACTGATTGTTAATCAATTGATTCATTATCACTATTAATTTAAGGATCAGGAAGAGTTGGTCTTTTAGCAATTGATTTGAAATTTTAGCCCGTTTATGAAAACTTTTTAGGTCTCTCAGCTTAAGTGATTGAATGTTTTTCATGATCAAATCTTTAATTCAAAACATTGAATTCAGACGGAGAAATTTAATTAGCAGCCCAATCTTCATCATCTGAATCAGCTCTTGATTATTTAAATAAATCAGAATCAGGTGCTTATCTTTAATTATATCCTTTAAATGGATTAACTGGTTCTTCAATCTATTAATCCTTTCTTAACAAAGATTTAGGTTATACACTCACAAAACCAGATGTTGGAACATCCCAATCATCATCAGCATCATTTTTATCATCTTAAATAATTTCTTTTTATATTTTTTTTTATTAAGTTGTTAAACTTTGCTCATAATCTTATTATTCATCATTTTCATCATTTTCTATATTCCATCCAACATCATCATCATCTTAATCTACTAAAATTATGTCATTCAATTTATTATCCTTTTGTTAATCAAACTCAATTATTTCTTATTTCAAATCTTCTATTTCATTTTGCATAATTTCTATTTCTGAACTTTAATGAGACTTTTTAGATCTTTAAATCATTTATTACTCTTTTTATTCTTATAACTTTTATTCTTCCAATAATTACTAAAGTTGTTCTTCCTTTTTTTTTCTATCTAATTCTTCTTGTATTTTTTATTCATCCAATTTTTTTTATTCATCTTAAATTCTTTTAGCTTCCTCCTCCTACTCTTTAATCCTTAATTCTTCTTATATTCTTTTTTCTTCTTCTTATTTTAATCTCTCAGCCTTTTATTCCTCTTCAATTCTCTTCAATTCAGCTACTCTATTTTATTCCTCTATTTATTATTATTAGGCTAATTCAGCTAATCTTTCCTCTTCCTTTATTTATTCTAATCTTTATGCTTCTTATTTTTCTTAAGCTAATCTTTATTCCTCTTTTATCTATTCTAATCTTTCTTATTCCTTTTATTGTTCTAATTTTTTTGCTTCTTACTGTTATTAAATCAATAATTCTTATTATTTTTTTTATTCTTCCAAAATTTATAATTCCTTTTCTTTTCTAATTCTTTCTTATTCTTACTTTTGAATTTCTTCTTATTTTAATCTTTACTCTTCTTGTTTCTATAAATCCTCTAATCTTTTCAATTCTACTTATCTTTCTTATTCTTATTTTTTAATTTCTTCCTATCTTTGTTGTTCTTATATTTTTCTGTATGCCTCTGCTTTCTTTTATTCCTCTAATATTTTTCTTTATTCTTCAATTTTATTCTATTCTTCTTATTATCTTTATTATTCTTGTTACTTTTCAAATTCAATCCTCTATTGTTCTTCCCTTATTTTCTATAGTTATTAATCTTCAAGTGTTTATTTTTATTGTATATCTTATATATCTCTTTAGGATTCACCAATAGATAGAGGTTCAGAAACATCATTATTTTTAATTTATAAGACGATCTCTTCTTAAGATCTATTAAAGAGATCTTATTTTGGATTTGGTATTTATTATATAAAACTGAATTATGAATTCTTTTGTAACATCTTTGAGAATGGTTATTCAGAATAATTAGGATCTTTATATTCAATAGATTCTTCAATTTTAGGGAATGAGGGTTCTTCATCCTGTTCTTGATGATTAAATTTTTATCCATTTAATGATTCTTCAAAAGAAAATCTTTTAGATTACTTTGATCTTTAAGTTTAAAAAAATTCTGGAATGACTTAATGTGATTATGATACAGATGCATAATTAATTTCTTCAAAAAAGTTTTCTTCTTTTTGAGTTTCCCATATTAAACAGATTCCAAAAATAATAGTAACAATAAAAGAATCAATACTACTAATGAATAATTATTCTCTTAATTGATCTTTATAAGCTAATAGAACACTTGCAATTAGTGCAGGAATACAGCAGAACTAAAATATATATATATTAATAATACAAAAGCACAAAGTCCATTAATTATATTCATACCAACCAAGTTTTCAACATCTGATAATTTACACTTTAGGAATCTAAAACCAAAGTATCTTGAAAAATAAAATCTTGTCAAAGTGAAACTCAAAACAGACAAGATATTCAAAAATATAAAAGCACATGAATTAGATGTCCTTGTTGTGTACCATGTACTAAAAGTAGCATCCCCATTAGTACAACGTTTAACAATACATAAATTAGCAAGATTTAATAGAAGATGAACTCCTAATGCAGCCACTAAAAGATATGTTTCCAACTTCTCTAAAATATAATCAACTTATAAAATCAGTAATACTCCCCATGATCCTACAATTATCAAACCCAATAAACCTACTGCTGATCCTGGGATAAAAGTCTATTTATTTTATATTGCTTTTACCTCAGATTTCTATATTTTAGCTACCACAACACTCAAAATCATTATTACGGATACTATTGTAAATGGAACGGGAATATACTTATTTTCTTGTAAATTAGAAATCACTTACTTTTCTGTATCAGTCACTTTTTCACAAAGACCTACATTATTTAACTAATTAATTTATTAATATCTAATTTACATCTTAATATCCACTTGGACATGAAATTACACATGTCAACTCAAAATATTTGTAATTTTATATGCATGTAAGACACCCTTTTTCATCACAAGTTGCACATTCATTTTAACATTTATTACATACAAATGATTTTATATAATAATTGGTCTAACAAGATTATACACATAAGTTATTTAACATATATGGCGCACTAATTGGACATGTCTTACATTCTAAACCATTCACACAAGTAGAACAAGATGATTAACATGATAAACATTAGTAATCTTAAGGGTAATATTTAATAGGACATGTCTAATAACATTTACCAGACAAATGATATTAATTTTCTGGACATTAAATGCATAATGTACTTGAGGTACATTGTAAACAAGATTTATCACAAAGATAACATACAAAGTTTTAGGAATAATAAGAGTCAGGACAATTGTCTATACATTATTTAGATAATAAATATTTGTTAGATGGACATGAGGTACATTCAGTTTCTGATATGCAATTTCCACAAATGTCTGGACATTTATTTAAAATTATTCCTGATAAATAATAACCATTAGGTATTGTTGAAACACAACCATTATTGAAAAAGTAATATCCAGTGATACAATCAATACATATAGTGTTACTAGAACAATTATTACAAGGCTCTTAACATAAAGTACATTCGATTCCATCTTTATAATATCTATTACCACAATCACTAACACAACTAAATGAAGCCTTTTTATAATAATAATTATTAACACAAGTTAGGCATACTGTTGGACCAGTATCACATGTTTTACAAGGTGATGTACATGCGATACAAGAAAATCCTATCTAAAATATCCCCGTTGGACATTGCGATACACATTTGTTTTAATAAAGTAAATTATTAATTTCTCCACAGGATGTACATTTAGTACTTTAATCAACACAAGTATTACAATTCTGGTTACAATCTGTACATATACCATTGAAATCAAATTATCTCTCAGAGCATTTTAATACGCATTTTCCATTCTTTATTTCCTAAGTTGTTATATCAATACAACTTTAACATAATGAACTGCTAGTACATTCTAAACAATAATTTGGACAACTTTGGCATTTTCTGTTAGAATCAGGATAAAACCTCTCCCCACATTTACTTTGACATTTATTGTTTAATAAATTAATATTTGAAGTTATTGATGTATCAGAATAACATGATAAACAAGCACCAGATTTATCACATTCTTTACAATATGATGTAGACCAGTATTCAGAACATTTCATTACAAATTTTAGTTTTTCATCTGATAGTTCAGATTTATCCATTAAATTAGAATTCTTTTCAGTTTATATTTAAAAAAAATAGGAAGGTGAATAATTTTTTGGATTTCTAATTAAGTTTTTTAATCTAAATTAAATAGTTTTATTTGAAATTACAGTTTTTGTTTTTATTCTAATTTCCTTGCTGTTGACTTAACATGTTTCTAAGGTAAATTTGTCAAAATTATCAATTGCAGTAAAACAATCTGTCATTTCTGTCTAAAAATCATCTGGCATTATAACTATAATTGAGCAACCATCAGTTAAAAGATTGGTTAATTCAATGATAAACTGATATGAATCAACAACACTTAGAAATTGTTATTCTTAGACCATGGATGTAACAGTAATAACATTTGGTTCAGATTCTGGAATTGTTTCAGATGATTGTGTGCTTGAGATCTTATATGTATTAAGAGCTGTTTCTGCAGTGATTGTACCTATTCTTGAACTATCCAAATTTTATATGTTATAAATGATTATATCATCATCTTGACTAGTAATATCTGTAGTAAATTATATTGTAATGGTATATGCTGTTGAAGTAACTACTAAAGCAGATGCTTCTGTATAATCTACATCACTAAATCTAACTTTGTTTACGTATTTCAATTCATATCCATTAATTGTAAAAGTTAATTTAGTGTCCTTTGGTTAAATTGTACCAAATTTTATACCAAAAGTATAATCTGATTTAGCACCATTCTTATTGATAGTTCTATCATGGTAAGTCAAATAAATTTCACTTTATTATGTCATTGTTAAAGTTCCTAAGTCATTATTATAATCATAGTTAACAGAATCTTTTGATATTTTCAATTTAAATCTAGAGATCGGTTCAAATGTTTTAGGAGTTTTGATTGAATTAACTGTTAAAACTAGTTGTTTATTAGATTCTATAGAATTAGTTAAAGTAATAGTAATAGTTAATACTTAATTTTCTAGCAAAGTTTAAGTGCAACTGGAACCTGTCTCATCTAATGAACATTAAATAGGGGTTGGGGTTGTATCCCATGCAACACCATCAGGTAATGTTAATTCAATTTGAGAACCTGTTATAATTTAGTTTAATGTAGTAAATTTATATTTTATATTTGACCCATTTTAACCAACTTTTAGTGAACCGCTTTCAACTGTAAAAACAGTTAGCTTTCCATCATTGAAACCAGCCACAGTTTAAGAAGTACTGCTTTAGTCTACTTTATCAGGACCAATATAACTAATAAAAGTACTAAAGGTTATAGATGTTGATGATGATTAAGGATTAATAAATTCAATAGATATTATTTATTATGTATTTGCATTTAAATTAGTAACAGTTATAAGATTATCTGCATGTGAACAAATCAATGTTGCAGGCAAACATGAAGAACCACCTAAAATAGCATTTGTAGGTAAGGGAAAAGTTAGCTTATTATTAGTATCATCTTCTGATAAAGCATTGGTGAATTTTAAATTTATTGAATAATAAGATTTCTCACCAGATCTCTTATTTGGTACGCTTATATCAAAAGTTATAGTTCCTCCATCCACTATGAATGTTTTTGGACTGTCCATTTTATCAATTTTCAAAGTTTCAATTGTATTATAAGTAAATGCGTCGAAGCTATGTGGTTTGATCGATGCTCCAGTTGATATGTAAAATTACAAATAATATGGAAAAAGAGCACTTTAGAAGTTCATATTGTATTTTATGTAAGGATTTGCAGGATCGTTATTAACATATTCCGGCGAAGTTAAGCGATTTGATTGCTCCATAAACCTAACTGATTTGAATCCTTAAATATCTATTCTTAAATAGTCATTGATATTTGTATAGGGACCTTTTAAATTGAATCCAAAATAAATCAAGTATTCCTTGTTCAATTTTAGAGTTGTCTATTCATTCTCTAATGAAGTATCTTCTGGTAAGTACGCATTAAATTTAACTATGGATATAGATCCACAATTGGATTTATCAAAGAGGAAATATGTAATGAATAATATAAAAAACATAATAAATTATAATGAAAAATGTTTATTTGAGAGTATTTATTCAACTCACTTATTTTATAATGGTACTTATTATAAAAATACTTAATGACAATACAGAATACTTTTAGGTTGTATTTAGCATCCTGTTGACACTATTATCATTACCATTAAACAGATATATTTAAAATTATTCTGAGCATTCATAATTAATATGCAAATCCTTATGGTAAGTTCTGAATCTTTTTTGCTTAGGGAGTGTTGATATGGGTTTAAAAAATGATGGATTTCTCAGTAGATTTTAATATTTTTGGCTTGGTCTTACTATTCAATTGGATGTTGATACAATATTACCTCATAAAATAGTTAGAGTAGGTTTTCTTGTTGTTGTTATTGCTTCAGTCAATCTTACTACATTTTTTTTAATTCTCGATTCTTCATAACTTGGATTGATTTGTGGAGAAATACTTTATGCTCTTATTTTAATATATTAGCTATTTGTAGAAAAGACAATGAAGAATTAACACAAACAATAAACTTCAAAAAAACCCAGTTCTCGTAGTTTTACAGAAAAATTAGATAGTCCTTAAGCATAAATTTTAGATGAGGAATCAAATCATGTTTAAATATTGTCTTTAGGTCAATAACTACATCATTAGTAATTACCTTAAAGAGAAGCATCTATTAGAGAATAAATAGAGTACTAAAATAGTTTTTATAAAACTCTTTTTAATTAATTTCCTGAAGGAATAATAATAATTAATGATTAAAATAAAATTGAATATCATAATAATTAAGTAAGAACTTTATTAGGAAGAAAACCTATTTCTGAAGATCTTATTCCAAAAAGACTATATGAATTGAAGAATTATTCTTCTAAATTTTAATTTGGTGAACAAGCATAATTTGATAAAATGTTTGCAGCATTAAATAAAAAATTAAAAAGTAATTCTCATGAATTTGAATAATAATTAAATGAAGAAAACTCTTTAATTAAAGATTGTTTTGTTCCATTGGAGGAGTAAACTTATTATAACTATTATGAATATGAATTAAGTAAAGCAGAAACATTAAGTCAAGAAATAGAGAAAGCTTTAATAGATAGGACTGGTACACCATCACCTTATTAAAGATAATTATCTTGTCATTCTTAAAGAACATAGAAGGGATAAGATAAAATTAAATTTGGAAGAGAAGTGAAAATGTTATGTATGATTGAAGAATCTAAAGAAGAAGTTCCTAAAGAAATACATGAAGAATAATCTGAGGATGAAGACTCTGCTGGTTTGCTAATTTAAATAACTATTAAGGGTTACACATATGAAAGTAAAAGAAATGTTTTGTTAATGATTAGAGATGTGTCTCTATTTAATTAGTATAAAGTATTATAGCAACAAAATTCAAATAAATCTAAAATGTTATCTTATGTTGCACATGAATTGAGAAATCCTTTAGGTGCTATATGTGCAATAAGTGCTTAATTATTGTAGAAATACTCATAAGATAAGGAAACGAGTAAGAAGTAATAATTATATATAAATAATTAGATACTTGAAACCATTAAAGAGTTCAGCAGAATCAATTTAGAGATTGGCAAATGATTTATTGGATTTAGCATAATTAAAGGCTGGAAAATTTAAGTTAACTTTTTAAGAGTTTGCGATAAAGAATTTAATATTTGATGCAATAGCAATGATGACTTTTACTGTTGGGGCAAAGAATTTATAATTGAGTTTGAAGTATGATAAAAAGATACCAAATTTAATAAAATCTGATTAATAGAGAATTTAATAGATAATATTGAATTTGATAAATAATTCAACAAAGTTTACAAAGTCAGGAGGGATAAAAGTGGAAGCTAAGTTATTGTAGCCAAAATTGATAGAGATATCAGTAGAGGATACAGGAGTTGGTCTATAACCTGAGGATATAAAGAAATTATTTTAACCTTTTGGTAAATTGGAGGATTCAAAGCATTTAAATACATAAGGAGTAGGTTTGGGTTTGATGATAAGTAATGTTTTGGCATAGAAATTAAGTGGAGGAGATGTAGGATTATAGGTTGAATCAAAAGGATTGGGTTAAGGGACTAGATTTGTATTTAAAATATTAGATTAAAATGAGACGAAGAGTTCAGTACATTGTTCTTAGGATACAAAATATTTTGGTAGGAAGGAGAGTAATTTATCAATAGTAAGAGTGTAGAAGAGAGATTAATTAACATTATAACCAATGAGTGCATCAATATTTAGAGCAAAGGTGATAAGTGAATAGAAGATAGAAGAAAATGAAAGTACAATTTATTAGTTTTAATGTGATGATGATAATTTTTAAGAGGATCCTATTTAAGAATCTTATGAGAATTGTGTTTGTCCACGAATTTTAATAGTAGATGATGAACCAATAAATTTAATAGCTTTGGGTTACATATTGTAGAATTTGAAGTATAGATTTAAATAGGCAAAAAGTGGTTAGGAAGCTTTAGATTATTTGAAGGGATGGTAAAGTACTTGTTGTAATTGGATAAGATGTGTAATAATAGATATATAGATGCCAATGATGGATGGTTACCAAACATCGAAATTAATAAGATTGATGGAGAAAGAGAAATAAATAAGTAAATGTACAATAATTGGTTACAGTGGGTATTCTGATGAAGAAACAAAAAAACATGGTTATGAAAGCGGAATGGATTATTTCCTTACTAAACCAGTTCCTTAGGGAGAATTATAAACTTTATTAAATTAATGTTGTTGATTAAATATTTTTTGTGATTAAAAATAGCTATGTCTTATAACTTCAAAACTATACATCCTGTTATGCCTGCTAAGGATATGATAAATGTTATTTTATCAAAGACTTAAAGGAAAACACCAACAGTAGTCCATCCTGGATATGATATCTCTAGAATAAGAGGGTTTTATATGAGGAAAGTAAAATTTACATAAGAAACTATTCATGAGAAGATTGATGCAATTTTGTAAGACTTTCCTAAAGTATAAAATATGATTAAATAATATAGTTAGATGATATACATCCATTCTATGCAGATTTGATTAATGTTTTGTATGATAAGGATCATTATAAATTAGCATTGGGACATGTACATGCTTGCAGGAATGTGATTGATAATATAGCCAAAGATTATTGTAGATTATTAAAATATGGTGATTCTCTATATAGATGCAAAATGTTAAAGAGAGCAGCATTAGGTCGTATGTGTACCACACTTAAAAAATTGACTAGTTCTCTTAATTATTTAGATGAGGTTAGAAAACATTTATCTAGAATGCCAGCAATCAATCCTTTTGAAAGAACTCTTTTGGTCACTGGATTTCCTAATGTAGGTAAGAGTAGTTTTGTAAATAATATTACTAATGCTAATTTGGATGTATAACCATATCCGTTTACTACATAAAATCTTTATGTTGGACATACTGATTATAATTTTGTTCGTTGGTAAGTTATTGATACCCCAGGAGTCTTAGATCATTCATTGAATGAAAGAAATCCAATTGAAATGTAAGCTATTACAGCACTTGCTCATTTAAAAGCTTGTATCATGTTTTTCTTAGACATTTCAGAAACTTGCAGTTATTCTATTGATTAATAGATTGCACTTTTTAAAGATTTAAAACCACTTTTCAAAAATAAACCTTTATTATTAGTAATGACTAAAATTGATATTAAAAAATTTGAATAATTAGATCAAATTGATCAATAAAAATTATAAGAAGTTATTCAATCTGAAAACGTATTTTAGTATCTTATATATTTTAAATTATTAGTTCTTAATTAAGTAACAAATCGGGAGAAGGTATAGCAATAGTAAAAGAGAAAGCTTGTAATCTCTTAAATGAATGGAGATAAAATCTTAAACCTGAATAATTAACAGGTGGAAATCCTAATCTTTTAAGAGAAGAATCTATTCTTTAAGGTGTCTATATTGCTTAACCCAAAAGAGTTAATTAAAATAGAATACCAATGATTCCTTAAGTGATTGGTAAATTAAATAGACCAACCTTGAAAGATATTTAAGAATAAAACGGAGGAGCTGGAGTATTCAATTTTCCATTATAAGGTATAATTTAATATATATTATATATTAGAACATTTCTTATTAGATAATCCAGATTGGAAATATGATGCTGTACCTGAAATAATGGATGGTAAAAATATTGGAGATTTTGTTGATGCTGATATTTTATAAAGATTAGAAGAATTAGAAAAAGAAGAAGAAATGATGGATTAAGCTGAAATTGAAGATCCAGAAGAAGAGGCTAGAGAATAAATGTTACTAAATACTAGAGATTAAGTTAATAAAAAAAGAGAAATGATTAAAGATGAACATCATATGAAAATGAAATAATAAGTTAAATTACATTAACCTAAATTGGAAGATGCAAAAGAAGATTTTGCTAAAAAAGGAATTGATACAACTTTCTTAGAATAAAGAGCATCAAAATTTGCTGCAAAAAAAGCATTATAAAAATAAAAAAGATAACAATAATCATCTGATGATAGTGATGATAATGATATGGAACTTGAAGGAACATAAAGAAAAGGAAGAGGAGATGCTTTATCCAGAAGTAGAAGTAGACTAAGAGAAATTTCAAGAAGTAGAAGTAGAGGTAATAAAAAAGTACTTACTGCTTAAGAATAAGTAGATTATATTCTTTAAACTTTTAGGCTATGGAAAGAATGTCAAAGAAAATTTAAAGAAGAAGAAGAAATGAAGCTAAAGCTGGTGATGGTGATACTAAAATCGATTGTAAAATGCCTAAGCATTTATTTACTGGTAAAAGTGGTATTGGAAAATAATCAAGACGTTGAATTATTTGTTGTTAATAAATACAATATATTATCAATTAATCCTATTTACTTTGATTTCATATTACTACATTTAAATTCTTTTTTATAATATTTCTTTATACAGATCCACTCATTTCTTTAAGTATATAATTTGTATTTATGCATTTTATCATATTCTTAATAATTTCTTTAGAAAAATCTTAAATTTTATTATAATATTCATATTCACAAATACTCTTACCAAAGTCCTAATAATCATTTTCTTTATTAGACTCTTCAGTAATGTTTTATTGTGTTTAAAATACTATGTCATCAATTTCAAATTTGTTTCAAGTAATTTATTAATTGATTGTATTTCATTTATCACATAAAATTCTATTCTTTTATGAGTTCATTTATTATTAAATTAACTTCAAATTAAAAACTAACTCAATTAATTTCATATATAATTTTACAATAGAATCAAATAAGCTAAATTATTCATAGTTAGCAAAAAGATAATGATTTGATTCAATAAATATATATAACTTGATACTTATTCTTTATAATTTATTATAATAAAAAAATGGATGATGAAAAAAAAAAGAAAAAGGGGAATAAATTAGATTTAAATCTTTTACCTTCTTCAATGAAAGAACGATATGCTGCTATGGGAATATTACCTAAACCTTAAATTCCAAAAGCTAATGTTCAAGTTGATGTTTAAAGAATGAAACAGAAAAAAATTGAAAAAGAGTAACCAATTGAATAAAAATTGGAAGGTATAGAAATCAAAGCAAGTGAAAAAAAGTAGTTAGAAAAGTAAAATAAATTTTTTACTTAAGAGTATTTTAGATGCTTAAAAAAAAAGATGTAGATTATTTTGATGCAAAAGATATTGATAAAATGCTTAGATTTTTAGGTGTTTCTCTAACAAAATCAGAAATAGATCTTATGTTATGGGTAAAATTAAGAATTTATCCTAATAATAGGAAGTTGATGAAAATCTTGATGGGAAAGTAAGTTGGACTGAATTTTTGAATATGTACAAAAAATGTACAATTGATAAAACAGGTTTAGAACCTAAGAGTTTGTTTCATATGATTTAATTTTTAATGTATTTACCACCAGATAGGAAAGATCCAAAAGTAACAGTTGAAGTATAAAAATAATTAAAAAATAATTAGGATACTTTGGAACTGTTATATGTGAGATTTGGAAGATAATGTTTAGATTCAGAAATTCATGCTATTTTTGGAGATGAGGAAAAAAATAAAGACGGTGAAGAGAAGGCAATTTCATTTAGTGAATATATGGAAAAAATTAATGAGAGAGCAATCCAATAAAGAAAAATTAGGAAAGAAGAATAAAAACAATAATTTTAATACTTCAAAAAAGAAAAATAAATGGAGTGATTTCATTATTATTTTATATTATAATAGAAATGATCATTATTTAATTATTTAAACTCAATTATCATCAAATATATAAAATTAAATATGATATAATCCACAATAGTTAATTCAAGTGTGCAGATTTATTTGAAAAAAACATTTTCCCTCTATTATTACCCATTAGAATCAGGCAAAATTCATGAAAAAATTAAACAAATAGATATAGTTAATTTCTCTTTCAATTAAAACAAAATTGATTTCACATCTACTTATGAAAATATAAATAAACTGATTGAGTATTATATTTAAACTAATGATGTTCAAATAAATTACTCCTCAGATGGTTTACATAGTGCTATTATTTGTGCATTTTTAATCTAAAAAAATTTTGATTTGGATAGTGCATAAAATGTAAAAAAGTTCTATTAAATTAAGTTTATGGATATTTTACAAATTTAGAGGCCTCGTACTTATTATTTGAATAGTTTGAAAGAATATGAAGATAAATTATATCCTGAACCAAAATTAAATAGAAGTTCAATTATTATAGGAACATAGATTGATTTAGAATAAACCTTATAGAATTCAATGATTTAATCAGAAATTCTTAATTTCCCAATTTTTAGTTAAAGATTAATTGAAACTTCAAGGTACAAATTTAAATTTACATTAGTAACTCATAAATTCTCCCATCTGAATATTAAGCAAAATCTGAAATATTTGATTAAAAATAATTCAGTATGATTTCATTTGGATAGTAAGATTATTAAACTGTCTGTGAAGAACCTTAAATTAATTAAATTTAATAATCGCTTATTTAGAATAGAAAATTATGAAAAAGTATACTGATATAAAATATAAATCAAACTAATTTAAAAATTTCTCAAGATTTTTTAACAGAAGGTCTTCTACTATGTTATTATAATTATTAAATAACTTAAGGTGCTTTATTATTAGTAATTGTTAAAGGTTTTTCATACTTTTTCTTTTCTAACATGTCTTTTATTTATTAACCTTCTAAAATTAAACGACCCATTTAATTGATTTCTCTATTAGTTTTACTTAATAATGAATTTTCATGAGAAGTTAATTAAATTTTAGCAGCTAATCTATCACATTCTTATTAGAGTTATCTATTCATACCCTCTAATCTTTCTACAACTGATTAAAGATGTAAAATTTCTCTATCTTTTAGAATCAACTACTAAGTTGTTTTATCAAAATTCTAAGAACTTGTATTAATCTATATAAATACCTTTTATTGTTTTTTTTTAACTATTTTAATTCTTCTTCATTTCTTTATAATTCATTTTCAAGGTTAGCTACTTATCTAAGTAGATCTCTATTTTAATCTTATAATTACATACATTATTAGGAAACTTCTTCAAAAGATCTAAAATATAAAATATTTTACTATTCTGCCTAAACTCTATACAATCTTTCTTCTTCAACTTATTTTAAATATAATTCAATATTTTTATACTTAGTTTCCATATCTGAATACTTTTCATCTTGAATCTTTATTCTATCTATTAAAGTTTGTTTATCCTTTTTGTATTACTCAAATATATTGAGATGATCCTTTGAATCTTTAGCTGATTACTCTTTCAAAGTATTTATTTAATTACAAAATTATTAATTGTCACGTTATAATTAAATTATTTAACTTTACAATTCCTATTTGTTATTTTAGAATTCTTTAATTTACTAATTTTGATCTCTCATTTATTATTAAATTTAAAGATCTTTCTATTATAGTTGTTATAGTTGTAATTACATTTTTTCTAGCTTCTGATCTTTCTCAATCAAAGTATCTTTTAAAATTTAAGATTCTTGCATATATTGCTCATTTAATTCTTATAAATCTATACATTATTAAGATAATTTTCCATATTCATCATTAATACTTTATATTTATTATTAATATTGTAAATTATGCATCTATAATTGATCAAACTAATTTTTTAATGAATTAAATTCTTTATTTTTATGTTTATCTTAATTTGATAACTATTATTATAAATTAGAGTATCTTTCATTATAATTTTACATTTAATCAATTTTATGAGCATATTTATTCCTTTCTGCTTCTATTGATTAATAATCTTTATATAGTTGTTATAAGTTTTATTCATATTTATCAGATTAATGCTTAATTTGTGTAACATAATTTTTCATATCTTCCATTTTACCATATAAATGACTTAATTCCTATTCTCTTTTAATTACTAATCTCTCTAATTCTTTAATTTATCTTCTATTTTATTTTTTATTTTTTTTTTAATCGGAGTTTTAGACATTTATGGGATCTTAATGATAAAGTTCATTTTGATTAAGTAATTCCTATAAATTAGATAACTCTTATGTAATTTATTAATTTTCCTCTTATAATTATTGCATTTAATCCTTATACATATTATTTTCTTAAGTTAAGTATTCAATTTATTAATTTTTTTGTTAGATATGAATTCTATATTGATCATTTTCTTCTAGTAATTTATTGTAGAATTAACCTCCTTATTCCATTTCTTTTCTATAATCTTATAATTAATTTTCGAAGAATTCATTTTCTTATCTTAAACTTTGACTCAAGGAAAATTGAGTTCGTAAATCATTTTTTAAATTATCAATTTAATCAATGAGTTCATTGTTTTCTTTTTCGAGTTATTGTACATTCTTAAGAATATAATGATATTGTATACTTGTTAAATTGTTTATAAGTAATCCATCAGATTAGAATTTTAAGTTTACAATTAGTGATTATGCTTTTCAAGATTGTCATATCTCTTAATCATCTCTTGAATTTCTTCATCTTAGGAAGACATAAAATATATATTTATTTAAAATAAAAGATTAACGATCATAAATTTATCATTTTTCTCCATCAGAATCAACTACTTTAATATCATTACCAAACAAATCATCAAAAGTTACTGGTTTATTAATTTCTTTAATAGTTTAAGCAACCTATTCTTAAATATTTTTTTGTTAATGTTAATATGCTCCAATAGATTGAGACATACATGGTAATACAGGTGGTAACCAATAACTATTTATCATGCTTTATCCAAGAGGCATCATAAATGAAGGTTGATTGGCCAATAATAATAATGGTTGCATTGTACTTTAACGATTTATATCATCAATTGATTTTTGTATCATAAACATATTATGATCAGATTAAGTAAGTGTTGCACATTTACTATTGTTATTCTCTTCAGTTTTTATTTATTTATATATATGTCTTAATAACAAACCTTAATAATCTAATGAATTAAATGGAGATATAAATAACTTTTTCGTCTTTTTATTAAAGAGCACTACTCCAGATCTATCATTTTCTACAGAAAATAGATTATCAACTCTTTTAATATTCAATACTTTTTTATATAGTACTTCACTTTTATTGTTTGTTGTTAATTCATTATGAAATAAATCAAAAAAATCATCATTCTTTATTTTCTAGGCTTCAGAGTACTTACCTTCTGAAACACATAAATCAATATATAAACTTTAGATTGCTAGAACTATAAATTACCATTCATAATTATCTATTTCTTCAATTGGTGTTATTTTACCATATTTATTTGCATAATCCATTCTTAATTTTTATACTTTAGAAAATAATTGAGGATTTATTGTTTCAAATTCATATTTTAATTTTTCTTTTTTTAAAAGTGAATTATATTTATTCTTAAGTGAATTCTCTGTTCTCACTCTACCATATAGAGCAGATAATTCAGACCATTTCTTACCTCGAATCAAAATAGTCTTTAAAAGATCTATTTCCTATTATTTTGACCAAGGTTCACTTATAATAATTGAATATAAAATACTTGCAAATATTAGGATCCAATCTATTTATCCATCTCTCTCTACATTATTTAGGTTATCTAAATATTTTATTAGGAGATCTCTTATATATTTCTCTAGCAATCTATGACCATTTGTTTTCCTTTCCTAATCTATTAAATTCCCTTTAATATATTAAATTATTATAATACTCATGAACTAATTATAATAATTAATCTTCATCTTCTGTCCAAGGGGCTTCTGAAAGTGATATTTTATATTTCTACTCCCATTTCAATCTACATTAATGAGCATTACGACCTATTGTCATTTTAGCTATGTCTCTCCATTCATTAAGTGTCTTATTTTAAGAATAATCATAATTACAAGTTAATTGATTTCTTTTATTAAACAATATCTAATAACCACCCAATAAAATAATCTTTTATCTTAATCATTCCATTTTACACTTCTTCTCCTTGCATTTTTTCTATATATTTATATAGATCAATTCATATACATATTTATTTCAAACAAAATTTTTGCTTCTTCCATTGTTGGCCAATCGTCTACTTTTAGGCGAAGATTAGAACCTATTCTTATCAACTATTCCTTTGTTTCTTAGAACTCCTTTGAGTTTTCAACAAAATTACTGAAATGCTGATTTACTACTTCGAAAGGGTAGACTTTTAACAATAACATACTAAACGTTACTAATCAAATCCTCCATCTCGCAACTACCACCTAGTTTTATTTCATTCCTCTCCATTTACATTAATAAAATATAAAATACTGTATTATTAATTCTTTATTAACTCCACCGTTGAGGATTTGAATAGCAAAGTGTTTATATTGAAATTATAAAGTTTTTATAAATTTTTATCAATTTCTATACACTTTTATACACTTTTATATACGTTTATACACTTTTTTTAATTCCTTGAATTCTTTTTATTGAATAAATTTATATTTATCCAATAAAAATTTCATCATATTTATTATTTACATTCATTTCCTCTAATTCAGTTCAAATTACTTTCTGATCTCTTTTATTCTTAATCCTTTCAAACAATTGTTCAAAAAACTCAACATTTTATTATCTCCTTTTTAATTCAACACATTTTATAAAAAATTTATCTTTTATACAATTTGAAATTAGATGTTTTCTATTTTTATTCAATTTCTTTTTCTTTCGCTATAATCATTTTATATATAACACAACTAAAATGAAATATTTTTATCTATTTTTTAATTGTTCGGTTCTCTTTTATTATTGAATTCAAACATATTATTGTAAAAAAACTTAAACAAATTATAAAAAGTAATATTCAAAAAAAGAGATTATTAATCAGATGAATATGTAAATTATAAATATTCCTTTATAAAATAATTTATTTATCTACCTCTAATTAAATAACTTTGACTTTTTAGTACTTTAGCAATTTCTTGTAAAAATTTATTTGTTTATTATTTTGAAAATCATTAAAACATTATTATATAGATTTTAAACACTTGTATGCTTGTTTGTAAAATAATTAACGACTTATACAATAATAGTAAAATTTAAGCTTTTTTAAAAAATTTATGTTCGTAATTTAATAATATATATGTCCATAAATTATTATAATAATATGATTAATTTTCTAACATACTGATAATTGAATTAATAATAAATATTGACTCATATATTTTTTTATAAATGCCATTCATAATAGGCTGCTTCAAGTTAATATGAGTTTTCAATAGATCTGATATTGTGATCTGTTTCAATAAAACTTGTTCCTAAATGTTACTTTTTTAATTATTCTAGATATTTTTCATACAATATTTATGGATACTGATCTTAAGGTACTTTTAATTTGAATTCTTCAAAACTTTAAACTGGAGTAGCCTTAATATTATATTTTTGTTATAGTTCTTAAAGAATTTAATCTAAATAATAGTTACAATAAAATACTTTTTCTCAAATTCAATTGTTCAGTATATGACACATCAGTATGATCAAATACATCCTAAGTTTATTCTAATGGTTGATCTTCTTCTTATTCACTCTACTCTGAAACAAGTTTAATGTTTTCTAAAAAATTTAAATCAACTTCATCAGCTTTTTACAAATATTTTTAGAGTCTTTCTTCTCTTGGATTAAGTATTTGTAATTCTTTTTATGGTTCAATCTGTTACTCTTCTTAAACTAGTTCTATTTTAATTTCTGTATCCATTAATGGACTAGAAAAATGTTATTAAGGTTTCACAGATCTTAAATTATTATTATTAGCAAATTAAGCAAAAATAGTATCATATTCATTAAGAATAGGTTTTTTAGAATATTTATTTTCATTGTTAGATGATGAGATAATTTATTATTCAGGTTGATTAGAAATATTATCTAATTCTAATACATTATTGTTTGTGAATTATTTAATAGTATTTATTTCATTATTTTCAATCTTAGAATTATGTGAAGAAGTATTCTCAATTTATTGCATTAAACTCTCTGTTTTTAACTTTAATTAATCTTTTAAGGATAATTTATTTTATGTAAGAGATTCTTCTTTTTCTGCTTATTATTATAATACTTCAATATTTTTTTTGGCTTCTTCAATCATTTATTGAATTTTAGGTGAAAACTTAGGCGCTCTATCAATATATTTTAATTCAATAAGTTCTTCAGCTTTGCTTTCTTCTTAAAAATCAATATTATTTCTCGATAGAAATGAAACATTAGTGGATTCTTTTGGATTTAATTCAATTATATTAATTTTTTTGGTTCTATCCTCTGACATTTTCTCTAATTTAAATAATTCTTCCTCAATATTAATAGGTTTTGAAATTTATCTAAAAGGATAATCATTTATCGTATTTATATGATTTGTATTAATTGGACTTTTTGAATCAGTGGAATTATTTAAATAACTTGAATCATCATATAGTTCTTGTTAAGATTCACTATTATTTTAGTTTAGAATATTTTATTATGGAATATCTTCTAGATTGAAATCAAAACTATTAATTCCATTTGGATGGTTAATTTGTTCTTCTAATTTAAAAATAGATTAAGATATCATCTTTTTAAGACTTTCTTCATGAGATGTATATGGTTATTGAATAGTTTCTGTTTTAATTGTTGATTAAAGTATATTTTCAACTTTATCTTAGGAAGGATTATAATTATCTTATTTAAAAGTAATGAATTTAGATGGATTGTCAGATTAATTTTGAAATTAAGTATTAATTTTGAATCGTTTAGTTTAATCATTCCCTATCTTAAAATAAGAATTACTAAAGTATAATAGGCATTCATCTTCACATATAAATGTAGATTAAGCAATGATAGATAGAGCAGTTGATTGTTTAATTAGATTATAACCTTAGAATGTTGGTAAATCTTCTATTCTAGATTACAATATATCAACAGCACCAGCTACAACTCAAACTCCTAATATTTCAGTATCTATAGATGTAAACTTCAGCATTATACCTTCATTTCTTACATCTATAATATAGACCAATCATTTGTCATACCTTATTAAAATTAAAAGTTATTGCTTTATTATCTTACTCCAGTTAAGAATACCCATGATTTAGGTACTTTGACAAACTATCTAGTCATTTTAGATGCCAATACTTAAGATAAGGAATGAAGACAATTTCTTTGACTTTAAAATTTAAACAATTTATTGAAACTCTATCATCAACTATAGCCATGTAACGATATTCTAAATATTGTTCTGTTCCACTCAAGACTCCTATTGTAAAACCTACATTTTATGTTAAATACAATACCATTCGTAGTTACATTGTAAATCTTGCTAAAGTATACTTAAGTATTATGATTCATTAGACTATTTATTGTTAAAGCAACCTATGGGACACGGATAAATGGCTAATCAAATTTTATTTCCTTTATTTTTCATTTGCAATCTGTCATACTTAATATTATAGTTTTCCAGCCTAAAGATCTTCAAATTCTATTAAACCCATCTCTAATTATAATGGTATGTTTTTGCAAGTAACTAAATAAAACAGAAGAAGGCTTATTACTAATACCTTCATATAATTAATATTATATTAAAAACGAATCAAATTAAATCAACACATTCAATGACCTGTTGTTTATATCGATTCTAATAAATTCACTAAAATACTATTACCTTACAATAAATAAATCAAATTCATTTATCAGTGTAAATTTAATATTATAACAGATATCAAATCTAATCTTTAATTCTTATTACAACATATAAAATTAGAGAATAAAGAATTAATTATTATGACTTATTCAATTTATAATGATTGTTAATATATAACATCATTTTTATTCTGTAATTCATTTTACAACTAGAATAAATATTTTCAAAATAATGGTTTTATAAAATTATTAATATAAATTATATATCTATTAATAAATTATATATCTATTAAATAACTTGTATACATAATAATTAACAACAACATTTAGAAAGGTATATTGATAACTTTAATTATAGTTTTGTCATCCATATCTAATAAAATGATAATTTTATAAAATATTAATAAAATAAGTTAATTTTAAAAAATTGAACAATTCATTTGGGCAATAATTATAAAAGAGATTCAAATTCATTAGAAAAAGTAGCCTCAATTTCTAATTTTCCATTTTTTTAAATCATGGATCCATTTGAATTTTAATAAAATTATTCATTAATGTCAACAGGAAAATTTTGAAAAATCATCTTTTTAGCTTAGAGCATAATTCCTTAATTTTCACCAAATAATTAAGTTTATAGTTCTCTATTAGATTTAGTAAATTAAAATCCATATTTTTGATCGAAAAGTATAGGAGTTTTGAGTACTTAACTTAAATGTGCTCTAATTTAATGTTTACGACCCTCAAAAATTTGTAAATCTAATACAGTATAGATTTCATTTCCATACTCATATTCTTCAATAATTTCATATGAGGTTCTCGCAGGTAAATATTTACCTTCTAATAATTATTCTTCATTATAACATGTTTATTTTTGATTATTTGTATTAAATAATAATGGACGATCAATTAAGCCTTTTTATGATTTTATTGTGCCTTAAACAACAGCTATATATTTTTTTGTGATAAAGGCTTTTTCTTATATGATTCTACTAATTTCTGTTGCAACATCTTTATTTTTAGCTATAATTAATAGACCAGCTGTTAATTAATCTAACCTATGAATAATGTAGAAGTTTTTAAAATATAAATTTAAAATTTCTGGTATATTGTAATTAGGATTTGCTCCTCCTTATGATGCGTATCCATGCTTTTTATTAAGAATAATTATTTAATCGTTTTCATAGAGGATCATTTTTTTTAAGTCTTCATAGGATTATACATTGGGAAGTGGTCTTAATTAATTTTGATCTTATTTCTTTAATTTATCCCAATAAGTAACTATATCTCCTTCTTGAAGAAGGAATTAGTGATCTTTAATTTTTTTGTTATTAACATTGATTTCGCCATTTCGAATATATTTTTAGACTTCATTCCAGCTGCGATTGAGGTCTGTGATAAGAAATTTGTCTATTCTTGAACCAGAATGAGAGTTAAATATTGGTACACTTAATTTCGTAAAATGCGATTTAATGAATGTGGTTAAGAACATGAATATAATATTTAAGTAATTATAAATTTTATTATTGTGCTTAATAAATTGTTAATACGAGGCTGGGTTTGTGAAAGAAGTAAAACAAATTAGAAAACACTACACTTTCAAATTTTAATATATTGATGAGATAGATGAAGGAGATGATTAAATAAAAGATATCCAAAAAAAATAGAAAATCTATCTCAATAGAGAAATAAAAATTGATTATAAAATCTAAAGATCAACCTGAAACTTGTACAACTAATAGAGATAGACTGTTTTGTATATATTGATTACAAAATCTTGAAATAACAATATTAGCAATGAGTTCAATTCATCTAAAAAATAAAGGAGAAGAAAATATTTATGATAAAAATTTTTGAATAAGATGATTTAATTAGAAGTATAGAAGAGTAAAAATTAAGAACCTTTAAAGAAATGAGTAAAATAGTGCTAATTATTAATAAACTATGGTACCACATAAAGTTTAAAAGATGGAAGATTATTATTATTGTTGTGTGAATATTAAAATATTTCATAGTAGTTTTGAGAAATTGATTATGTGATGTGTATAAATATAAAAAATATTATAATGGATGATAGTCTGAATAATATATAGCCAAAAAAGAAGACATTTTATATAAGAAAGAAAGCAGATGAAATGCAAAAGCAGTCTAAATTGTTTTCTCAGTTTGCTGGATTAGGGAATTATATAATACAAGGAACTGTATTGATGATGATAGAATTAGTCATTTAACCAAGGTATATCTATGGGTTCAAAAATGATTGTTAAGAAGCCAACATCAGGTGTACCATCATAAATAAGTAGAGGGGGATTAGATAAATAGGATCCAAGAGGAAGTACACCAAAGGGAGCGATTAGTAGAATATCTGAGATGGATGAGGAAGAGAAGAAGAATGAGGTAGAAGGTCCTTAGGTATGAATTTGAATAATATATGTATAGTTGAAAATGAAAAAGGAACATATATCATTTTTGGTTAAAACTGAAACAGTCGGTTATGATAATGTTGTTGTATCAAATAATGGAAGTGCTGCAATTTATTATGAATGGAAAAGAATAGAGAGTGTTAGAAAATAAGCTAATTCAATATAAGATATTAATGAGGAGAGATTCTTTTGTCATCATGATTAGAATGTAATTAAACCAGGAGAAAGAATAAAATTTATTTTTAGTTTTCTATCTAAATAAACAGGTGTATTTAATGAGGAATGGGAATTAAAATGTGAACCTCCATGTTTAAATTAATTACCTAATTTAAAATTAACAGGAATATCATTTATAGAGGATGAAATAACTAATGGAAGAAAGGAATTTTAGAAATAAGTTAAAAATAAGTTTGCATTAAAAATAGCAACAGAAATAGTAGATGATATCTTTGAAGAAGTAAAAACACCACCACCACCTAAACCTGATCTTGATGATCCTGAATAATTTAAAATAGAATTTGAAGAATTGAATCTAAGCGAATAATTATGGTTTACACATGAGATAATGAACTTCTTTAATTTTTCATCAGATGAAATATGTTAAATTTTAAAATAAGATATTACATGGAATGGAGATGTAAAATAATTAAGATAATCATGTCATACAATAGATGAAGAAGAAATAAAAGAATTAGTTTTACGTAAATTAGAATTATGGGTTAAATTGGCTAAGAAAGTACCAATATCTCGTAATCCTATATATAGTGTTGTTAAAGATTTAATAGGTGATGTAGCTAATTAAGTACCATAATTATCAGAAGATATGCGTAAAGAATTATAAATGTGGGAATATACATTTCATGAACCTGAAGATTTAACACCAGAAAAAGCTAAAGTTAAATTAGATGAATTTAATAAAATGAAAGCTAATTGGTTAAAAAATGCAAAAAAAAAGAAATGGAATGAAGAAATGGAAAAGGAATTAATTGAAGAATATAAAACTAAATTAGGAATTAAAGTATCTGAAGCATTAGCATAAGCAGCTATTAAATTAGAAAATGATGGATAATTATTATAAGTAGGTGCATTAATGAAACCAGAATTAAAATGGAATGTATTTAGAAGAAGAAGATATTAATCTACTTATTTTTATGATTTACTTAGAAAAAAAACTATATAAGATTCAGATATTGAAGGTAAAAAAATTGGATTAAAAGTTCATTTAAAATTAGCTAATAGACCAGATGTTTATGAACTTAAAGAAAAGTTTGAGTAAAAATTATTAAAAGAATAAGAAGAGGAAAATAAAAGATTGGAAGAAGAAAGATTGGAAAAAGAAAGATTAGCATAAGAAGCAGCTAAAAAGAAAGGAAAAGGTAAACCAGTTAAATAAAAAGAAGTTGAAGTTGTTTAAGGTAATATATATTATTATATAAATATTTATAGTTTAATAAAAGAATTATGATCTAAGTCATTTAGATTAAGCAACACTTTAAGAATGTGTAGAAACTCTTAAATTATTAATGGAAAGATAAGCTAAGATAGTTGTATTATTAGTAAGTTATGATAATCCAAGTGGAAAATATAAATTTACATCATCTACTAAATTCTTTTATGAATGGTTAAAAACTTAATTAGAATGTCCAGTATATTTCAACGATGTTATNAAATTAATTACCTAATTTAAAATTAACAGGAATAGCATTTATAGATGATGAATTAACTAATGGAAGAAAGGAATTTTAAAAATAAGTTAAAAATAAGTTTGCATTGAAAATAGCTACAGAAATTGTAGATGATATATTTGAAGAAGTTAAAACACCACCACCTCCTAAGCCTGATCTTAATGATCCTGAACAATTTAAAATTGAATTTGAAGAATTAAATCTAGGTGAATAATTATGGTTTACACATGAGATTATGAATTTCTTTAATTTCTCATCAGATGAAATATGTTAAATTTTAAAATAAGATATTACATGGAATGGAGATGTAAAATAATTAAGATAATCATGTCATACAATAGATGAAGAAGAAATAAAAGAATTAGTTTTACGTAAATTAGAATTATGGGTTAAATTGGCTAAGAAAGTACCAATATCTCGTAATCCTATATATAGTGTTGTTAAAGATTTAATAGGTGATGTAGCTAATTAAGTACCATAATTATCAGAAGATATGCGTAAAGAATTATAAATGTGGGAATATACATTTCATGAACCTGAAGATTTAACACCAGAAAAAGCTAAAGTTAAATTAGATGAATTTAATAAAATGAAAGCTAATTGGTTAAAAAATGCAAAAAAAAAGAAATGGAATGAAGAAATGGAAAAGGAATTAATTGAAGAATATAAAACTAAATTAGGAATTAAAGTATCTGAAGCATTAGCATAAGCAGCTATTAAATTAGAAAATGATGGATAATTATTATAAGTAGGTGCATTAATGAAACCAGAATTAAAATGGAATGTATTTAGAAGAAGAAGATATTAATCTACTTATTTTTATGATTTACTTAGAAAAAAAACTATATAAGATTCAGATATTGAAGGTAAAAAAATTGGATTAAAAGTTCATTTAAAATTAGCTAATAGACCAGATGTTTATGAACTTAAAGAAAAGTTTGAGTAAAAATTATTAAAAGAATAAGAAGAGGAAAATAAAAGATTGGAAGAAGAAAGATTGGAAAAAGAAAGATTAGCATAAGAAGCAGCTAAAAAGAAAGGAAAAGGTAAACCAGTTAAATAAAAAGAAGTTGAAGTTGTTTAAGGTAATATATATTATTATATAAATATTTATAGTTTAATAAAAGAATTATGATCTAAGTCATTTAGATTAAGCAACACTTTAAGAATGTGTAGAAACTCTTAAATTATTAATGGAAAGATAAGCTAAGATAGTTGTATTATTAGTAAGTTATGATAATCCAAGTGGAAAATATAAATTTACATCATCTACTAAATTCTTTTATGAATGGTTAAAAACTTAATTAGAATGTCCAGTATATTTCAACGATGTTATAATTGAAAATTTAGATGAATAATTGGAAACTTAAACATTTTAAGAAAATAGTGTATTAGTTTTAGAGAATTTATTTTTCTATCCAGATGAAGTTGGTTATTCTGAAGAAGAACCAGATATAGAATCAAAAACACCTTATAGAACTTTATTACCATATGGGAATATATATATAATAGGAGATAGAGTGAATTTCTTTTCAAGATTTTATCCATCAATAATTCATATGAATGCTGATTAGACAATTTTATCTTCAGGTATTGCAAAAGATATACATATTTTATGTCATAATCTTATGGGATGTTAAGATAGACATGGAACGTTAATTCTTGGAGGTGATTTAACAGGAGATAAATTATTAACTATTGATTAATTATCTGGTCATTTATCATCTATAGTATTATTAGGTAAATTAGGATTATCGTTTTATTTAACAATGTATGAAATACCAAGTGATCTTGTATCAGAAGCTGTTAGAGAAGTTATTAAAAATTTACTTAATGTTTTAAGAGATGAATCAACTGATAAACCTCCTTAAAGATTAACTAGAATTAGTCATCTTCCAGAATAACCAAAACCTAAAGCAAGATTAATCTGTCCATAAGATTATTTAATTACTACACTCCCTGAAGCATATGATCCTGCTAATCAAGATCATGTTTCTATTGTTACTGATAATATTACACCTTTTGTACCTGAAGGCAACATTTTATTAGATGAAGGTAAAATATTATTGGATTATGGACCTAAAACTATAGATATTGTTAAAGATGAAATCTAAAATGCATAAAGATTATTTTGGATTGATGATGCCAATCTTGCATTATATAATATTTAAAAATAAATTACTGTCCCTGATTTTGAAGCTATTGCTTTACTTAAAAAATTAAGAGAAGAAGAAGCACAAAAAGAAAGAGAAAGATTAGAAAAATTAAAAGAAAAAAAAGGTGGAAAAGCTAATAAAAAAGGTCTCAAAGAAGAACCACCTAAAGAACCCATTAATAGTAATCTTTTTATCTTATTCATTTTCTAGTTAAAACAACTAAAGAAATTAATGTTCCTGTCTTTAATCTCACTAATAAAGAGCTTGGACACTTTATCTATGAAATTAATCAAGATAAAAAAGATAGACATTAACATGCTCAAAAATAAGGACATTTAATATCTTATGATTTTAATTAAGATTGTGTTATTACTATTATTGGTGAAAAATTAGAAAAAGTACTCAATTAAGAAGATTTTCAAAATATTGGCAATTAAGAAGAAATTGAATAAGCTCCTGAACCTAGTTAAAAAGGTTCCTAATTCCCATAGAGTGAAGCAGGAGAAGATTAAAAAGAATAAGAAGACGAATAAATTGAAGAAGAAAAAGTTAAAATCAATCAAGTTATATTATTTTATTTTATCATTAGGTAAAATAATTATTAGCCGATTTCTTTATATAAGATCAGGATTTCACTCTTTCATTTCTTGCTGGAAATCTTATTCATATCTAAACACTTGATGAATATCCACCTAAACCAGAATCAGAAATTAATGAAGAGTAATATTTTGAAGAAGATAGTACTCCTTGATCTATATAAATTATTATTATTTAAGCTAATTTTTATCTATAATATATAATATATCTAGAAAATTTATTTCAAATACTCTTATTCCAGGAAAAACGAGAATTAAGAATTATTTAAAATTTAATCTAAATGATCATTAATAAAATAATCAAATTTTTTATCCCTCTTTTGACAAATAAAAAATTTTATCTTCTTTAATATTAGAAAAGTTACAAACCATTTTTTAAAAAATATTTCAAACAGTATTTTTTTGNACCTAAAGCAAGATTAATCTGTCCATAAGATTATTTAATTACTACACTCCCTGAAGCATATGATCCTGCTAATCAAGATCATGTTTCTATTGTTACTGATAATATTACACCTTTTGTACCTGAAGGCAACATTTTATTAGATGAAGGTAAAATATTATTGGATTATGGACCTAAAACTATAGATATTGTTAAAGATGAAATCTAAAATGCATAAAGATTATTTTGGATTGATGATGCCAATCTTGCATTATATAATATTTAAAAATAAATTACTGTCCCTGATTTTGAAGCTATTGCTTTACTTAAAAAATTAAGAGAAGAAGAAGCACAAAAAGAAAGAGAAAGATTAGAAAAATTAAAAGAAAAAAAAGGTGGAAAAGCTAATAAAAAAGGTCTCAAAGAAGAACCACCTAAAGAACCCATTAATAGTAATCTTTTTATCTTATTCATTTTCTAGTTAAAACAACTAAAGAAATTAATGTTCCTGTCTTTAATCTCACTAATAAAGAGCTTGGACACTTTATCTATGAAATTAATCAAGATAAAAAAGATAGACATTAACATGCTCAAAAATAAGGACATTTAATATCTTATGATTTTAATTAAGATTGTGTTATTACTATTATTGGTGAAAAATTAGAAAAAGTACTCAATTAAGAAGATTTTCAAAATATTGGCAATTAAGAAGAAATTGAATAAGCTCCTGAACCTAGTTAAAAAGGTTCCTAATTCCCATAGAGTGAAGCAGGAGAAGATTAAAAAGAATAAGAAGACGAATAAATTGAAGAAGAAAAAGTTAAAATCAATCAAGTTATATTATTTTATTTTATCATTAGGTAAAATAATTATTAGCCGATTTCTTTATATAAGATCAGGATTTCACTCTTTCATTTCTTGCTGGAAATCTTATTCATATCTAAACACTTGATGAATATCCACCTAAACCAGAATCAGAAATTAATGAAGAGTAATATTTTGAAGAAGATAGTACTCCTTGATCTATATAAATTATTATTATTTAAGCTAATTTTTATCTATAATATATAATATATCTAGAAAATTTATTTCAAATACTCTTATTCCAGGAAAAACGAGAATTAAGAATTATTTAAAATTTAATCTAAATGATCATTAATAAAATAATCAAATTTTTTATCCCTCTTTTGACAAATAAAAAATTTTATCTTCTTTAATATTAGAAAAGTTACAAACCATTTTTTAAAAAATATTTCAAACAGTATTTTTTTGATATAATTTTTGTTTTTTTATTTAATAATACTAACAAATACAATAATATTATGATTTTAGAATTATATCAAATATTAATTGAAATTCTTGATCATAAGAATTATAAATTATTATAATATTAAAATTGGGAATTACAGTAAGGATTAAATAATAATCAGTTTAATATTCATTAACTTACAAAAGAGATGTAATAATTGCGAAGGTAAGAATAATTAAATTTATGTATTTTGCTAATTAATAAAAATAAAGAGAAAAAGAAAAAGAATAAATAGTAATAAGTATATCAAATAGAATAAATGTTGAAAAGGATGAGTCTTATAAGGTAAGTTTAATAAAATTATAATAAAGAAACATTGAGTTTGTATAAGAATAAGAATATTTGCAATAGGGCTTAATTAGTTGTACATAATATAATGAGAAGATATTTTGAAAGGTTAAAAAAGAAATAGTTAGAATACAATATAGAATCATAATTTTGAAATTAGAGTAAGGAAATTAATGTTCAAGGATAGATTCTAATAGTGATTAGTTTGGTTGGAAATGTGATAATATTAAGAAAGTAAATCTTCTTATAGTTTTAATATGAAATGAATAAAAACATTAAATATCAATGAGATTTTAAAATAAAATCAAAATTTTAGTAATCGTTAATGAATGAAAGTGTTATTATTATTAAATATTAATATTTATTATATAAATAAGGATTAAAATGAAAAGGTAAAGATATAGAAGGAATGTAACAATAAAAAGAGAAATTGTAGAAAAAAAAAATAATTTTTGTAAAAGCTTTATAAATCTCGAAAGTAATTATTTTTTGGATTATTTTCTTGGGTAAACCAGAAGCATAAGTAGTTATGGTAATGAATTTGGATAGATGAATAAATTCTAGATTAGATTCAAAAACATTTTACCTGAATATAAAACTAAATAATCAATTCATGAGATGGAAATGAAGGAAAAAAGAAGAAGATAAACATAACTTATGGAGGATATGGCTATTCTAAAATTAAGAAAAGGAATTTAAGATATTAGTAAAAGCAAAACAATAATATAAACATTAAAAATGTTAAAGACATCTAATTAAGAATGTAATGAGAGTGCGAAATAAATAAAATAATCATAGAGTGAAAGAAGTAAATAAAAAAAAAAAAGAAGGCATAGTTGTTAGTGTTCAGATTGTGGAAAAATGAGTGAAAAATAAATCAGACATTAAAATGATCCATTTTTTGACAAATTTAATAAGTTTTTATAATAAATAAAAAACTCAAGCAGTACATCAAGAAGGAATAAATACTAAAATAAACTAAAATCTCAAATTTAATAAGAAAACTTGAAAATATCATATATTAATCAAAATAAGTCGCCTATCAACAAATATAAATCTGTCTCGAGAACTACTAAATTGCTTCTAGAGTAATCTTAAACAAAAATATTTCAGCATAATTAAAGATATTCGGCATTTCCATCTCAAAGAGTGAAAACTGAACCAACACAATCATCACCTCGATCTTTTAAATTGTATCCAATTCAACTTAACAAATTAAGAAAGGGTTAATCAACATATAAATTGATTCATCTTAAAGATAGTTTCAAAACATTGGCCAGTATTTATAGATGAAACATATATCATTAGGATATCTTATAATTAAACATTCTATTTCCTTATAAATTCAATTAAAATAAATTAAAATATGATAAATAAATATGAAATCGTGTAATATCAATTAATAGTGTTTTATCATTAAATACAGATTAATTCTTAGTAGATAATAAATCTAAATATAGAAAATAAATGATGAAAAAGAAATAAAATAATCATTAAGATTCATCATTAAAAATCATTGAAAAGAGTACTCTATAAATAAAGAATAAAAAAATAAAATAACTAAATTAGAATTAGATAACTATATCAATTAAACATTTATAGTTATTAGTGATGATGAAGTATAAATTTAGAATGATCATTTTAATTTGATAAAATATAAAATAACCTCTAGATAATGTTCCAGCTTATAATCATAAAAGAGTAATTTAGGAGAGTATGAATAAAGTAATAAAAAATATAAAATTATATGAGAATTGAATATGTATTAATATTATAATTATATTATATGTAAAGATCAATCCCAGCTTAATCTCAACCTGTTCTAAGTAGAAAAAGTAAAATTAGTGAATTAGAAGAGGTTATTTGATCATTTGAAACTAGAATTTATTTTCCAAGTTGGATAATCTCTTTGTTGATTAACCAAAGCAAGAATAAATTTAAACATAATAGCTAAAAGTTGATTTACTTGAATAAGCAAAATAAAGAATTTAATAAAAAAAAGAAGTAAATCCTTCATTTTTTGAAGAAGGAAGAAAGAAATTGGCTGCATAAAGAAAGAAGGACACTTTTTTAATTACAGCAGTTAATTCTATACCATAAAAATAATATAAAAAATAGAGTCAAACATAAGAATATTACAAAGAAGAAACTGATTGTAATAATATGCTTAGAGATTTAATTGCTTAAGAAGAAAGACCTTATGATGATTTAGCTGAATTAAGAAAAATGATTGCTTAAACAGAATAATGTATGGTTGAATATGTAGATGATATGTATTAAAATGATATAATTAGGCATAAATTAAATAAGAATGTTGTAAAATATAATAATGAGGCAAGAAAGATAGGAATGGGTGTTGATGATAAATTATTTGATTTTGTAGATCATAAGTGCAACAAATATTTAACCAAGTCTAAAACTACTACTGTTATTAAAGATAAGAAATATTGAATTGCTATAATGTATAAATTACAAAATTATTCAATAAATTATGTATTATATATAATTATATATGATCAAATCATAAATAATATAAGATATTATTATTTTAATATATCTCATTCAAATTCATGTTGTTAAATTATTACTAAAGTGTTAAGCCTCTTATAGCTGCACATAGAGGTTTATCAAGTTTATATCCAGGTATGATATAACTTTAACGTAGAAAATACTTTAGAAGGATTTAAATCTGCTCTTTAATTTTCTGATTTTATTGAATTAGATGTTGTGATAAATAAAGAAGGAATTCCAATGGTTTGTCATGATGCTTTCTTAAGTTTAGTAAGTGATGTTAAAAATCATAATAAATTTGAAAATAGAAAGAAATCAAAAATAATTAATGAAAAAGAAAAATAAGATTGGTGGATTTCTGATTTCACATTTGAAGAGTTAAAAGAATTAAACCTAAGTTAATGTATTAATAATCGTAAAAGTGAATTTGATGGATAACTTTAAATACCTTCATTAAAAGAAATTATAGACTTTTTCTTAGGTTATAATTCTAATAATGATAATAAAAAAGGAATCCTATTAGAAATTAAAGATTACTAATATCATTAATAATATTGTAATATAAATATTGCTGAAGTTATTCATAATTTCTTGAAAGAATAAGGTTTAAGTACATAACATGAATGCTCTTAAAAATTGCCTATTGTTATTATGGCATTTGATAAATAAATTCTTTAATATTTTAGTTAACGTTCTGATCTACCTTTAGCATAATTAGTATTGTTTGAGGATAAAAATATTCCAACGATAACTGAAATTGTTCAATATGCAAAAATAGTTGGTTTAGATTTAAGATTGATTTGGTAAAATAATTAAACACATGAATACTATAATGAAGCTAAGAAGAATGGTTTAATTATTTATGGATGGACTTTTTAAGATGATAATGATGATATTAAAAAACTCTTTGATGAACAAGATATTAGTAAAATATATCAAAAGTGTGGTAGATTGTTATCGGGAATTATAACAGAATTCCCTTAAGAAGCAATTAAATTCATTCTTTGAATTAGTTTATTTTATTTTCTTTGCTTATTATATAAGGCATTCTATATTTTTAATAAATTTCAAGTTTTCTAATCAACCTTTTTTAAATATTACTTTTTTATTTAAATTTTAAAAATTATATAATTTAATTGAAATATACAAAAATAATTAAATAATTAAATATGCTTAAGAATATTATATAATCGAAATATTGTCCTATTTTTCTGAGTAGTTTGATATTTCTATACTACCTTCATTATTTCCTACCTTTATTGATATTAGCTTATTTTATAATAGCTCATTTTGTTCATTTATATTAGAGAGGTCCTATAAGAAAATACAATTAAATTAATTTGGAAGGAAAGATTGTTATAATAACAGGAGCAAGTGCTGGAATAGGAAAAGAAACTGCAAGAAAGTTAGCTTGGTAAAATGCTACAATTATATTTGCATGTAGAGATGAATAAAAAACAATAAAAGTTATTAATGAAATAAAATAAGAAACAGGAAATTCAAAATTACATTACATGAATCTTTAATTAGATGATTATAATAATGTCAAAGAATTTGTTAAAGATTTTAAAAATAAATTTACTTAATTAGATATTCTTATTAATAATGCTGGTATAGCATAATGGTGGCATAAATATAATAAAAATAATCATGAATTAGTTTTTGCTACTAATTATTTAGGACATTTTCTACTAACTAGATTATTAATGGATTCAATGAGTAAGGAAAGCAGAATAATAATAGTTTCATCTGTTATGCATGAAATGATTAGATCTAAATTAAATTTTAATGATGTTTTGAATGGTAAATATTTAGAAAATTATAATAATACTAAATATTGTGGAGTTTTATTATGTTAAAAGTTATCTAGAATATTAAAATCTACAAAAGTTGTAGCTCTACATCCAGGAGTGATAAAAACTGAATTATTAGATAAGGCTGGTAATACTATAATATTGTAATTAATATAAAAGATGTTATTTTGGTTATTTAGACCTATGACTTTATCAGTTGAAGAAGGTGCTGAAACAACAATATATTGTGCATTAATGCCTTATAGAGAATTATTGAATGGAGGATACTATGAAAAAAATAGATTAAGCAAGTATAGTAAAAGTATTGAAAAATTAAATTAAGTAGAGGAATTGTGGGAATTCAGCCATTAAATATTAAAGGAATATTTGTGAGTTTGATATTATTCATTCTGGTATTTATTCAAATTATACCATTTATAATTATGTATGTATTCCTCTATGATGATCAGACCATGCTTCTCTATAAAATCTTAAAAAAGGTGAGATTAATATCCAAAATACAATAAATATAAACCGTATTTCTAGAGCAAGATTATATTCAATCAATTAATTGAATATTGGTGTCATTATTATTATTGCTAATTAAATAAAATGCTTACATAATATTAATTTAGTGTGCATCATACCAATCCATTACTTAGAATGTTGTTTCATTTTCATTTTTGGATCTAACAAAATTGTATTAATAAACCCAGAAATAATCATAATCATGGATAACATCCATTAAATTAATTAGGAAGGATCTTCGTTTTAGGAAGAAAACAAATATTTGTATAAAATATTTCCGCTTAAAATTGTGATTGTGGAGATGTGAAAGACTCTAAAAATGTATTTAGACCAAAATAATCTATTATACATCAATAATAAATATAATAATTAATAAATAAAATTCATTTAAATAATATATATACTTAAAATTGAAATCTTTAAGAATTATTTATCATCTTATTAATCATTTCAAATTGTAAAGTTAAATTTCTAATTCAATAATAAAATTATTATATATATAATATATTTATTTAAAGTAAATTTAAATTTTCAATATAATTATATTTTATTAATCAAATAACTTAAGTAAAGAAAGACTAGTTTATAATTCCAATTAATATAACATTCTTAATACAGCACACATGCCCGAGTGGTCTAAGGGGCCGCACTCAAGATGCGGTGAGTCATTCTCGCGTGAGTTCAAATCTCACTGTGTGCATTTTTTTATTTAATTAAATTTATATAAATATTTAGTTATTCTCCTAACTATGTTTCTAAGTATTTTTTTATTTTTCATTTTTACTTCATATTGTTTTGAATGAATTTTTTTATACTTATTGATCTTAATAAAAATTATTTACTTTATTCCTTAATTAAATAATAAAAATAGTTTAATATAATCAGTTACTATTTATTAAATTATTTTTTACAAATACATATAATAATAAATAATTATTTAATAGATTACTTTTTACCTCTAACAATTTAATTATCAGTCTTTAATTTGTCTTTCTTTTTTTATCCTCATTATAAAATATCTTATTATTTCATAATGAACCTTTTAGGTATCTGATTTTTTGAATTTACTTTTGAACATTTATAATTTTTTATATCACTCATCAAATATTGTTAAATAATTTCTTAATTAAAATTATCATCACTCTGAAAACAAAATAAATTATATCTGATATTTCAACAAAAGCATATCCCTATTTTAATTTGTGAGAATGTTAAGAGTTTCATTTTTGTTATTTCTTATTAATATTTTTTCATAATAAAAATATTTGTTTAATCTTCAATATTTATTATAAAATTTTTAAGCTACTATATGTATATATATATTATTTTACTTATTGAATGTTTAATATTTATTTGAGGTTTAGAAGTTCTGAGTTCTGAGTTATTTTTGTTGATTAAATTTTTCAAAAAGGAAACCTTTCCTTATTGAATAATTCTTATTTGAGAATATTAATTCTCCTTATTATTACAAATTAAAAAGATATAAATAGATATCTAACATCATTTAATATAATCATAATATCATTCGAAAATATATAAATTTTATCTCCATAATATTATCTAAGTTTCTCCAAATTGTGTAGGTATTATCAAACAATTTAAACTTGATTATTGTTGTAATTGTGTTTCATTTAAATTTTAAATCAAGATATACTTCAATATAAGAATCCTTTTTTAAGTATAAAACCTTATTGAAATCAAGTATTTTTATATGAGATATTGTAATTTAAATTTTATAATATTGTTGTAATTATTTTATATATTTTATTTAAATTGATCATTGAGTTATCAAGATGCCCAGATTGTAGTAAGTAATTTTTTGTTATAATTTGTAATTCTATAAGAAACAATAGTTGTTTAATTGTTACTAATTCTAGCAATAACAATAAAATAGTTATTAAATTGATAGCAAAGCAATTAATACTAATTTCTATCTCAAATAAATAATTAAATCATGGATAAAATATAAACACGATTATGAAAGCAAAAAAAATAATAATTATTGTTAAAATGTAAATTTTAGAGTAGAATTAAACAGTTTACAAGCCTCCTTAGAAACCTTAAAGAAGTTAGAATATATAAAAGTATTTCTAATTAATGAAGTTCTCGTCAAATCATTTTGAGATAAAATTCTAGAAAAATTTACAACTTCATCTATATAGTATAATATTTTCGAAAGAAATACCTAAAGAATAGCAAAATGAATTTATAATGCATGTTTCTAGTTCAGCATAATTTATAAGGAAAAATGGATTAAGTAGATTTTGGATTAGTGGTTATAATCTATGGAGTTTTGAGTATGTAGAAAATTCTTTAGAAGTTCCAGGATGTAAATAATTGTAGAATATAAACTTTATTATAAAGCATGCAAAAACATATAATCTTACATAGAACTTAGATTAAATACCACGTGAAAGTTTAAAATAAGCAATGAATGCAATATTAAGTTAGATATATTAAGAAAGAAATCTAAAGCAGATTTTTAAGAAGGGTTAATTTTTTGATAAGGATAAGATTGAGAAACTTGGAGATGTATAGATTTTACAAGGATTTACAAGTGTTTTATAGATAGGTTAAACTTCTCCATTATTATTGATTGATTTTAAAACAAAGATTCTAAATAAATAGACAGTGTTAAATTTTATAAAGGAAAACAAGAAATAATAAAATTAAATAGATTTATAAAGTTTTTTTGAGAATAAAACATTTATGACAATATATTCTAAAAGAATGTATAGAATAAAATCGATAGATATGAAATAAAATCCTACATTTAAAATGGATGGATCTAATATAACATATGAATAATATTATTATGAGAGATATAAAATAAAATTGACTGATTTAACCTAACCATTATTAATACATGAAGATAAGAGAACTAAATAATAAATAAGATTGATACCTGAATTATTATATATGATAGAATTAACAACAGCATAAAAAAATAATTTTAAATTGATGAGTTAAATAAAATAATAAACAACATTGGAACCATTAGATAGAATATCAAAGATAGAAACTGAGAGAACTTTACTTGATAAATATTTTAGTAGTCGTTCAATAAGTTTATCAAATAATTCAGCAACTCCAGCATATAAGGTTGTTAAACCATCAATATTACCAGAAGCAAATATTAAATAAACAGATGGAGCATGTTTTAATATAAGAGGTAAATTAATTGAATAATCTAATATTAATAATTGGATATTATTATATTATAAAGAAGAGTAATAAATAGCAAATCTATTTATTTCAGAATTTACTAAAGCTTCAAAGGAATTAGGTAATTAAATTACACCTCCAAGAAAGATAGAAATGAATAATTTAGATCCTGGAATATGGATATAAACATTAACTAATAATTTTAATACTAATAATAAACCTTAGATAGTGGTAACCATTCTAGATAGACATGAAGATTCGAAACTTTATTTTGAATTAAAAAAGTTTTTAATTTCAGGATAGGGAGTTCTTCATTAAAATGTTGCTATTTAAACAGTTTAATCTAAGAAATTTTCTAAAATTGCTTTATCAATAGTAAAATAGATTCATAGTAAAATTGGAAGATAATTATGGAATATATAGAAAATTACTGAAATTTCCGATAGAATAATGATTGTAGGAATTGATGTTTATCATAAAACTTTAGCTAATAATTAATCTTGTGTTGGATTTAATGCATAATTTAGTTAACAAAGTGATAAACATTTTACAAAAACTATTATTGTTAATAAAGGATAAGAATTAAATAAAGGAGTTGGATAATTATTAAATTTAAGTTTATAATAATATTAAAAGTTAAATAAATATTATCCTGATACTATAATAATATTTAGAGATGGTGTAGGTAATTCATAAATTGATGATCTAATTGAAATTGAATTAAAAGCAATGAAATCTGTTATTTAATAAACATATAACATAAAATAACCATAATTTGCATACATATTGGTTAATAAGAGAATAAGTGATAAATTTTTCTCACCTAATCATGAAAGTAATGGAATGATATTTCCTGAAAGAATTACATCCAAAGAATTTGACTTTTTTCTTATTGCTTAATAAGTTAATTAAGGTACACCTATACCTACTCATTATACAGTTATTGAAAATACAACTAATTGGAATGAAGATACTTTCTGGAGATTTACATATTTTTAATGTTTCAATTATCGTAATTGGTCAGGACCAGTTAAAATACCTGCTTGTTTATAAAATGCTCATACTGTTGCATATAGAGTAGGTGAAGTTATCAAAAGTGATGCTCATTCAGCTTTAGAAACTTTATTGTATTTTTTATGATATTTATATATATATATATATAGTTTTAATGCATTTTCGCAAACAATTAATTATTAAAATTTAAATTAATTTTTAGTCAAAAAGTCGAATTCATACATTTTATTATCGAAAGTAATCACTAAAACTTAGTTTTTTTGATCCATCTTTATAAACTTTTAATGCTTAAATCTCTTAACTTTACTCAATTATTTTTGTCTATTATTCATATAATAATTGCTTTAATTATTCATTCTCTTGTTTTAATGTCTCTATTTCTTGACCTTAATCATGATTTTTTTATAATAATAATAAGATTCTCATTTCTAATTATTACTATTCTTCATTCTTCTATTGTATAAGTTCTAATTATATATATATATATCAATACTATATTCAAATTCTTATACATATTCTTATAACTTTTATTATTCTTTAGCCTTATTAACAGTTTCAATTGCTTCACTTCTAATTCTTGTACCATTTTTTTAAATTGAATTTATTTTCACTCCTGAACTTCCACTAACTCTCACTAATTTCTCAGGAGTGATAAATTTTTATTAAGGTATTGGGGAATGTGATTGATTATGAGAATTTCTCATATAGAAGGAATGAGAGGGAGTTCTTATCATTTGAAATTTGATTTAATTGAATTATTAACTTAAAAAATATAACAATACTACTACTATTGCTGAATAAATAAATAATTATATCTAATAGATCTTGTATAATATTGATTATATATTATATTACTTTAAGATTTCATTTCTATTAATAAGATATTATTTGTAGACAGGTAAAATAATAAGCACAATTATTGATTACACAGAAATATTAATATCCATTCTAATTATCATGATATAGATTGTTAGTTATTATCCATGTCAAATAATATATATAGCTTAATTGATTAATCTAATCTTAATCAACTGTTTAGCTAATCAGTCATTATTTCTTCATTGATTAAAATTTACAATCTTATTTCATAATTTATTATATATTTATAATTATTATGTTTAGTTGACTATTTATAATATATCTAATGATATATATTAAGTAATTTGAATTGATTTGAACTTGTCTTAGTTATTAATATTTAATAAATAAAATTTATTAATTTATACTTATTTTTGTTTGTTAATATGACTCATTATAGTAAACATGGTAATTATCTGTATTAATTAAACATAGATCCTAGTGGTCAATGGTAAAGATTGATTGAAAGATAACGTATATAACAAGAAATATAAGAAAAATAAGAAAAGGAAGAATAAGAAAATAGAAAGCGGTTATATAGGTATTATTATCTAAATGAAAATAGAGAAGAATTAGAGAGATTGATCAATGAATAAAAATAAACAACAATATAAAAAACTAAATATGATTCTGAATTTGCTGGAGCAATGCAGAAATTCATATATGAAAGAGATAATGTTGAATAATTAAAATTATAAGAACTCAAATAAAAATAATCTGAATTTATAAGATATAGTCTCGAATAAGAATAAATTAAAAAAGAATAATAAGTATCACTATTTTAAATATATCTTAGCGACAAAACTATTTATAAGATAGATAATAATAATTTTAAATCGGATTAATGATGGATTAAGCTGAAAAAAAGGATCACTTTCTTAAATTATAAAAAAAAGAACAAGTACAAAAAGACTTAGCATAATCTTATGCTTAATAAGAAGAATAAAAAAAAATGGATTAATATTTAGCTAGACAAAGAGAATAATAAGTACTTCAAGAATCATTATAAAGAAGTTAAAAAGAAGAAGAACAACGATTATTAGTAATTCAATTCTTTATTATATAGCAATTAACCAAAATTAAATATGGATATCATTAAAATGAAAATGTACTTTAAAAATATAATGATCTTTATTTGTAAAAAGAATATAAAGATAAAGAAATTTAAAGAAAATTTATAGAAGAAGCTGCTTCATATAAATAAAGATAAGAAGAAGAAAAATATATAATGGAAAGAGTTAATAAAGAAAAATTATAAAGAGATACTGTTGATACAATATTAAATTAAATTCACTCAAAACAGCAAAGTTATAGAGAATAATAAAATATCAAATATAAAGATTAAGAAGTCTTACTAGGACTTCATTAGAAATTTTAGATGTAAGAAAAAGAACAAAGTGAAAGGAAAAATCTGTTATAGCAATAATATAGATAAGATTTAATCATGTAAATAGAAGAAGACAAAAATAGAAAATAATAAGAAGCATCAATGAGTATGGTTGAATTAAATATGAATAAGAAAATATTTGAAGTATCATATATATATATTATTAAAATATAGGCAGAAGATGATCCTTAATTGGCTGGTATAGGAGTTGTACCTGGATTATCTAATCATGTTGATTATGAAAAACTTAAATAAAAGTAATATAATTTCTAATCTCTTTTAGAGCTTATGTAGATGGAACATTTAAAAAATCTGCAGATTAACAAATATAATATAAGAGATTAAGAAATGTTAGTGCATATATTGTTGGTAATAATGTTACTTCAAATTATGGTTATTGATATATATATCTTTAATATTATCTTTCATTTAATTTGAGGGTTTTCCTCCATTATCTTTAGAATCTCTTTTTTATCTAATATTGAAAGCGAATTCATAATGTTATCTAATAGTTATTTAATACTCTAATTATTATTAAAAAATAATTTACTTTTATTTATAAGAGTTTCTAATAATTTAAAATTAAATTTTCAAGTAAAAAATCTCCAAGATTGTTTTCAAATTGTTTTTCTAAATATAATTTTTACATGCTTTCAATTTATTAATCGAAATCCTATTATAATATAAATTTTTACTTGAGGACAGATATCCAATATTTGACATTAATCCATGTCTTTCTTTTCTAAAATATATGGTTTCAATACTTCTTAACTCAACTTTTCATTTTATGTATAAATTTAAATTGCAGTACCAATCAAATTCTGCAATTACTTACTCCATAATTTTGGTTCAGTATATTGAAAATGTTCTTACATTGAAAATGCAATTAATAGCTTAAGAATTTATATTTCTTAATCATTCATAATTTTATTTTATAAAATCTTGCAAATAATTCCTAATTACATTTATTGCTTTAATTGTATTGCAATAGTATAAAAAAAAGATGATTAGTTGGTCAATTTTGCTTATTTCATAAATTTATGTAAAACTTTTAATGTGTCAATTAATTTATTATTAAAGTATGATTCTAAAATATATGTAAGCATATATTATAATTTGATATTACTTTTATATTCTTCTATCGTTGTTTAACGATCATGATTTGAAGGAAAATATTATTTATTTAATCCTATTTTGTTTACTTCATCTAAAATCTAGGTTTTAACTGCTTCATTCATTTCTGGTTATCCAAAAAATCCATTAAATTAAGGCATAATTTTTTTTACTGCATCATCTAATATTGCCCATCTGAACATTCTATCATCATTTTTAATTTTTAAAAACATTGCATAATTTTCTAAGTAAGGTGGTTTTATTTGAATAGACAGATTTATTGGAATAGACAGATATGTTTTCAATTAATGTTGTTTTTATTTTTCATTTGCAATATCAAAATATTTATAGTATGTTTAAATAATTGTTTCTATTTAACTATTTAATAATTATTATTAATATTCTTATTTTAACTTTGTATTTTCTTAATACAATAAATCTCTTTATTTTTATGAAAGTAATAATCCATATTAATCTTTCAAATAATCTGAATTTTCAGAATTACTAAATGACCTTAGAATTTTTTAACCTTATTTTACCTTATCTTCTTAAATATATTATATTAAATAAGCGCTTTTTGAATTTATGTGATCTCCATATGCAAATTTTAATACATTTTATTCTATTTCTTCATGAACATGTATATCATTAAAATAATACCATTTTTTATTATCAAAATTATAAATATATGCAAAATAATGACCAGCATCAGGACTACCTTCATGCATTAAAATAGATTATAAAACATATTTTTGTTTTTTTAATTAATTATAACTATGTGATATTTTTAATTCAGTATCTTTTTTATCTTTTAATAATAATTCTCTTTTTTTAATAAAATGATTTAAATAATCTGTAATCGATTTAATAGCTACTTTATTATCATTGGAATCAACATAAAAGGGATTATTTTTTTCAGTTGAAGTTTATAATTTCAAGAATTTTAAAGTATTTTCTAGATTTTAAATAATTGCAATATTATCATTAAATTAATTGAATTATTCTAATTCTTTATCAATTTTATTTAATTTGTCTCTCATTTATTAATTCTAAGTTTAAATATCTCTAGCTAATTTTTGGTTAGATAGTAGATAACGATCTAAATATAATTCCATTTCAAATAAAAATGGGGAATTGATTTTGGCTAAAGAATCTAAAAAGTAAATAAAATAATTACTAAATTCTTTGTTAAATTCAACTCTTTATATCTAAAAAGTAAGAATTTATGGTGGTGATTATATCCAAAACTATTTAATTGCTTATTAATATTCATCTTTATCATTTCTATACTCAACTGATTAATTCATATATTTATCTAAGGCTTCAGGTAATTATTTGTGATTAACATCAATTTATATAATATTAAATATTTCTTCTTAACAATCTTTATTAGGTTGACCTTTAACAAGTATTTAAGGAATGAATTTACCATAAAACAATTTATAAAAAATAGAATTTTCTTGAATAATGGATGATTATCTCATTAATTATGATTTTTATGAAATAAAACTTTAATTCTATTAATAAATAGTTGGAAGTTAGATCATAGATTATCCTGGTTAATGTAGTTTATCTAATTACTGACTTTAAGCATTATTAGTTTTTTATTGTGATTTAATTAAATATGTAATGCCTTCATCTACTCTTGATAAAAAATAATGATTAAATTCACTAACATCTTTTTAATCTCCAATAGGTAAAGCTTTACCAAAATCATCACAAATAGAAAGAATAACTTATTTTGGATCAACAAATTATCTATCACTCCCTACCATTAGAACAAATAAATTCTATAAATGTCTTACAAGCTCTACAGTATTTGCTACTCTTTTATCAACAATATTATTAATATTAATATTATCGAATTAGCACTTAAGTACTGGTGATACAAAATCATAGATAAAATAATAAGTCTGCATAAGAGAATTAAAATAACATGTATTTCCTACATTTAACAATCCACATGGAACTCTATCATCTCTGTATTTACCAAATGGAACATATTATTAATGCATTGTTAATGATGCAACCATTGCCTTTTAAATATCATCATTATATTATTAATGAATCGAATTTATAATAATTGATTGATTTTTTGTTGGGTATAAATATTCGTAAAAAAGAGTAATATTTCCTTATGAAGCATTCCATGCACTGTAAATTGCACTATCAGAATACCCATTTTTTCTGGATTCATTCAAAAGATCATTATCTATAAACTTTTAATTAACTTACATAAAATATATATTTAATATAAATTTAATATCAACTGTTTTTGAATTCAAAAATGTAACAAATAGAAGAGTTAATATGTCCTGAATGCTAAATGATGTTTAATGAAAATGATAATTTACCATTGATGCTTCCAGATTGTGGTCATACAATTTGTTAAAATTGTATTTAATAAATGCTTATCAATAAAAAGTATATTGTTTGTCCAGAAGATGGGTATCATTATTATCTTATGTAGTATCATGGCTAAAAATAAAAATGATATCTCATAATTCCCAAAAAACTGTTAATTATTGAAAATGGTGGTTAAGCATAAAGCCTAATACTAATAAAGCAGGTAATCAGCAAGAAATGATGATAACGATATAGATTATCAGCTCTAATTAAATAACTTAATTTCTAACGATATTCCAAATGATTTATGTTAGGAACATTTAGAAAAATTGGAAATAGTATGTCTTACAGATTAAGTAAGAATTTGTACGAGATGTGCATTATTTGGATAACATAGACATCATGAAGTACGTTCTGTAGATGATGTTGTTAAAGAGATCACTCAGAAAGCAGAAAACATCATGTAAATTTATTAAAAGATTCTTTAAAAGTAAAGTGAATTAACAGAGTAAAAATATTTTGAACCTTTATAAGACAGATTTTAAAGTGTTCTCACCGAAAGTCACAATACTGTTAAAGAAAAATTTAGAGAACTCCATTAATTGTTGGATCTTAAAGAGTAGAGACTTATAGAATAATTAACTACATTAACATAATCGTTAGAATAGCAAACAAAAAAATAAGTTAAAGAATTGTTACAAAGTAGTTTATCTTAAGCTGAATTGTGGAAGATAACAGCAAAGGATAGATTAGTATATTTTTCAACGAAAACAGAGAATGGAGAATTGCCATTAGATTTACTAAATAATTAAGATTATGCTTGTGTTGATAAAGGAAAGGGAATTTATGATGATTTAGAAAAGATCTAAAAATAATTGGATCTTAAACTCTAAAATATTAAAATAAAAAAATTGAGAGTTGATCTCAAAAAGTCCGAAATAGATAAGAGTTTTGATAACCTTTTTACAATTACACTACAATTGTGTAATGTAAATAATACAAATACGATGACAAAAAGTAGTTAAATTTTAAAGACTATAAATACATTAACAGATTCAGCATTATTATAAGATATGAAAAGAAATGAAAGTTTTAGTAAATTATGTGGTTAGGATGTTTTTTCAAGTTTTTGTTAAGATGAACCTATGTTACTTAAAGATATATCAATGGCAGATTGGAGTGAAAGTTTAATGGAAGAAACAACAAATGTATCATAAGTTAAAAGTCCAAATAGAAGTAGTTTAGATTAGGAAGATTTTGCAAAAAATAAAGTTGGATCTGGATTAAAAGAACTTAAAGAAATTTAACCTGTATCAACCTCTTAAAATATTCAATCAACTACTCCGACAAAACCTGAAAGAATTTAGATTAGAGCTTTAGAGAAATTGAAAGGATCTTTTTAATAACCTAGTCCAGGCAGAAGAGATTTAGAATAAGTTAATTCAATTAGATAGGGTGTTAGTCCTAATACTAAAATATAAGATTGTAAAAAAAAGAAAATGTTTAAAATTAATGAAAAATTTGAAAGTGTTTGGTAAGCATTTAAAAGTGATAATTTAGATATTGCAGATTTTTCAAGTGCAGGTATTATTTATATATATTTATATAATTAGAATTGGGAGATGAAGGATTATAATATGTAGGAGATATTCTTAAAATTTCTAAGAGAGTTAAATAACTTAAATTAGTAAGGAATAAAATTACAGATGAAGGTGCTTGTAAGCTTTTAGATTGTCTTGTATAAAATACTAATTAAGTGTTTTAAAGTCTGCATTTGTCATCAAATATGATAACTGAAAGAACTTTAGACTATTTTATATCTTTAGTTAGAAATTCCCCTTTAGGATGTTCGTTGCCTAAATCCTTATACTTGAACCAAACTTTAATAAATACGACCAAAGCAAAAAAGAAAATTGAAGATTTAAAACGTGTTGGATATTTAGTGAATATTTGATAATAAAAATTAATAATGGATAATTAAAAGAAATGCCTCTTTGAAAAATTTGGAGGAGATCAATAAGTATCAGAGCTTATAGATCAATTCTATTACAAAGTACTCTTTGATAAACTTCTACGTGATAAATTTTTAAAGGCAGACATGAGTAGAGTAAGGTATCAATAAAAGCGATTCTTCTCATAAATGATGGGTGACAAAAATACTTAATATACAGGCAGGTACCTTTAGTTATTTAACAATCTTAGAGACTTAATTGAAGTCCACAAAAATCTGAATATCACAAACTAATAATTCGATAAGTTTAAGAACCATCTAAAAAGTATTGCTGAAGACATGGAAATCCCAAATTTAGATATTGAAGAATTACTTCTAAATGTTGAAAATCATAGAAATTTAATTGTTTTTTAAAAATGATTATCATGTTTATGTATTTGGTTATTCTTATTTACACAGCTCTTTACAAATCACATGTTTCCATTTATTCAAACTAATCTTAATATATCATTATTTTAAGTTAAATTTTCTCTAAATTCAAAAATTATTTATATTTACCTATATATATCTAAAATAAATAAAAATTATAAGCAAATATCACACTTCTTTTGAAATATGATTGGAATGTTAATTTATAGATGGCATAATGTATTCATATTTATAATCATATCAAATTAGAATATAGGCAAAATATATAATTATTTTGCCTAAATTTTTAACACAAAAAAATGGATAAAATAAGAAATTATATTATATTAAATTATTAATAAATTAACTAGAATATAATCATGAGTTTTTCTTAATAAGTTTTGGGAACGAACATCCAAGAAGAGTTGAACGTGAGGTTTATAATTTTAATGGCTTAATTAATAATTATTTATTCGAATTTATTATATATGGATTTTAGTTTCTTATATTAATGCTAAATAATTTTTTATGAGTATTATTTTGTTTTCTTTTAGGTGAAAATAGGCTTAAAGGTTAGATTGAATTTTTATGATTCTATAAGTACGATTGAGTAGGAGTAGTTGTTATATTCAAAGATTTCTAAGAATTTAAAGATTATAGATCAGATTAAGAAAATAATTCACTATTTTCTCCTCTTTTTGATCTATCTTAACAATCTGTAATTAATTTTAATAATGCAGTTTTTCTATTGTAAGCCCGTTTAAACCCATGAATATTTAAAGATAATTAAGTGTTATTTATGTTATCTTTAGATTCTTAAGTTTATAAATTCTTAATTGATGATTTCTTATAAAATGTACTCATCCTAGCTAAGAAAATATTTACTTTCTTTACATTCAGCTTTGTACACCATTAATTCAAGTAAGGGATATTCCTATTCTATAGGAATTTCTCTTTTCTTTAATGGTATATTCATTGTTTTGAATTAAAATTGACTTTGTTAACCACATTAACTACATTGACAACTTTTTCTTCTAGTAGTTTATTCTGAGTAAAATTGCTTAATCTAAATAGTATTCTAGCTATGAATATTTTTAGATAATCTTGTTTGTTCATTAAGTATTAATTAATAATTCTCCATAGGTAATAGTGCATTCAAGTTTGAAGAGAAATGAAATTAATTCATTAAAATTCAATTATTAATATTTCAAACCAAAATCATTGAAATATTAATGTGTTAATTTGACTTTCAATCTATTATTACGAATTTACAATGAATTAACAATCACTAAAATTTACATTAATCTAATACTACATTATTTATCATAATATTAAATTTAATTTTTATTTCTTTATAATTAAATGAGTAAATCTTAAGAATTTCTTTCAAAAAAGATAATATGGTATAGTATATCATAAGTTCAAACTACAAATTTATTTAAAATAGTAATTTTCATAGGTATTTTTTACTTAACTTTAGGAATAGTTAGTATTCGATTGAATTAAAATTCTTAAATTAGAAGCCTAATATAAAATTTTAGATCAAAATCGTAAAAGTAAGATATAAAAAAATTAAATTACAGAATGTTTTTAATATAATATTTATTTAATCCATCATTTATCAATTTAAAAGCTTAATTTGAATGTTCCAACACTCAAATATGTGGCATTAAATTAAAAATGAATATAGATAAATTTATTTATAAGACAGGAGACCTAATTCAAGAATCAAATTTTTATGACTCTTCTATTTGTGTTGAGAATAAAGAAGTGGTAGTTTTAGAATGGCATTTAAAAATGAAAGAAAATTAGTTCGAAAGTAGAGAAGTAAATTACTTATCTATGATAAAATAGCTTTAACTCTAAGTTATTGAATCCTTTTGGAATTTAATAATAAATATGATAAATTTTAATTTATTAATTATGGAAGTATAGAAATATGATGAAATAATTATTATTAAATTATCTGATCACCACTTTTAAATTGAATTTAAAGTATAAAATTTGATAGTACAAATAGGATGTATTAGTAAAGATGATGTAATATATTGTGTATTATTATAAAATATAATGAATATTAAAATTAATTTTGTATACATCTTGATCTATTTAATAAATTAATCCAGGAGATGAATTATAATTTATTTGATTTAATAATTAGGCAATCATAATTATATTATATAAATAATAAAAAATTAATTAAATAATTAAGAATTATTTTTTAAAAGTTATTGATTAAAGTCAGGATTTGTAATTTATATCAATGTAGAAATATTTGAAATAGTAGATGGATTAGTTTTTAGAGTAATATAAATAATTTAATTAAAATAAGGAAAACATATATTTAATAAAGGATAATAGAGTTAATATTTGAATTTAAACGACACTAATAATTCGATATATGTTTATTTATGAGAAATAATAAATAATGTCTTCACTTTCTTCTTTTTTATCCATATTGAGTAATGAAGAAAAAGAAGAATACTATTAAGACTGCAATAGGTCCAGACCAATACATACTGTTATTGAATCTCATTCCTTTATCCCAATCTAACAAACCCATAGTCATAGCGATTTGATTCATAGTAAATGTACAATAGGTAAAGGCTATAATACTTCTGAGTGTTGATGGAATCCTTTATAATGTTTATAATAATTATATACCATTAAAATTTATCTCTACATCTATAAACATACTTGCAATTCTGATTAATTAATGCCCACCAAAAAAAGGTTTAATAATATCCTAAATAAAAACCATGCCATAATGCACTTATTCCATAAGTCATGTAATAAGCTGTAGAGACATTAAAAAGAATGGATAATTTATCAAAAAAACAATATTTGAGCCATATTTGTACAGTAGTATTCCATTTCGTGGTTTTATGAATTGCACTCACATCTTTTTCATAGGAATAATCACAAGTGATGAATTTATCAAATTATTCTATTCATTATTTAAATATAAGATATACATGAATCTTCATTATAAGTAATACCAACAGCATCCATTGCAGCTTAAGTAAATTTAAATCCAGCAAAATATCTCATTCTAGCAACTAAACCTATTATTGCTTATAATAGATTCTTTTCTAGAAGATTCAATTAATTCCATTATGGTGAATCATACCAATCATAATCAACATATGGTCTTATCCATATTTCACCAGCACAAAATAATAAAGCCTTTATTAAATTAGTAATAACTGATTTATATTAATTAAATTTAATATTAGAATATTCTTCTTTTTAATTAAGCAGATTTAAATAATTATGATATGGGACAGGCCCAATCATTATGCTAAAAAAGGAAAATATGTATGAGTAATATGTCCAAAATCCAGTGTCATAAGCTTTTCCATCTTATAAATCTACGGCATAATAAATTAATCTGCATGTTACAGTCATCTATATTACTGAAAAATCAATTTTCCAAGACATGTAATCAAACTAATAATATTTTATCTATATTACCCATTATCTAAATAGATGGACATATGATAAAGCAACAAATGCTGTTATTGTTATTGGTATCACTACATTTTTAGTTGGAATTGTTGATATAAAATATACCAATATAGTGGTAATATTAATATACACAAACCATTCCCTCCCCAAGAACAAAGTGAAGAATACTCCAAAAAAGATGTTATATATTAATCTTATTCTGCTTGATTTTAACTTACTAAATATTATGGCTATAGGAATGCAAAATAGCTAGTAATGAATTCTAATTTTTACAAAATATGAAACAAGTCTAACTTTGTCCTCTGAAATGTTTAAATCTTTGACACTGCTCATCACCAATTAGTCAAATGAGTCGAATGGCTTCAATAAATAATCAAATGATAACATATTTTTTAATAAAGAGAATAACAATATTCCTAAATTTTTCTATAGTTATATATTAATTATCATTTATATGGTTATAAATTCTTAAATCCTGAAGCTAAACCTATAACTCCACAAGCTAATCTAGCCCCACTATTTCCTGTTGTTTTTGATTCTTTTTAATTTCCTCTTCCCAAATCATCTTAACCTGCATGTACAACAACTGATCTACCCAAAATACTTAATTTATTTATTCAAATTTATACCTATATTCTCCATATAATTAAATCTAATTATCTTCATAAGTCAAATATCCATTTCCTCTTTCATCTGTTTTTATATTTCCTAGATCTCCTATATGTCTTTTCTCATCTAATGGACCTCCATGATCATGTCCAAAAGGATTATAATGAGATCCAGCAGTTGTACAACCATTACTTAAATCACCATATTCATGAATGTGAATACCATGTAAACTATTTGGCTTTAATCCTCTTACTACTGCAGCAATCTTTGTTTTTGAATTAATATGCTCTTATGAAAATGAAACAACACCATTCACTCCTGAATTAAAATCTGGAAATAAAATGCATAAAGCATGTCTAGATGCATTAAAATTCTCTGTTAATGAATTAACCTTTCCTTAACTAAGTAAAACAAAACCAGAAATAATACCAAAGGATTTTAACATTTTTATTAATTATTTTAACACAAAATAAAATTTATATTATCCTTCTTCTCTATATTCTCTGTTTAATCTTTTACACTTTTATAAATATAACAATCTTAATGACTAAAAGTAAAAAAAATTAGAATTAATATCTCTTTATAAATATAAGAAAATATTTAGTCATTTTTATTATTCTTCTTCTTTTAATCTAAAGTATTGAACTACATTTGTCAAATTGAATAGGTTTTTTAATTGTTTTTATTATTAAGCCTATTTAATGACTTACATAAATGTCATTCCATTGGGTTTTTTATTTGATTAAACCTTTTAATTAAATATATAAATACCACTGTAATTTAAGGTGGAACAACAATTATTTTCAATTGTTCATCAAGTATTTTTTCTTCTTATTAAACACTAAGTTTTTCAACCTCTTCTTCTTCATCAGGATTTGGTTATTTGATAACCAATCCATATTATTTAGACATGCACTTATCAAAATCTGAAAGATCTTCTGAATCTTTAAAATAAGACTTTATAGATTCTCCTAATCTGACATAGATAAGATAAGTAAGTGCATCTAATTTTTTGAATAATGGTTGTTATCTTCTTTCATCGATAGTTAATTAATCTTAAGTTCTAATTAATGATAATTTCTCAGCACATCTAGCAAGTGCTTCTAGAAATTCATAAAATTCCATTTGAAAATGTTTAAGTAAGAATAATTCATCTACTGAAGTTTACATTGATAACAAGAATACTAAATATGCATCTCGTTCAACAAAAATATCACAATACAAATCACATTTATTAATTAAATCTCTAAAGTCTTTAAATTGAAGCCATAAATGTTTGTAATATTTCTATTTAGGATTTAATTTAGATGCATATTTAAAAAGTATCTTTAACATTGGTAATCTATCCTCTATATATGAATTTAACAATTTATACTTAAAAGTGTATCACATTATTCATTCCAATATCTCATATCTCTCCAATCTTAACTTCTATCTATTTCCAACAATTTTTACTTCACTCCATCTTCTTCAAATAACTTTCTCAAACTTTCTTTTACTGATTTACATATTTAAGTTCTTAAATATTTATCTATTGCTATTCTAACCAATAATTCCATCAATTAATATCTAACCAATGCTTTTTCATATACATTTGGATAGCTAATATCTTTTACATTTGATGTAGAAATAAAATTTAAATCAACATCACCAGATCTGAATTTATCTGATATAATACTAGTTTAATTAACTAAATCAAAAAATGCATTTGATGAAATACAAGGAATTGTTGCGCCTATCAATGTTGATGCATAAAACTTATATGATGCAAATATATATGGATAATATTCTCTCATTATTTCCTTAACTTCATTATATTCTAATGGATCCTTTATTATTTTATTGATTTTTGAACTTCCATAATCATATTCAAAACACTCATCTATTACCTCTTCATTATCAGGTTAATAATTCTTAAAAATTGAAAGTTCATAACTCCAAAATTATTTTTCTCTTTTTGTTAAAAATTTAGTTAAATCAAAAGTTTTCTGCTCTTCTCTTGGTTTACTAAATATTTTAGCAAAATATCTGTCCATTATTGATTATTTATCTTCTGTAAATATTTCATTTACAAAACCCATCCTATTACCTTCTATTAAAATATCGCCATTATATAAGAATGATTATTTAGTTTAATATAATGGATCATCTGAAGGTGTTTAAGTGATTAATTAATTTTTTGCAGTTGTCTAAATTCCTAGAACAGGATTACTAAAAAAATAAGTAACTTTGTAATTAGGAGGACACATTCGATAAGCAGAATACTCTCCATTATGTAAAGTCATAAGAATAGGTTTATAACTCTCAAAGTTAAGATGTACAAATATTGGATCATTATTCATTCCTCCTGATTTTCCAGGAGTCCATGTAAATTTAACTTCCTACCAACCATCACAAATCCAACAAGCATCTAATTCACCATCTTTATCATAATTTTATTTGATAGGTTTCATCCCCTAAATACGTCTAAATCTGAAATTTCTATGCAGTTCTGAATCACTCTTCGAATTATTGATCCTATTTTGATAATAATTATGATGATTATGAATTTCTTAAATTTGTAATGATTCAATTTAATTATCATCAACTAATTTTAAAGTTGTTTAGGGATTCTTTTTACACTCTTCAATTTTACGTTAAATATCAATTGATTCTTATATTCTGTCTCTTAAATGACCAGTTGAATCAACAGAATATTTTGGACAATTACCTTAATAATGAAAACCATAAATATTTTAATTTTGATCTAATGCTTTCTTTATTTCTATAGATTATTCCTCATTGAAATTATTGTATGAAATATCAATATGCATTAATTCTGGATACTATTTAATTATTACTTTTGCCATCTATTAAGCACATTCTAATGATGCTGTTCTATTATAAGAAATGTCAAACACTTTCACACTAGAATTCTTAAATAAAGCTTTCCATATATTAATTCCTCCATTACTATTTATTGAATTAAAATGAAGATATAATTCAAATAAAACTTAAGTTTTCTTTATGTAATTAGACAATTCAATAGTACAATGTTCTGTAAGATTGTTTTTAGATAAATTTAAATAAAGCAAATAATCATGATCTTATATTGCTAAACATAAAGCATTGCTACCAAAATCTCCTATTCTATTGTTTTCTAGATTCACTTTCTTTATAGCTGAATTTTATATATATTTTGATAATAATTAACAAGCCTTAGCATCTAATCCATTATTCATTAAATCTAATTCTTAGAGATGTTAGGGAAATGACTTAGTTAATTATTAAATTCTAAATAAAATTACATTCAATACTTTAATGAATTTAATTTATTATGGCTTAATTTTAAATGAGTTAAAGTTTTACATTATGAAGTTTTCAAAGCCTCAGAAAATACTTTAACTTATTAATTTGTTCTAATCTATCCAGATGCATTTGCTATTTAAATATGGTTGCATTATTGAACTAATCCTAATCCACTTTAAAATATAGATTATTGATTTGAACTCTTATTTAATTGCATATATAAATTTGGAGTTTACTTATAAAATTATGCATAATCTTCCAGCTTATTTTATGATTTCATTACCTTTCTAAAATCTTCTTAACAAACCTTATTCAAGTTTTTACTATTTTCATAAATATCTTAAATACTTAGCCAATCTAAACCTTTTGAGGAATCTTCCTTGATCAGTATTTTATTCTTAATAGATGTCCCCCTTGTATTCCAATTATTACAAATATAATTAACGTTATTAATCCTACTTATTATTATTTTTGTAACGAGATGGATTTGATTTGTGATGGTGATGTTAATGTTTCTTTATCATATTCATTCTTTAAGGACTATAATCTTAATACGAAAATTATTTCATTGAATTAGCATATGCATCTTCATTAAATCTCTCTATCTCTTATATATCATTTTCCATCAAGTCATCAAATTATTCTTGCTTATAATTATCAAGTAATTCTCTAATCATTTTTTCTTCCTCCTAATCATTCAAATGTTCTAAGATGCTTTTCTAAACTGGTTGGGGAGTAACTAATCTAATTATTAATTCAATAATAAAACTATTGTCTAACTGGTATTTCTGTCACTCTTGTTAAATTATTACCCTCTCTTTCTGCACTAAATGGCATTCTTATTTTCTCTATGTCTAAAGCACATTAAATCTTTGGGGATACTGATATTCGATTATTGCCATTAAACCCTATTCCATAGGTTTAACAAGTTGAAACTATAATTAATGAGTAACTTTCAGTACTAGTTCTTTTTATTTTCTCTCTTATTGGGCTATTTTTTCTTAATTCTTCTTCTCTTTTATACTCAATTATTCTCTCTATCAATTTCTCCTTCGTATTATAGATCCTCAGTTTCTCAAAAAACATTTTTATTTATATTATAATATACAATATTACTTTACTGAAAATTTTATGCTCTGCATTATTAAATTATTTAAATATTTACTTAATTATAACCTTATTTTCTGATTTATTGCTTAAAAATTTCATTCCTTAAAAATAAGTTGAGTCATTTTACTTATTTTAATTAGTAAAAAATTAATAATTTAGGCTAAACTAATTTATCAATAGATCTTATTCAAAGCAACTCCTTCTAAAATATATCTTGATATTCTGTAGCAAGATTTTAAATATTGATGTTTTGGGTATTTATAATTTTTATCTTTTCATCTATTATA